AGCGTGGGCGGGTCCAAGTGCAGAGAGGCGACACGTGGCAGGTAGGGTGGGCCCTCTTAAATCTTGACTCGATCGGAGACTTGTCGTGAACCGCACGCGTGATGAATGGATGGTCAAATATTTCAGACTGCAGCCAAAATAAAAAAAAAGTTACAAATATCAACGCGGAGATTTAAATCTACTATCTACACATAATATAATACGCCGAAAGGAAAAACGGGATCTCCATTTCAAATTTCCTGCAACGAGAGTGAAAGTAGGAAGGACATTTTGGTCTTCACAATTACTTTTTTTATTCATTAAAAAGACACGTACTGGGATTCGAACCATGACCATTTTAAAGAAAAGCAAGGATAATAACCAATCACACTAAGCACATTTGTTGTATCTTTTTAAATTAAAAACATATAATAGCAGGGAGGAAAAAACCCTTCCCCCATTTCAAATTCCCTGCTCCATGAGTGTTTGTAGGAAGGGTAGAATAGGAAGTGTCAATTTTTTTCTCTTTCCTCTATGGAACGGGCCAACTTACCGTACACATGCGAATTTAAACGGGTCCAGGAGTGTCAATTTTTTTTCTTTAAACCCTTTTATTTCTCCGTGGTGATAAAATATATATGAAAAGGAAAAACTAATACTCCTTTTTATTGTTAAAAATAAAAAATTTAACAATAAACTAATGCATGGTATCTAATGGGCTAACCGCTAACCATAAAATAAAAGAGTTGAATGGGCCTGACCTACATGGGATTTGGCCATCAAGTAAAACAAATGAACATCATTGGTTTGTCATTCTAAAACAAGCTATTTTCTATTATGCTATTATTTTATATCTTAGTGGCTAAAATATAATGTATTTTAAAGTTATTCAATGGTTCAACCTCGACCAACACAATTAGTCCAATTTTTATCATTTCAAATATATATTTTATAATTATTTGATATCATAATGATCAAATTATAGTGTATTTTATAGGGAATCGTTTGGTATTTGTTAGTGAAAAACTAAACATAACGATCTATTTGGTTATTTTAAACATTATAACGATCCTAAACATTTTCAGTTCCTTTTGAATTTCCATGGTTTTAATCTCGATTAAGTGATGTGCAAATGGCGAATTGTAGTCGTCTCTTTTCTTTCACTATTTTTTTTATTTTCAAATAGAAAGTTTAAAAGTAAAGAATAATTAGAATTTGGCATGGGTCGATCGAACAGGCTGAATTTCAAGTTTTGGCCCGTTTGTTTTATGCATTGCAAATTTATTAGCATGTTGATGGAAATGGCTTGGAAAAAAGACATATAAGTTGTACCTTTGCAGAAATGTCCTCAAATGTTTGAATGCTTTGTGAATCAGGTTCCGTGACTTTTGTGATGGTGTATGTGCTTGACGATTGCTCTTTTGATTTTCCCTATGAGTTGTGATACCAGTTCTGGTGGTTGCAGCATGTTGTCGTTGTTGGCCTGTAAAAGTTGTTCCACCGTGGTGCTAAATACCTTTCTTTCTTTTTTAACAAATTGTGTGGTAGTGCTATGAAACAGACCACCCATGAATGTTACGCTTATTATGGTCTGTTCTTACTTCCGGTGGTGAGAAATTGTGAATTGAGAATCATATTCGCCTACCGCACTGTGTCTGGCTGGTGGCTGCTTACTGTGCTCTCTAGAGTTATGAAACAGACTACCCATGAACGTTACCCTTAAGAGTCCATAACTTTGCGAAAAACCAAATTTAGGCAATCAAAGGTGGTGGATGTATGATATTTTTTATGGCTTAATTGTTTGTGAATTGGATATATGATCTTTGTATGATTAGAGGGGATGTTTGCTTAATAGAATAATCCATTTTAATTCATGTTTATTTTTAACATGAACTTTAGTAACTCAAAACCTTCGAGACACATATCACCTACTGCATTGTATCATTTTGCCTGGGTGCTTGCTGTGTTGTCAAACTTCTTTGCCGCTGCTGCTTTTACACTAACAGGGGAGTAAGAACCCATGAATGTTTCCGTTTGACACAAACAGGAGGACTTGCTTCTAAATCGTGCAGTTGATATACTGGAGACCAGAACAAAAGCAATGTATAACATCAAAACCAACCATCTGAACTATTAGCATTGTTGCTTTACTCTTTTTTCGTGGTTAGGTCTCCTTCAAAAAATTTAGTTTGATTTTAGAAAATTTTGCTTCTGCAGTCCTGTCTTGCCACCAACGCGTTCAGTAGATGGAGATGGCAGAGGCGAAGGCTATTTTTGTGTTGTTGTTGCTGGTTTAGGGATCGGTTTGTGAAGAAGAGGGAGAAGAGAGGGGGAAAGGGAAATGCAGGAGAGGGGGTTAACTCTTTTCTCTGACAAAAATGGAGTGAAGAAAGGAATTATGATCAATAAGGATATGGTTATCTTACATAATTGTCTCTATTCTGTTGGAATTGAGCTTGGGAGGCAGTGATAAGGACGAGCTGCAACCAATTCATAGTGAGAAGAGAACTATGAACTGTGATCATGTCCTATTTCAAGTTAGAAGGTAGTTTTGAGTATAAGGATTATTTAATTTGACAAGTTGTTTCGTCCATGATTCTTGGTAGTTTCAGTGCCATTCTAGCCATTGTTTAGTCTGTAATTTTTGAGAATTGATTTGCGAGTAATGACTTTCACTTAGCTTCACTATTATGCGTGTATTTATTGGCATGTAATAGAATTCTCTTTTCCTTTCTTTGAATTCAGTTTCATACTCTAATTGTATCATTTGTACATAGGCAAATCATGCTCGAGATGACAACTCGCCGATATGGCTGGTGCAAGGAACGAAGCCATCATTAGAATTCAGACCGACAACGGGGAGGGATGCCCAGGACTAATTCAATGATGATTGATGATGGTATAATAAAAACTGCAGTCTGCATCAGCACCAATTTCTAGGCCTAAGTAAAGTTATTCAACCAGAACTCTGCTTAGCGCTAAAAATTCCCCTCACCCAACCTTGATCATGTTTGACCCACTTATGAAGATTCAAGATATATGACTAATCCTCTCCGTTTGTATTTTCTTATTGACTCTTTCTGACCCTTTAGGTTGGGGCGGGTCGGGAAGAATCAGATTAGTGGGTCGGTCCTAAGCAAGTGGAATCCCAATTCCTTCTACTCTCACTTGCTTTTTCTCCTATTCCACAAGTGGGTAACATACACTAATCCGGCCAACGGGCCGGGTAATAGGCTAGTACATATAATACGCCGAAGGGGAAAACAACTTCCCCATTTCAAATTTCCTGCAACGAGAGTGAAAGTAGGAAGGACATTTTGGTCTTCACAATAACTTTTTTTTGTTCATTAAAAAGACACATACTGGGATTTGAACCATGACCATTTTATAGGAAAGCAAAGATCATAACCAATCATACTAAGTAGATTTGTTGTATCTTTTTAAATTAAAAACATATAATAGCCGGGAGGAAAAAACTCTTTCCCTATTTCAAATTCCCTGCTCCAGGAGCGTTTGTAGGAAGGGTAGAATAGGGAGTGTCAATTTTTTTCTCTTTCCTCTGTGGAACGGGCCAACTTACCGTACACATGCAGATTTAAACGGGTCCAAGAGTGTCAATTTTTTTCTTTAAGCTCTTTTATTTCTCCGTGGTCATAAAATATATAGGAAAAGGCAAAAACAATACTCCTTTTTATTGTTAAAAATAAAAAAGACACGTACTGGGATTCGAACCATGACCATTTTATAGAAAAGCAAGGATCATAACCAATCACACTAAGTAGATTTGTTGTATCTTTTTAAATTAAAAACATATAATAGCCGAGAGGAAAAAACTCTTCCCCTATTTCAAATTCCCTGCTCCAGTAGCGTTTGTAGGAAGGGATAATAGGGAGTGTCAATTTTTTCTCTTTCCTCTGTGGAACGGGCCAACTTACCGTACACATGCGGATTTAAACGGAACCAAGAGTGTCAATTTTTTTCTTTAAGCCCTTTTATTTCTCCGTGGTGATAAAATATATATGAAAAGGCAAAAATAATAATCCTTTTTATTGTTAAAAATAAAAAATTTAACAATAAACTAATGAATGGTATCTAATGGCTAACCGCTAACCATAAAATAAAAAGTTGAATGGGTCTGACCTACACGGGATTTGTCCATCAAGTAAAACAAATGAACATCATTGGTTTGCCATTCTAAAACAAGTTATTTTCTCTAGCATAATATATATTTTGCTATTATTTTATATCTTAGTGGCTAAAATATAATGTATTTTAAAGTTATTCAATGGTTCAACCTTGACCAACCCAATTAGTCCAATTTTTATCATTTCAAATATATATTATATAATTATTTGATATCATAATGATCAAATTATAGTGTATTTAATAGGGAATCGTTTGATATTTGTTAGTAAAAAAACTAAACAGAAAGATCTATTTGGTTATTTTAAACATTAAAACGATCCTAAACATTTTCAGTTCCTTTTGAATTTCTATGGTTTTATTCCCGAATAAGTGATGTGCAAATGGCGAATTGCAGTCATCTCTTTTCTTTCACTATTTTTTATTTTCAAATAGAAAGTTTAAAATTAAAGAATAATTAGGATTTGGCATGGGTCGGTCAAACAGGCTGAATTTCAAGTTTTGGCCCGTTTATTTTATGCATTGCAAATTTATTAGCAAGTTGATGGAAATGTCTTGGAAAAAAGACATATAAGTTGTACCTTTGCAGAAATGTCCTCAAATGTTTGAATGCTTTGCGAATCAGGTTCCGTGACTTTTGTGATGGTGTATGTGCTTGACGATTGCTCGATGTTGTAACTACTTAATTTGAGAGTAAATCTTTGATTTTCCCTATGAGTTGTGATACCAGTTCTGGTGGTTGCAGCATGTTGTCGTTGTTGGCCTGTAAAAGTTGTTCCGTCATGATGCTAAATACCTTTCTTTCCTTTTTAACAAATTGTGTAGTAGTGCTATTAAACAGACCACCCATGAACGCTACTCTTATTATGGTCTGTTCTTTCCGGTGGTGAGAAATTGTGAATTGAGAATCATATTCGCCTACCGCACTGTGTCTGGCTGGTGGCTGCTTACTGTGCTCTCTAGAGTTATGAAACAGACTACCCATGAACGTTACCCTTAAGAGTCCATAACTTTGCGAAAACCCAAATTTAGGCAATCAAAGGTGGTGGATGTGTGATGATTTTTTATGGCTTAATTGTTTGTGAATTGGATATCTGATCTTTGTATGATTAGAGGGGATGTTTGCTTAATAGAATAATCCATTTTAATTCATTTTTATTTTTAACATGAACTTTAGTAACTCAAAACCTTCGAGACACATATCACATACTGCATTGTATCATTTTGCCTGGGTGCTTGCTGTGTTGTCAAACTTCTTTGCTGTTGCTGCATTTACACTAACAGGGGAGTTAAGAACCCATGAATGTTTCCGTTTGACACAAATAGGAGGACTTGCTTCTAAACCGTGCACTAAAGATGATTGGAGGAAACATCTCTGTTGCAGTTGATATACTGGAGACCAGAACAAAAGCAACGTATAACATCAAAACCAACCATCTGAACTATTAGCATTGTTGCTTTACTCTTTTTTCGTGGTTGAGTCTCCTTCAAAAAATTTAGTTTGATTTTAGAAAATTTTGCTTCTGCAGTCCTGTCTTGCCACCAACGCGTTCAGTAGATGGAGATGGCAGAGGCGAAGGCTATTTTTGTGTTGTTGTTGCTGGTTTAGGGATCGGTTTGTGAAGAAGAGGGAGAAGAGAGGGGGAAAGGGAAATGCTAGAGAGGGGGGATAACTCTTTTCTCCGACAAAATTGGAGTGAAGAAAGGAATTATGATCAGTAAGGATATGGTTATCTTACATAACAGTCTCTATTCTGTTTGAATTGAGCTTGGGAGGCAGTGATAAAGACGAGCTGCAACCAATTCATAGTGAGAAGAGAGCTATGAACTGTGATCATGTCTTATTTCAAGTTAGAAGGTAGTTTCAGTATAAGGATTATTTAATTTGACAAGTTGTTTCGTCCATGATTCTTGGTAGTTTCATTGCCATTCTAGCCATTGTTTAGTCTGTAATTTTTTTAGAATTGATGTGTGAGTAATGACTTTCACTTAGCTTCAACTATTATGTGTGTATTTATTGGCATGTGATAGAATTCTCTTTTCCTTTTCTTTGAATTCAGTTTCATAGTCTAATTGTATCATTTGTACATAGGCAAATCATGCTCGAGATGACAACTCGCTTATATGGCTGGTGCAAGGAATGAAGCCATCATTAGAATTCATACCAACAACGGGGAGGGATGCCCAGGACTAATTCAATGATGATTGATGATGGTATAATAAAAACTGCAGTCTGCATCAGCACCAATTTCTAGGCCTAAGTAAAGTTATTCAACCCAGAACTCTGCTTAGCGCTAAAAATTGCCCTCACCCAACCTTGATCCTGTCACACTTCTGAAGAGTCAAGATATATGACTAATCCTCTCCGTTCGTATTTTCTTATTGACTCTTTCTGACCCTTTAGGTTTGGGCGGGTCGGGAAGAATCGGATTAGTGGGTCGATCCTAATCAAGTGGAATCCCAATCCCTTCACTCTCACTTGCTTTCTCTCCCATTCCACAAGTGGGTGACATATAGTAATCCGGCCAACGGGCCGGGTAATAAGCTAGTCATTAATGAAGAAAGATAGGAAAAGTGTACTTAGGATAAGGTGACGGGTGAGTAAGCAATGGTTACTAAAATAATTAAATCCAGATTTTTAGATTTAAGTGAGTCTAGAAAATTAAAATCTAAGTGTTGTCAATTAAATGCATTTTATTTTTCCTAGTTTTTTTAATCGGTTCTTATCTTTTTCGTTCTAACTCGGATTTCAATTTTTTTCACAGATGGAACGCGTTCGTTGTGCTCTACAAAAGTAGATCAATTTTCAATATATTTCGAGAAACTTTTTTTTACCAACTACATACCATATGATAACTTCTTCGTTTTTAAGTCGTTTTTGAAAACGTTTGCTTAGAAGGAACGAGTTCATCATGATCTGTTGGATTTATAAATTTCTGGGTGAAAAAAATCACGAATAAAAAATTACCATACTTTACCACTATATGGTATGTGGGTGGTAACTTGTAATAAACAATGATGAAAGTCGTAAATTACAGTTAATATACTCATACTATCATGTATTCAACCTTCTTACCATATTGGTATGTTCATATCATCATGATACGCTTTCTTACCATATGATATTAAATTAGAGCATACCATATAGTAATGACTGGTAAAAAATTATTCAATTTTTTTGTACTAAAAATATATCAAAGAGGATATCATTTTAAAGAGCACATTTAATCTGATTTATCTGAGCAAGAAAACTTAAATTTCGACTTAAAACGAGAGAGAAATCGTCCGTTAAAGATTAAAGGGAAAAAGATAAAAGATTTTCCGAGAGAGAGGATACTGATGTCATGCTGACGTGAACATGTTACTTATGGTTACTAATCATAGAGTTACTGACCTGATCCACTCCCGGAAAAGTGCACTGAAAGGAAGATTGGAGGGTAAACTATAGGATGACAAAAAAAAAACAGCCAATATTTATATATTGCATATTCATTTTAATACAAGTCAAATCATGGGTAATTTTTTTTTAGCCGATACATATATCTAACCTATTAGTTAGGGTTTAAGACTTCATCAATTCTCTGCCGACTGCCATAATGTGGATGTTCGAGTTAGTGATCTCACACAGAATCCTCCCATGGCTGCTTTGAAATGTTTTGCTTGCAATACTGCACCTAAAGATCATTCGAATTTTATAAGAAATAACCAAGCAAGCAAGCTTCATCGTATAATGCCACATTCAACTCCTTGCCTTGACGAAGCCCCAAATTCCATCTCTCTTCGACTTATATATTGTCTCACAACCAACCATGTGAATATATACATCTTGTTCCAGCCGACGATCCCCAAATGAAGCTTCGTATTTTATCCATCTAGTCGCAAGTTGTCATCGACAGGATACCGTTATTAGGATTTTTGTAAAAAATAAAATTGCCACCGATTTTGAGATTGAATTAAATGGATTAGCGTCTTACTCCTCCACTAATTTAGTTTTTCCCCATTTTTTATTCGGATGAAATTTAAATTTTTGTCCGGTTTCTATTTTTCTAGTTGAACTGACCAGTACGATCCGATTTTCTAAACCATGAACAATTCACGTTCTAAAATACGCCAGTTTCTTTCTCTTCTCATTTCCTAGACGGATCCCTAATAGATAGCTAAAGACCTCTCTCTACATTTTCTCTCTCTAGTTTTTTGAATTCTGAAGCTTTTTCTCAGTCCCGTTTGAATTCCTGCACTTTCTTCCCAGCACAGCCTTTGTGATCTGGATGACTTTACTCCTCACTTGCTGAGATGACTACTAAACCTCCATCTTCAAGGAGATGATTCATACACTACTCTTAAAGCAAAATAACCCCCCTCAAACCACACTGCAGCATTTAAATCGGAAGGCAAAAACAGAGATGGGTAGCTGGAAGAAGGTACATCCAGCATTAAAGGATCATCAACCATTACATCTATTCCCAGAAAGGAAAGTGGCTCCGGTAGATATGAGTCTCTTCAAGCCACCATTACTGCTCCAAATCTCAGATCTCTCTCCTATCTTCTGCTCTGAGCCTCTCAAGAGATCTGCAAACTGCAGTAGCATGGAGGACATTTATCAAATCATACAGCTGGACGAAGTGTTTAATAAATCTTGGGAGGATGACTGCTGCACTTGGTTTCCACTATTTCAACCAGAACATTTACTCCGTATCAGACTTTACCTTGAGCCCCAAAAGTGCCATGTATCGGACAGAAGAAGAGCAGACTGTTGTGCTTTTATTCCTCGTCAAATCTTACCTAATACAAGGGAAAGGGACATTAGAGTTATGACGAAGCCCAGATTGAGTTATAAAAGCAATGGAAATCGGCTGAAGATCAAGACCCTTATGCTAAAACCCACCCCTGAAGAAATAAACCTTACCTTGTTCTGCTGCCATACAAACCCAACAAAAGCCACTTGGAGAAAGATGGATGTTAATGCTTTGATCAACCAAGCGGGTGAATGGGATCTCGAGATGAAGCCAGATGAAGCCAGGATAGCACACAAGAACACCCTAGTTGGTAAACTGCTGTCTGAAAGAACAGTCAATGCTCGATCAATGAGAAACATGATACGAGCGGCATGGCTTGACAACTTCAAACCAAAAGTCCATGAAATGCCAAGGATCGATGATGCTGGGGAGAATACCTTCACAATTGACTTCAAATCCAAAGAAGAAATGGAGGCGATATGGGAAGACCGCCCATGCCCAGTTTCTGGCACTCTGCGTCAACTCAAAAGGTGGATCGGCACGGAGATCCCAGGGGCAATCACTTTCAATCATGCTGATTTTTGGATCCAAATCCATAATCTGCCGGAGGCTTATCGTACTGAAGGTAATATATCCATGATAAGGAACATGTTTAACCGTCTAATTGACTTGGACCGTAGAGCTTTGCAAGCGCAGATCTACAGGCTGTTTGTTAGGGCTTTCGTGGAAGTTGACATGACCAAACCACTCCCAGACGGATTCTACCTTCGCCACCAACAGAAGAGAATCTGGATCGAGTTGAAGTACGAGAGATTGATGATGGTGTGCTACTACTGTGGTAAGATTGACCACACTAAGCAAGAGTGTGAGTCTCGAAGGAACCCAGAAGGAGGGAATCACCCACTTCCAGACATTCAACGTTGGGGGCCATGGACAAGGGCGAGTTCGAATGCTTTCTCACCTCGGACTGTTCAGCAGCTGGAGGCTGAAGCCATCATCAACAAGGATGCTGCATCTTCCTCAAATCCGACGGATCGGGCCTTCCAATCGCCGACGGCGAACAGCGGTGCTCCGACGCAGAACGCCAACATTGGGCCCCACCAAACTTTGGGTTTCTCACCACATCAAGGTCAAACCCCCCTGTCAGTGACTAGCCAGAACTTCCCGTTACAAACGACTCTTTCCCCTTCCCTTAACTTTCTCTCACCCCATCAGACACTGTCACCGCCGTTCACACAAACCCAGACATTCATCTCTCCAACTCTCCAGCAAAAGACAGTCTCTCGTAATCTCTTTGGAGGGGTAGAGACGGCTGATCAATCCCAACCCTACCCAAATAACATCTTCTCTCCCGTAGCTTTTATGGGCCCAAATGTCCCTAACTCAAATTTGGGCCAAGTCCCAACCCAACCCCAGACCAATTTCTTTGTTAACCATAACTATTTTAGTGTTGGGTCGAGTGGAGCTGTTAAACAATCAAAATCTCCAGCCCGCCACACTTTCAATTCTCGCAGGCTGTCCTCTAGCCCAACTCAGAACATTTCCAAAAAGAAAAGGAAGGCGGGCTATGTGGCTGAGTTCGAAAGGGAAGAAACAGGGGAGCCACATACTCTGCTCCATCACTCTGTGAGCAATTCAAGTGATTTCTTGGCGATTTGTGGAATTCAGGAGGAAGAAGATGAAGAAATTCCACCGGGTTTTGGCCCAGGTGCTTCTGTGGACATGGTGGCCGATTCCAAGCCACCACAGGGGCCATGAGTACAATTGCTTGGAACTGTACGGGATTCGGGTAGAAACCTACAGTTCGACAACTTAGGAAAATGGTTAATCGCTTCAAGCCATCAGTCGTTTTCCTGTCCGAAACTAAGAAGAAAGATTCTTATATGGAGAAGAAAAGAAGAAATTTAAGGTTCTCGGAGCACCACTATGTTTCTCCAGAAGACAGAGCTGGCGGTCTTGCTTTATGGTGGACCAGAAATCTTGATCTGCAAATTCTGGATTGTAATGGTTTTTTCATTGATGCTTTTGTTAACTCTGAGGGGGGTTATTTTATTACTTTTGTTCACGCTCCCTCTAACCCCACTGATCGTAGGGATTTTTGGGATATCCTCAGTAATCTCAGGGAAAATGAGGAGGATAGGTGGGTAATTATTGGGGACCTTAATGCTGTTTTGTTCAACGAGGAGAAGAAGGGTGGTGGGCTTCCTAGAAACGAATCAACCATCCCTTTTAGGGACTTTGTTAATGATAATGGTCTTTTGGATTTGGGCTATAGAGGACACGATTTTACCTGGGCAAACAACCAAGAAGGAAATCGTAGAATTGAGAGTCGTCTAGACAGAGCCCTTTGTACGCCAGCTTGGAGAACTATGTTCAGCGAAGCTATCCTTTTTCATGAGCTACCTCTTGAATCAGATCACTCTCCTCTCCGGTTACAACTGTTTGGGATTAAAGATAATAGACCTCGACCATTCAGATTTGATGAAAGGTGGCTCAACAAGGAGGAATGTGAAGAAATTATCAACCGAAATTGGGAGAATGGCAGTAATTGTGCTGAGAAGTTAGCGAACTGTGAAAACGAGTTGCGAAGTTGGGCTAGACAGGTCTACAAGGATCAAAATCAGAGAGCACTTGATATTCAAAAGAGATTGACCGAATTACTTGAGCTTGATCGTGATGAAGGAATTGTGCAAGAAGAAAAGGATCTTATGGCTGAACTTGCAGCAATTTGGAAGGATGAAGAATTGTTTTGGAGCCAAAGGTCGGGAGTAAACTGGATTCATCATGGCGATCAGAACACCAAGTTCTTCCACACTTCCACAGTACAGAGAAATCATAGAAACAAGATTATCACTCTTAAGGATGACTTGAATAATGTTATAAACAAACCTGAAGAGATTTCTGATCATGTTACTGATTACTACAAATCTCTGTTCACTTGTTCTTCTCAAGCTCCTGATCCAAGCATCCTTCATGACTTCCCCAAATTAGTCACGGAAGATATGAATCAAAAGTTGTGCAGCCTGCCTTCGACTGAGGAAATTAAAGCGGCAGTGTTTGACTTAGGTCCAAGGAAATCCCCAGGACCGGATGGATTTGCAGGACTTTTCTTTCGTCGGTTTTGGGGAAAGATTGGTGAGGAATTCTGCAAGGAAGTGCAGGATTTTTTTAACTCATCAATGATGCCACATGGGTGGAATAATACCCACATTGCTCTTATTCCGAAAGTCCTTGCTCCGGAAAAAATTTCTCAATTCAGGCCGATCAGTTGTTGTAACTTCAGATACAAGGTTATTTCAAAGATCATGGCTAGCAGACTGAAGCTATGGAATCCGGGGTTAGTTTCTGAAATGCAAGCAGCCTTCACTGGAGACCGATTGATTCAAGATAATATCATTATGGTTCATGAAGTGCTACATCATTTCAAGAATCGTCGAAAGAGCGGAAACTGGGACATGATGTTGAAATTAGATATGCGAAAGGCATATGACCTTGTTGAGTGGGATTGTCTTGAGGCCATTCTTCAGGCTTATGGGTTTGATCACATATGGAGAGGTTGGGTGAATCAGTGCATTCGAACAGTCACCTTTTCGATACTGCTCAATGGGAGCCCTACTGAATCTTTCACTCCATCAAGGGGGATTCGACAAGGCGATCCTCTGTCACCATTCCTTTTCATCCTACTCTCAAATGCTCTCTCTTTCTTGATTGATAAAGGGGTTCAAAAAGGTGATATTCAGGGTATCAAGCTTAATCGTAACTGCCCAGTCGTTTCCCATTGCCTATTTGCAGATGATACGGTCATTTTCGGCAAAGCTAGTATGAGAGAAGCTTCCCAAATTATGAACATATTGAATCAGTATGGAAGTGTCACAGGCCAGGAGATAAATGTTGCTAAATCTTCTGTGTTCTTTAGTAAGAATACTCCAGAGGCTATCAAGGATCTCATCACTACTCATTTTGGCTTCCCGCCAACGATTTGCCACGATAAATACTTGGGGGTTCCTACTGAGTGGGGGAAATCAAAAAAAGAAACGTTCTCGTTCCTGATTGAGAGAATGGAAAAAAGGGCCGACTCTTGGAAGAGTCTCCTCCTATCTCCCGGAGGGAAAGAAATCCTTTTGAAGGCAGTGCTTCAAGCAATTTCGACCTTCATTATGAGCACTTTTCTTCTTCCTCTTTCCATTACAAATAAAATGGATTCCATTCTGCGGCGTTTTTTTTGGGCAGGTTCTATGAAAAAGAGATCCATTCACTGGTGCAAGGCTCGTGTTCTGGAAGACCCAAAGCAGGTAGGCGGTTTGGGATTTCGAAATTTCCATCTTTTTAATCTGGCTCTTGTTGGTAAACAGGTTTGGAGAATGTTGACGAATCCGGATGCCTTGTGGGTCAAGCTACTCAAAGGCCTTTATTTTCCGGACAGAGATTTCCTTTCGTCTAGGAAAGGAAGGTGTGGTTCCTGGATTTGGAATGGCATATGCGACACCAAGGAAGCACTCAAACCAGATATTTTTTGAGGGATCATGTCAGGGACTGAAACTAACTTCCCTACTGATCCATGGATCCCCTCTATCCCATCATTCTCACTGAGGGACTTCATTCTTCCACCGTCACGGGTCTCTGATTGGATCAATCAAGATACTCGTTCCTGGGATGTTGAGGCCATTCGAGGAGTCCTTGATGAGAGTACTACCGAAGCTATTATGCGGATTCCAGTGGGACCTGCTGAAGCTCATGATGGCTGGGTTTGGAAACACAACAAGAATGGCAACTATTCTACTAAGTCAGCTTATCATGCCCTTAGGGAGCGACGTGATCATCCGGTTGCTGATTCGGAGATTTTTGACTAGAAATGGTTATGGTCCCTTTCTCTGCCACCTAAGATGAGATTCTTCATCTGGAAGTGTGCTAAGAAGGCTATCGCCACTAGGGAGAGGTTATTCTCCAGATCATGTGCTCCTAACCCCACGTGCCCTCTTTGTGATGCACCTTCGGAAACAGTGATGCACTGCCTCTTCTTTTGCCACCATGCTTCTGCTACTTGGGGGCTCTCCGATTCACTCCATAGCCTCCCTCCGGAGAACTCATCCTTTGGTGAGTGGTTCTTTAATCTCCAAGACACCTATTCCAACACTCAGGTCTGCAGGATTGTGTGCTGCTTATGGAGTATTTGGACTGCTCGCAACACTTTCGTGTTTGAAGAAAAGGCTCCTACTCCGGCCTCTTCTGTGATTGTGTCGGGTCGTGATTTCTTGCTAATAGAGGAAGCTAGGAAGACTCCGTCGAGCTCTCCTCTCTCTCGTACGACACAATCTCACTCCCAGCCTAGGGGTCCCCGTTCGAACCCTTTACCACCGCCCATCCCGTTTTCACGGTTGATGTATTGTGACGGTTCCTTTGTCTCAGATTCATCTTTGGCGGCATATGGGATTACTATTGCTAATGCCCATGGTCAAGTGTACGACGGCAAGGCTGATTCTTTCCTCTGTTCCCATCCTATTCAAGCGGAAGCCTTTGGTCTCCTCAACGCCATCTTGATTGCAGCGCACGACACAGAACCTACCTGCATCCGAACAGACTGCCAGGTTCTTACTCTTGCTCTTCGTCAAGACCCTTCTCTTTGGCCTTGGCAATGCCGTGCGACGATTGCTCGCATGGTGTCGGTCATCCATTCTGCTCCATGGATCAAGGTCGAGTTCGTTCCTCGGCGTCTAAATTCACTCGCGGATTGGGTTGCTGGCCAAGCTCGACTGAATACATTACCGGTGGACTGGATTGTTATTTGTAATATTATTGCTCCACTCTTGTAATGTTACTGGCTTCCCTTCTTGGGATTGGAATAAGAGGATTACTTGTCAAAAAAAAAAATTTCCTAGACGGCTAGACCTGCATCTCCACTTTCTCTCCTTTTCTTTAATCGAATTTTTCAGTTTATTTATTTTCATTTCCTTCATTTTTTTTTTGCTGCACACTGTTTATTTTTGTACCAAGACATCTCTTATTATTGTAATTTTACTGCGCGGTTTCGTGTTGCAGTAGTCTTATTTGGCAGCTGCATGCCCTCACATTCTTCTCTTGTATCATATGTTACGTATTCTCCTGCTTTTATTTATTAAGAACTGGCTACTGCTAGCCCACCAGAGTAGTACTTCTGCCGCCAGCCAGCAGCCCCAGTTCAAAATTAACTTCCATGTTACTCCAAATAGAACAACCTATTACTCCCAATAAGCTTTTATAATGTACCAATAATCAGTTTATCATTTATTGAAAGAGTTCAAGGTTGAAATAACATTAATTTATGCACGCAATTATCCATGAGATTAAAACAATCTGTTGGACGATATATATATATATTCCTAGCAAATACAAAAGAATTTACTAATATAACTCTCAATTTTGGACCATTCTGTCATCTCTGGACTGGCCATAATCTCCCATTTATGGTGAATGATGCAAGTGTTTGGTAGGGGCGTTCAAATGGTTACCATGGTAATTATCAAAGTAAACAAGCTAAAATTCTATTTAACCATCGAATACAATATCATAACTAAACCGTCCCAACTAATATACTTGTTGTGATTGTATGAATTGAATTAGTCTCTTAGCAATTACCATAGGTTGAAAAAGACCTTCTTTTCAATTTTTCATCTAATATATTGTATGAGTTTTATCTAAATTGAGCGTTCATATATCATGGTCTACACTTTACAAATACAAATATACAGTATCAGAACAATATTGAGCTTTATTGTTGTGAGCCTAAAAGGAAGGAATGTTTGGCTCTTGAGTGATTATGCCAAGCATTAAGTATGTATATATAATATATATTAGATATATGGATAATTACTTAACTGGTTAATTTGGTTTGATTGGTTAGGAGTACCTAAAACCAAACCACCTAAACCAAACATGCTAAATTTTTAATCAAACCAAATTAATTATCCAAATTAATCAAACCAAATTAACCAAATACTTTCGATTAAAACGGTTACCACACCGTTTGAATAAACTGAAACAGACAGTTTAGTATGTAGAATCATAGGTGGCTCCAAACATCAAAATTTTCAAAAACTCTTGCAATTTCAAAGGGTGCTGACTGTAACCTATCTAGCCATTTCTTGGTCATGCTAACAACCCAAAAAGAAATTACGAAAAAGCAACAACCTTTACTTCATATATTTTCTTTTCCTCTTTACCATGTTCATCAATTTTTCTTCTTTAATAAATTATAAATTACAAAATTTGTTCTTCTCTCAAAACAGTTTAAAGCTGCGACGGAAGCGCCATATACAGAAAAGGTGTGTGGTTTGTGTGTGTACTGTGTAGCGCAGGATAAGAGCATGCACACTCTTTCCCATTTCCCTTCTTCCCATTCCCAAGCTGAATAATCTTATTATTATTATGGAAAAGGCAAAAGAAAACATAAAACAAAGAGCTTCATAGTTCAGTGAAAGGTCGATCTCTTTTTGAGAGAGAGAGGCAGGATTTTGAAAGGAGCCCAAGAGGAAGAAGACGAAGTGAGGGCAGAAGAAGGAGAAGAATGAGAATGAAAGATTCATTGCTTTGATCGGCGTGCTTGTGTAGGAACTCATGGAGGAGGTGGTGGGTGGGTGGGTTTTCTTTGAGGACTTCTGTCGAATAGTTGGAGAGCATAGATAGCCCCACCTTGTTGTAAAAACATAAAAGGGAAGCCCTTTTCATCTCCTTTTGCAGGGGTTTTCCTTTGATTTTTTTTGTTCGGTCTCTTTTGGAATTGGGGATTGGATTGGACCCCTCTCTTTCACTTTCTCCCTCTCACTCTGTCTCTCTCTGGTCTTAAGCAGCTGAAGAAGAAACAAAGACAGACAAGTTTCTTTCTGTTTAGTGACCACTGGGAAGCCTTCCTTTTTATGGGTGAACATGAGATTCCCTTGTCATTCCTCGAGCTCCTCCTCCTGCCGCTGCTTCTGGAGCAGAGCAGTCTTTTCTTCATTTCTTTTGATTTGAAAGCTTGGACTGAGGTTTAGTCCTGTTCTTTTCCCCTCCCCCCCTTTTGCTATTGGCCAAGAAGAGAAGAAGAGCAATTAAAAGACAAATGCTTTTGGTTGCTTTGAGCTGAAGAAGAAGAAGAATGAGAAGGATGGGTTAATGGAGTTGGTTTCTTTTGAGTTGCTCTTGCTGCTGGAATCCTGTTGAGTCCCAAAAAACAGAGGAAGTGTTGAACCGGAAAACAGAGCAACTGAAGAAACAGAGCCCACCCCAAAAAAATGGCGTGTGTTGAAGAAAAGGGGAAGGGCAGCGGATTGGTCGGTGCCGGAGCACAACCGCCGGCGACTCTAATGGAAGAAATGAAGCTTCTGAAAGAAATCCAGGATCATTCTGCTGGTCTGTTGTCATAAAGTTTGGATTTTTTAAAATCCCTTTTCTAAAGTTTTGATCTTTAACATTGCACGAGCTGAAACATCCTCTTTCTGGGTTATGTTGTACTGTTGGGATTTATTCTGTTGTTGTTGATGCTCTTTTGGGTTTGTCTTCAGGGAACCGTAAGGCAATAATGAACACAGAGCTATGGTACGCCTGTGCTGGCCCACTAGTTTCCTTGCCTCAGGTTGGAAGCCTCGTTTATTACTTCCCACAGGGTCACAGCGAACAGGTTATTCTCCCCTCCTCTCGCTCACTCTCATAAATGCTTCAGTTTTCAGTTTCATACATTTTCATTTCAAGTTCATTTCCATGGTGGAGGTGTTGGTTTTCCAGGGCAAGGTCCTTTTCAGGAGTTGATGGGAATTTTTTTTTGCGCTAACTGGTTAAGTATCAATGTCAAACATTTTGGCTAAGTTTCTAGACTGAACTTTATTATTGTTAGAGCAGTTTCCTCTACATCTGATTTGCATTCATCATCAATTTTGTTTGGACTTTGGGGTTGTTGGTAGTGCCATCCCTCTCAAAGTGTCTCTCACGTCATGTTCTTTGGTGTATGACTCTGTCCCCGGCTAAATGTGCTCCTACCCTTTTCCGCATTTTGCTACTATAGTTCTTCTCTCAATTTTGTCTCCATAATTAGGGTGGTTGACAGTAAAAAAACTGAACTAAAACCACAATCTTGCTAGTTTGGTGGTAAAATTCAAGACTTAACTCGTGATTGCTTGATAAGCAAGCTATTGAGCTTTGTTATTTTTGGGCTTCTGTGATGTAGGTTGCAGTTTCTACAAAGAGAAGTGCTACTTCACAAATCCCCAACTACCCAAACCTTCCATCTCAGTTGCTGTGCCAAGTTCACAATGTCACCCTCCATGTATGCCATTTTCACCCATCCCTTTGGTTCTTACCTTCCCTCTGCAGTGTTCCCTCTATTTGACACTAGCTATCTTGGGTGATCATTCATTAGGCAGACAAAGAAACGGATGAAATCTATGCACAAATGAGCCTTCAACCTGTCAATTCAGTAAGCTCCCTCTTCTAGACTCGACTAAAAATTGTTTCTTTTACCTATTGGTGACTAATGTATTCACCCATCTCTTTGTAGGAGAAAGACATCTTCCCTATTTCGGACTTTGGATTGAAGGGCAGCAGGCACCCCACCGAGTTCTTCTGCAAAACTTTGACAGCAAGTGATACGAGCACTCATGGTGGCTTCTCAGTCCCTAGGAGGGCAGCAGAGAAGCTCTTCCCTCAGTTGGTCAGTTTCCGATTTCCACGACCTAAGATATCTCTTAGTTATACCTTATTGGGTTGGAGAAATAAACATAAAAAAGGTGAATCCTTTTTGGTTCAGGATTACACAATGCAACCTCCAACTCAGGAGCTGATAGTTAGAGACTTACACGACAATTCCTGGACGTTTCGCCACATCTATCGAGGTCAACCAAAGCGACACCTCCTCACGACTGGGTGGAGCCTTTTTGTAGGATCGAAAAGGCTGAAAGCAGGAGATTCCGTCTTGTTCATCAGGTAAGTTGATGCTTTGTTTGTCTTGATTGATGGTTTTTGATTCATTGCTCTTATCTCGTGTGGATACTTAATGGAATGGGATGGACAGGGATGAGAAGTCACAGTTAATGGTGGGAGTGAGACGAGCAAATCGTCAACAGTCGATGCTGCCATCTTCGGTTCTCTCTGCAGATAGCATGCACATTGGTGTCCTTGCTGCTGCAGCTCATGCTGCTGCAAACAGGAGTCCTTTCACCATCTTCTACAATCCAAGGTAACTAACTTCTAAAGTTTCAGTCTTTATGCATTGTGTTTCTTGTGGATATGCCTTGCTGTGCAGGTAAATGAAAGGGCCTGACTTTTTTTGGTTATTGGCAGGGCATGCCCTTCAGAGTTTGTCATTCCTTTGGTCAAGTACAGGAAAGCTGTGTACGGAACTCAGGTGTCCGTTGGGATGAGGTTTGGGATGATGTTTGAGACGGAGGAATCGACCAAACGAAGGTCTAATTTGATCCTTTTCCAACTGTTCTATTACTAACTATGTTGAGATTGCTTTTTAAACAATGTGTGCTTTCTTGTTGAACAGGTACATGGGGTCAATAGTGGCTGTTAGCGACTTAGATCCATTGCGGTGGCCTGGTTCCAAATGGCGAAATCTCCAGGTGGACTGGGATGAGCCAGGATGTTCTGACAAGCCAAATCGAGTCAGTCCATGGGAAGTAGAAACTCCCGAGAGCCTCTTCATTTTCCCTGCTTTAACCTCAGGTCTCAAGAGATCCATTCATGGTGGTTACTTAGGTAGTAGACCAGAGCTTTATCTCAAACCCACTGGTTTCTTAATTTTCTCCTCTGAGTGATGATCTGATTCTGATGCTATACCTTTTGCATTTATTAAGGAGGAGAAACTGAATGGGGAAACATGATCAAAAGACCCCTGATCTGGCTTCCTGATGGTGGTAATGGAAGCCTTCCTTACCCACCAACAATCACCGATTCTGATAGGCTGCTTAAGATGTTAATGAAACCACCATCTAATAACTATCCTGGACTCTGTCCTCCTGCCTTCCAAGACTTCTCTGCTGCCAAAGGATCATCGATAGAAGATGCTAGGATCATGAGCCAACAGCCAGAGGTAGCAGCTATGTTCTCAGGAAACCATCAAATTTATCAGCAGCAACAGCAACAATCGCCGTGTATAGAGCAATGTGAGGTTGGGAATTCTTCGTCGTCAACCAAAATCAACAAGGTTCCTGGAAATACAAATCCTGTAACAAAACCTGAGAAAAAGCAAGAGCCAATCCCACCGGAGAAGATGGTGAAATCAGAACCTAAGTTGACCCAGATGACTTCTGCTGAACATTTACCAAATGGCCACTGGTCTATTATGCAGCAGCTTCTTCAAGAGCCATCATCATCAATTGTTCAGCCTCTTCAGCAACCACATTTGCCTCAACCTGACCAAAACCCTCTTCCGTTTCTAGAAACAGTCGACGATTGGACCTCACAGCAGCCTCCAGCAATGCCTGTCTCGTCATCAATCCAGAGACAGACCGGGGCAATGTCAATGTTCGGCCTGCAAGAACCATCTCCTCCCATAGTCTTTCCTGAAACATTAGTGAACCAGGATGTGTGGGATCATCACCAGCTGAACAACCTTAGGTATCTAACCCAATCGACCCAGTTCGTACCAATGTCTCAACCGGACCATTGCAGCTTCAATTCGGGTGATGAGAGCAACGGCCAAAGTGGGATCTATGGCTCTCTCAACAATGGCCACCCTGGTGGTATTGTGATAGACCCTTCAAGTACTATTCTGGACGAGTTCTGTTCCTTGAAGGATCAGGATTTCCATACCAACCCTTCTTCGGATTGCCTTGTGGGCAACTTCAGCTCGAGTCAAGATGTTCAATCTCAGATCACTTCTGTAAGTTTGGCGGACTCTCAAGCTTTCTCTCAGCAGCAGGAGTTTCCTGATAGCTCTGGTGGGACTTCTTCTAGCAATGTAGAGTTTGATAAGGGCAATAACCTCGTCCAAACTAACTCCTGGCAGCAAGTTGCTCCCCGCGCGAGGACTTACACAAAGGTGCGATGAACTATCTGACATTTGGGAATATTAGTCTTGAACTAATCCAAAAAACTATTCATGATTTTAGGATTTTTATATCATTGAAGAAATGTGTTAGATGCACCAGTGCTCACTACAGTATAGTGTTTGTGATTGAATGATCACTAAACTAGAAATCTTAACTTAATACTTGACCTCAGTGATCTACAGAGATTTGATATATTGATTCCCTCTTGAATGCTAAACTGTGACTCTGTAATGGATTAAAAAAACAGGTTCAGAAGGCAGGGTCAGTTGGGAGATCGATCGATGTTTCGAGCTTCACGAACTATGAGGAGCTCTGCTCGGCGATCGAGTGCATGTTCGGGCTTGGTGGGTTGCTGAACAATCCAAGGGAGTCAGGGTGGAAGCTGGTTTATGTGGACTACGAGAATGATGTCCTGCTCATTGGCGATGATCCTTGGGAGTAAGAGAAAATTCACTGCATTTATTATCCCCTCCCTTTGCTTTCTATTGCACGATAATGGAAACCTGAGATTTTTGGTATTTGGTTTATGTGTTTTAAAAAGGGAATTCGTAGGATGTGTTCGATGCATAAGGATACTATCACCTCAAGAAGTTCAACAGATGAGTGAGGAAGGGATGAAGCTTCTCAATAGCGCGAATATGCAGCAGGGGATCAACATTGCTTCTTCCATTGTACAAGGTTAATGCTGGCGGCTCGATAAATGAGAGAGGGATACAATGAATTCGTGGTTTACAAGGGAGCAAATGGGGCGACTGATCTAACTTTGAGATCTGTTAGGAAGTGGATCCAGTACAACCATTACTCACCATATCAGCAGCTGCAGCTGCAGAAGCTGTAGCTACCTAGGAGTAGGCATTGCGGAGCTTTTGATTATTGTCGGCCATCACCTTGTTAAGGGTGCGGCTTTCCTCTATGTATGTTGTAAGTTGTAAGCTAATAGGATGCAGTTGATTGAGTATGAATTGAAAAAAGAGAATATTGTTAACCTACATATGGTCAAGTCCCAGGCCCTGCCATGTCGGTAGAGTGCAGACCATCTAAAATTGAGATACCTGATCGTCAATGGCAATACATTTCCAGTTGTGCATCAAAATGAATTGGTATTGAAATCTTTGATGGAATAGTAAAAGACCAATTAATCTGGAAGCATCGTGTTTCCAGGTAAATGCAGATTCTATTGTTAACAAGCATAATGTAATCACAGTTGGGCAAAAATTCATGAATACACTATAAATTTCCCCATACTCCTAAGAGTTCATACTAAGCTCCACACCTAAAAGTTCCCCCTAAAAGAAATGTTACACAAGGAAAAGACAGACAAATTTTACAACAGAACTTAAATATATGGCTTTCTTCTGCTCTTCATTCCGGCTTGAAAGTCGGAGACCTCTAAATGTGTTTATTGCTTGGTAAGGGGGGAAAATTCTCAATGCGGGCATTTTGACAATGCAAGCTTAGCTTCTCCCGTTTGAACAAAAACCAAGTATGCTTACCTCTTTTCCAGTTTCAGCCTCTTGCCGGCTTTTGAAGCACTGCAGATAGATAAACTTCAGACTTGCCAGTTGCTGCATCGACCTTCTCTCCCACAACCCATTTCAACTTCTTATACCCGAATCTCTCGATCAATCTCGTCAACACTCCTTTCTTCTCATCATTAGCACAATAGAAGTTATCCAACCAAAACAAACCACCTGGCCTAAGCACACGATCGATGTCAAACATCAAGAACTCGAGCTTTTCCACCTTGCTACCAACATCCAATCCGCTGGACGCATGAACCAGATCAAACACATTGTCATAAAATGGAAACCTATGGTCCAAACTCAAGTACAGAGGGAACAGCCCTCTTGAAGCCACAAACTCACTAAATGGAGCATCGACATTCAATGTGTTTGTAATCACAGTGACATTCCTCTCAGCCATTCTAGCAGCAAAAGTCCCCGATCCACCACCGATGTCGAACCCTATTCTAATCCCACCGCTCCCCAACCCTAAAACGTCATCCAAAAAGAAATCATTCTTCCCTTTGGACTTCACATACCTCTGATTCTCAACCCCAGCCAAATCAAAGCAATTCACACATTCCCTACTCAACTTCTTCTTACTCAAACAATCAAACCCTTTGCAACCATAACCACTCCAACTACCAACCACCTTATTGTCAACGACAGAGCTCCAAAGAGACAAAGGAAAAGGTTTCAGAAGCCCCAACTTACTCCCACCTTTAGCAAAACACCTCCTCCTCGGCAAAGGCTCGCACCCACGAAGTATCAGCTTCTGAGCAAGGCTCCAATCATCAGGACAAGAACCAGAAACCTTGTAGTTCATATACTGAGACAGCAAATCCGTCGACTTCTCACAGGAATGGCCAACAGAAGCCACCATTTCAGTGATCCCAGTTCTCGAATCTTTCCCTAGTGGCAGTTGGTGATGCTGGAGATACAGTTTGAGCTCACTAGCAATGTTGGGTCTTGAGACGTCGATGCTGTCGTAACCTAGAAGCTCCTTCTCCATCTTGGCGAGCTTTCTCTGGGATGAATCGATCTCCCGCAGGATTTTGGAGACATGCTCGGAGATCAAGGAGATGTTCTTATGGGAATTGAGATTGTGATGGTGGTGAGTGGGGGAGTAATTGAAGGCGTAGAGAGCGAAGAGATTTGTAGTGAGGACTGAAAGGATCATGAGAAGGTTTACCGCTGATGAGCAGAGTGTTGCTCGCTTGAATCTGGCGGTGCCGTCGCCGACTTTCAGCGACACTGATCCCATCTTTTTTGTTGTTGGGTATCTTTGCTTTTTTGCTGCTGCTGTGCAAAGATTGGAGCTTTGGCAGTGAGTGAGTGGAAAGAACTCAGATTTGGGGTGGAGCAAGTGGGATTTGTTTAACTAAGGAGGGAAAAGGAGATGTGATTAGTGTTTTGATTAGTGGGTGAGATTTTGGATTTAGAACAGCGGGGTGAAGAAGTGTTTGTCGGCTGCGGTTTTGCTGTTGTAAATTTAACTTCCTTTCCTTTTTCTTCCGACTTTGGACTTTTGACGGGCAGAGTGAAGTGCAGTGGTGAGCTTTGCTTGCTCGCTACACGGGAATACTGCAACTATCAATTTGGTTTGGTTTGGTTAACCAAACCATTAAGTATGAAAAACCAAAAACCAAATCTCAAAAACCAAAACCATTAAGGCTCTTGTTGGTTTTTGGCAACTAAAAACCAATAAGGGCCTTAATGGTTTTGGTTTGGATAACCAAAAAACCAACATGTACCCATACACTCATATTTATTCCTATTTTCCTCCTTTTTATTGAATAAACGTCATAATAATGGTAAATAGCCATAACAAATTATTGGTTGACATGCGTGTCAAAAGAAACAAAAAAAAAATATTTGTTGATAAATAATTTTATTCTTATTGGTTTCTTAATGGTTTCTATTGGTTTTTCGGTTTTAACCAAACCAAAACCATTAAGTTGCTTATTAGTTTACACAAAAAAACTGAAACCATTAGCTTTCCAATTGGTTTGGTTTCGGTTAAAACCCAAAAACCAAAACCAAATGGACAGCCCTAACTGCAACTAGCCAGGAAGTTTATGGTTAATTTAACAAATGGTCACTGGAGTTTGAAGTCACTCACTAATAGATTTTTTTTTATTAAATGGAGACTAACAAACAGCCAAGAGGTTACAAGAGTAAATAGCAGGGCTGAGTCCAAGAAGCAGGGAGGGCGCATTGCTTGCAGCTGAAAAAGCTTCTCACAGGTCTCCCAAACCAGCTTAACAAAACTCAGGCAACAGAAGGAATTCCAAGAACACAAAAACAGCAGCTAACCAGGGACAATTCCACAACCAGTCACTCACTAATAGGTTACTTAAGCAAATTGTATCATTAAAACTATGGGGAAATTCTGGAATTAACATGATAACAAACTATAAAATGCTAATCATGCTCGATCCATATCGAGTTTGCTTTCTGATTGTCTAAAATATGACATCATCTCATGAAATCAATAACATTAATAAACTAGGCCAAACTTGATTCTATCTAGCTGATAATCCATTTTGGTTGATGTGATCCGTACTTAAATATTACGAGATTAAATGTCCATTGTTGATTTGATATATATATATACATCTTTGATATGTTGTTGCTCATACTCCATTGTTCTATTTGATATTTCCTGATAATCCATTCGATAACAAAAAGGGGTAACCAACTCCAGAGTAGACTACGACATCATTGAAAATGATAACGGTAGAGGGTGTTCCGCGTTATTAAAAAAAAAATCGTTGTCATTCGAATTTGCTTGTCACGGATTGTTTTTCATTTCAGCAAACTACAATCGTTAGAAATAGAATTAGATCCTGTTGTCGGTGGAGCATTTTTGTACTTGCCTTTGATTAATGGCTAATAATTACTGTTGCTTACATTTAAAGAGAATCTTCACACTCACGAGGGATTGGGACAGACAGATGATTCTGCTGTAAATGGACCGAGCCCAACCCTACCGACCATTTATTAAGGCTCAACCGGCATTTGCCATTGGCCCAATCCATTTATTGGTGCCCCACAGATGTTGACAATTTTGGGCCCATTGGGACACAGAACCACTGACTTCCAGTCAATCTCAATCCCCAACGCACGTCACTTTCCCACTGGCAACGAGACTAAACCGGTGAACAAAAAACACTAGTCTAATGTAAACAAGCGCATGAACTAGTATTTAACAATCAGTAGTAAAATGGATGGAATTGGAAATGGAGCTTCCTTTACATGCTCAACAATGAGAGAGTTGGTAAAATCAGAAGCACTGTCAATCTATCTGTAAACATAACTGGACATGGTAATCAATGTGAACCTGAATCGCTAGCTCATGTGCCTCATCCAAAACAACCGTGCCATAATGTGCTACAAATATTCTTATTCAGCTAACAAAAACACGGACTCCCCGTAGTTCATCACACAGCAAATCATCCAACAGCAAGTGCATGATCATTTGCGGTGTCCTCCCTTGGCTCCAATCGGCGTCTTCTTTGTCATCTGGTAAGAGATTCAGAATTGATAGTTCAATCATCACAAGTTTAAAAGTGACAATGAATCGAAGAAGATGATGAGTGTGTTTATCTTCATACATTCAGCAACATATACCGGACGAACTGAACAAAGTGGGTTCACACATCTTCTGGTTCTTATGTCGTACATTCACATCAAACTACTTGGCACCTGGATTATACTCTATCCAAGATCCTGAGCTATGAGAACAGCACCATTGCATTAGAACTGGTATATCTTTGACTTCCCCTTATAATCATACCATTTATTCACCAAAAGAAACAGGAATAAGTGCAGAGGAGAGTTCGGGTCCGCACATCTTGCGGTTCGTATGACATGCATTCACATAGAAACTACTTAGCACCTAGATTAAACCCTGTCCAAGAGCCTGAACTATGAGAACAGCACCACTGTACTAAAACTATTATATCTCTGATTTCCCCTTCTAATCAAACCATGTATACACCAAAAGAAACAGGAACAAGTGCAGGAGGAGGGTTCGGGTCCGCACATCTTGCGGTTCATATGACAAGCATTCCCATATAAACTACTTAAACTAGATCATTGGTTTATATATATCCTATCAAGCTCCTTATTCGTGATCGTGACCAACACCCCTACTGAATTAGAAGCCTATTACTATAACATTTGCCTGGACAATCCATTCTATAGGGAAGATCAATGCTCACTCTCTCAAGCCATAGAATAACTAACCTCTGAAACTTCGCATCACCTAGATCAAAGCTAAATTCACAAACTAGAAATCTGAGAAATCATCACCTTCTCATGCCATAGTCTCACACTAGAAATCTGAGAAACCCAGCTCCACAATCAAGCATGGATGCCAGGGTTTTACAGGAATCGAATAAATTTCTTCTCTCTCCAAATTCATGACTGCAGCAACTGCTACATCTACAGACCGAGCTGGGAGTTAAGAAGGAATTAGTAATTACCGTAAGATACTTGAGCTTCAAACTTCCGTACACTACCCCGACACTGAACGCCGATGCACGAGCCACCTATATCACACCACCAATTCAATCCGCAATCGTAAGGAATCCATCGAGAATTTGATACAAACCTACCGTTTGATTCTCGATTAAAAGAAGGCAAACTTGGGGAGAATCGACGTCGATTACAGGAAGAACGAAGGAAACAGGAATTTACCAGACAGAGGGTGCTTCCGCCTGCGTAAGGACCTGGTACCGCCATTGCTCTCTTCTTCTGCCGCGCTGTAGAGAAAAGAGTGAAAACTCCTAGAGATCGCCGGAAATCGGGAAAAGTTTAGGGCACGATTTCTCTGATTTAATTTTCCCGGCTGCTGCTCCGTTTTCTTTATCTAACCTTCTTGTTTACGTGGACGGTGGATCGGAAATCAGGATCCGGAATTAGTCGGCAGCGGGTTATAATTTATAAACCGGATAAGGGCTGTCCCCCGGCCCACCAAGGTAACAACGGGCCGGTCCGGTAAAAACCGGCGGTTAATATCGGTTAGATTTATAGGGAATCAAGAGGGAAAACAAAAACAAAATATCAATTTTCCTCGCTGGGTTCTATTTTCTCGAGAAACAAACGGGAAGCGGAGAACGGAAAAAGGGAGAATTTTGATTTTCCATACGATTCGAAATCCTTACGCCGTGTGGAAGAAAATGGGAGCTTCGTCGTCGACACAGCAGGCCGGTTCGAGCGAGCAAAGAGAAGCGGAAAGCTTCGCAGCTTCTGTTGGAGCACTTCCTATGCTCCAGAACTCCTTCCCGAAGCTTGCCGATCCTCAAACCAGCGCGATTCCTCTTGAATCACTCCAGGTAAAAAGTCTAATCCAACACCAAAGGATCGAATTTTTCCTTCGTAAATGACTTCCCCATAAGTTCACGAGCACGATCAATACTCTAGCTGGATTATCTTACTGATTGAGTTTTTTCAATTCCTTTTTTCCTTCTTAGAAATGCTTCGATGTTAGTTGCGAAACCCCAGACTTCGAATCAACTGAAGCGCCCGACCCAAGTTCGTTTCTGGGAGTTTTGAATCATCTGGGGAAGTCCTTAGTAGACGAATTCTTCCTTGCTGAGAAGGAAGGGATCAGTTGGATTGAGTTTGTGAAAGGCTACGTGAAATGCTGTGGAAGGATGACTGCTTCGATGTCACTCAACGTTCTGATGAGACTGTTTGCTACGACGCTGGCGAGATCTGGGTCTCCTTCGAAACTGGAGTTTGAGTCAATGGATGATGGTGGTTATAAGATAAGTGGTTATCTGTTACCAGCTGATGTGCTCATTCTGCTATGGATGTCTTGGACAATGCTGTGGGATTCAAAAACTTCGAATGGGAAAGAGAGAAACCTATTCCTTCCGGATGTCAGTCATCTGGCGTTGTCTGCTGTTGTTTCGTGTTGTGATGGTCTTGATGGAGTAGACTACTGGGATTGTGATTTAGCTGGTTTAGAAGTTCAACTTCCTGCTGGGAAGTTCCTTGCTTGGGCATTGGCGACTGCTCCAAGCTTGACAGATTGCTTGACTCAGTTCATCAATTCGAGGCTGCAGAATGGTGGTTCTTCAGGGGTAAGAGAGTAATGATTATGATGTTTAGTGTTTTTCTCTTGTAACGTTCATGACCCTGAATGACGATTTTCTTGATGAACTGGTAGGATGAGTCTGCACAAGGTACCTCGAATGCTGGAGGGTCTGTATCATCGAATGCACGCAGTTCTTATCTCTTGACATGTGGACGTGCATGGGCGATTTCTCTTTCTCTCAGGAGCGCGATTAGTGTGGAAATTCTAAAACCATACTTCCCTAGTGATGGTGATCAATCAGATGAACACGTTCTCTATCGGTTTGTTTTCCTACACTGCTTGTGTACATATATTTATGTATACATCCCATTTTGAAACTGAAGTTCTATTGTTAAGTTTAGAAAGGAATTCTAGATTGACCCCCGTTCATTCTACTATTTAGGTCATCTGTTCACGGCAAGGGCTTGAATAGATTCTGGTCTAATGTTGAAGGTTATCATGGTCCATTACTTATCCTGGTGTCTGCTACTTCTGGAGATACTCATGGGGATAACTCAACTGCAAAGAAATGGACTATAGGTGCTCTTACGCAGCAAGGGTTGGAGAACAAAGAGAGTTTTTATGGAACCTCTGCAACTTTATATGCTATCTGCCCTGTGTTCCATGTATTTCCACCTTCTGGTAATCTGAAACTTTAAAACCCTTCTTCTGATCCCTTTATCATTGATCTTTCTTGTGATGAATGGTTACTGGAAGCTTTTGTTTTGCATCTATTTAACAGGAAAAGAGAAGAACTTTGTTTACAGCCACCTGCATCATGCTAGGGGATACGATCCACACCCAAAGCCTGCTGGAATCGGGTTTGGTGGATCAATGGGGAACGAAAGGCTATATATCGATGAAGACTTTGCTAGGGTTACTGTACGTCACCATGCAGTTGACAAGACTTACCAAAATGGTCCCCTCTTCCCCAATCAGGTAATTACTCCTGGCTGCGAATACAGCTCTCATCAAAACCAAGTGGATCTTCTCAGTGGGCTAACTAATCTTTTCCATATCGCAGGGGTTTCTCCCAGTTGAGGCTTTGATTTCAGAAGTCGAGGTCTGGGGACTTGGTGGAGAGGCAGCAAGGTCAGTACAAACTTCATACAAGAAACGGGAGGAGCTTTTCACTGAGCAGCGACGAAAGGTGCCCTCTATTGCAGCTTCAGACTAGGTTCACTGTTTAAAGACAACTGTCTCAAATTACACAAATTTTATCTTTCTCAATTTTTGTTTTGCAGGTCGATCTGAAGACTTTCTCGAACTGGGAAGATTCACCGGAGAAGATGATGATGGATATGATGGGTGACCCTAACAGAGTTCGTCGAGAAGACCGCTGAAAACTGTATCCCTCTCGTCATTTTCCTTCATGATAGATGAAGGATTAGAGCAGCGACTGATGGAAGAGGCATCTTGTCCGGATTTTGAGTTGTTTGTGTATACAGAATGCTGCTGAGAGATGAGCCATCTTGTCCAGATTTTGAGTTTGTTTGTACAGAATGATGCTGAGAATTTCGTCTTAAAACTTCAGTTGTACAGAGTGTTCCCTACTTAGTCTCACTTGGCTGTATCTACAATAAACACTAATAAAGCCTCGTCTTCTCATCGACAAAGCAATTGCAGTAGTAAAGCCTCGTTCTCTTGTTGACAGAGCAATTTATTCAATCAATTATAGGATCAATGCTCGTAAATTACTCGAGCTATTCAATACACAAGTTCACCATTTTATTGAAGGGACCATACAGTTTACCGTTGGATAATGGATGAGAAACTTGTTAAACAGTTTTAACATCAGTAACATCCTAAAAATCAGATGATTGTATAGAGAAAAGTAGGCTAGCCTCTAGCTGATGATTGTTCAGTCACAAGCATATGCAGCAGCTGCAGCAGTAAAATTTAATCTATGATCTTATCGAAACAATGAGAGTTGCACTTCTGCTGAAGATTCCATCAACTAGTGCCGGCTGAAAAAGAGCTGGATATCACTTCTTGTCTTCTGCTTTCCTTGGCTGGGGTCAAAGATGAAAGAGTAGCATCAGCAGACAAAGAATTGGACAGTTGGGGATTTTGTTGCTCGAGAACAATGCAGATGAAGATAGAGCGCATTGCTACTGATAGATGTATGAACATATCCAATTCTCCATTCAAAGGCAAAAGGAAGATTAAAACACAAACGGCTATCAAACAGGAAAATTAGCAAATATGTAATGTATAATCCCACGACGTAAATCGAAAGATAACCAGACATGAAAAGCTTAGTTTTTCAAAGCTGCATCCTAGCATTTGAGACATTCAGGCTTGGAAGAAAGGAGATTTAATCAGCTTAAAGACCTGCTACATGGGTCAGATCGTTCTGGGGAAAAAAATCATCATTCAAATCTTTTTTTGGTCTGTCCAGTATTATCATCAGGTTCCTGCTAAACAAACGAGGCTTCTTGTTGCAGAATATATCTCACAATAATGCAGGTGCAGATTAGGAGAGTAACTGCATAGAGATAGATTGATGTTCTATCTACATTCCAGATGATGATAAACCAGGCAGGCATGGCAATCATGTTAATCCAACTAGTAGCTCCACCAACACAGAGTAAGCTAGGCAAAAAGACGAACAACTAAGCTCACCACCTGTTCGACGAAATGCCCCAACGAGAAAACAAATAGGGCACCAAAATTCAACTAGGGAAGGAGCCAACGATTCACGAGGCCAAGCAGAAATAAGCAGCCTTGAACCAAAGAGATTAAAACCCCCCATCATAAACACTATTTGAACGGGCAGGGCACGCCACCAGAACACAAACCATAGGTCATGGTCTCATGGATTCAAGGAAATGAAGAAGAGAAAGGCGAAACAAACCTTGGTTCCTGGAGCAGGGATATTGAGCTCTTCGTCAGGGATGATAACCGGCCATTTCTCCCCAGCTTCCCGAAACATTTGCTCCGTCTCGAGGTACTGGCCTTTCTCCAGGATCATGTTCCGTATCGTCTGTGCAGTAGTCTGGGTGCCATCGAAGACCTCCTCGACGCCGTTGACGAAAGTGACGGTGATCTGCGGCGGGTGGTCGTCGGTGCGGCGCTTGACTTGGACCTGGCAGGCCGGATTCGATTCTTTAGCCTTGCGAGCGTTGCACTGCGCCAAGAACTCCATACACGAAGCCAGGCGCGGGTCCAATGCGTTGAACTCTATCCTAACCTTCGATAGAAACTTCAACATGATCTCAGCTTGCTTCTCCCAATTTCCCTTGTTTTCTTTCTTCTTCCTTTAGCTCGCCGTCGATTTTGGCTGACACTGACTGAACGACGGAGCGTCGGAGCCGGAGAGAGAGAAATCCCAGCTGCACTTTTTTATGAGAGCGATGGAGCTGTCTCTGCTCCTCTCCATTTGGTTAGTTCGGCGGGATGTTGGGCTTACTACGACGGAAGAAGTCCAATGGGCTTTCGGCCCAGGTGATTGAAAAAGACTACTACTTCCATAAGTTCCGTCCAAGCGAAACACTCAATGTTCATTATTCCGGTCTGGTACATGATTTGACCGATACAACCGAACATTACTAACCAGTAACCAGTTCATTTAACATCCAAGAATTCAGAGAGAAGCAAAACAAAGCAAGTTGAGACTTGATGAATGGTGCATCCCTGGTAAATTAAAACTTTGCTGTGGGGAACAAATAAGGCGAATTTCCTGCAGCACAAAACAGGCCATAGAAGCCTCTGTCGCCTAAAAAATGTACAGCTGCAACAAGCTTTTTCCCCCAAATGTAAAATAAACTACATGTAGTCACGGAACTCTTTCAACTGCTAATCTCTCTATCCATTTTCATCCTCTTGGAGCTCTGCATCTCAGACGAGGCCATACTGCTCCCTCTCGGTTGAGGTGGAGCAGCATTGTCGTGCTGAAAGGCACAGTTCGCTCCGTTCCTGCACCCTCTCGAGCTGTTGAAATAGAGACAGGGTTTCATGATTTTGGTCTTTGAATCCTTGGATGATTTCGAATACCCTAGTTGATCTTGCTGCTGTCTATGTTGTTGGTGTTGGGGTTGTTGTTGACCACCGTATCGGTCTGGTTGTCTCTCGCCTCCATGCTGCTGAATCAAGTTCTTATAGTAACTGAAATCCTTCATGGATGGTGGGGGGCCGCCGGAAGAAGCTGATGTGGCAACCACAGGTGGAGGAATGTTCATAAACGGTCCTGGGGGTGGAGCCGCCTGAACATTTGGACCAGGAGGAATCGTTCGTCCTCCCATGTTGGCATGACCGTAAAACGGTTCAGATGAAGCTATGAAAGGTTGTTTCGAGTTTTGGACAGCTGAGGTGGTGGCAGCAGCAGAGGCTCCGTGATCTTTCACTAATTTCTCGATCAGTTTCGGGTTGCTGAGAATCTTGATGAGCAAGTCATGGTCTATCAAGCTTCCTTGTTCGTTGCTTCTGTTGATGGCAGCAAATGCAGCCGATGCTGCAGCTACTACATCAGGTTCAGCAGCAGTGCTGGCAAATTGAGGTGCAACCCCAGGAGCTGACGATGACTGTGGTTGTTGTGCACTCATGGTTCCCACAATATCAGAGGAGTCCTCATCCTCGATAACAGCGATGGGAATTAGCAGAACATGGTCGTCATTATGATGGGAGTCTGTATCTCCAGGAAAAGCCGGACTGCAAGGAAAAAAGAAATTTTCAGTTAAAGAAGTAATCTTTGTGAAAGAAATGGGAAAGGAGAGACAAGCAAAAGATTGAGTTATGAACTTTGTTGGGATGGCAGAAGGGCGAGGATAAACAGCTTCAAGCACACGCATCTCTCGTTGATTTTGAGCCTCAACATCCTGGCTCTCTTCTCCAGCAACAACTATCCACTGTGCGTCCATTGTAAACTGCACAACGAGTTCAGGAAATCAGTGAGCTATCTGAAAAGGATAAATGGAATTATTGTTGGTTGGCGAAACCCCATAGAGAAGAGTGAACTATACCCTAGGTGGAGACCTCCATTTGATGACAGGAACATCTGATGCTTTGATTTGTGATTGGTTCGAAGACTGGGCTAGCTCAAACCCAGGAGGGAGAACATCATCACTAGCTGTCCCGGTTGAATGGGACACCCACGAGGCCTTCGCTTGAAGGTGATCTTGACCGGTTACTCCTCCAACTTGTGAAGGAGATTCTTCCGTTAGAAATAGCCGCACCTGCATCATCAACCAAAATCACCATTTAAGTTTAGAAGAGCATCAAGCTTAAGTTGAAAACATAAGGTCTTCCAAGCATACAGCTAGACTGAGGGATTTGGATATAATATCTCAACATATGAATATTCAGAATAAATAACATAAATAATGAATGCAACATCATCACCAAGTGAAAACTACAGATTCTCTCTCTCTCCTGAGCTGATAACAATGAAATTACAGTCAGGATGTATGCTTAAGATCCACAAAAACTGTTAAGGCCAAAACAGATATTAACAGCTCGAATTTTTCAAGTGCCAGGCAACCTGTAAAAGGCCCTCAGTACCGTCAAAAGTTGTTCAGAAAACAACCAAACAGGACTCGGATCTCGCAATCATATAAATGGTGCAACATTTCAAGAGAATGATGCGGCATCTGTTGGTTAACATTTTCTGACATAATTGACATGCAACCGAGCCCAAAATGGTTGACTACAACAACCTTAAAAACATTTTGCCTCCGAAAAAACCTGCATAGTAGCAATTGAACAACTAAATATTTTAGACTAGCCTGTTGAATAATGTCAATGACATGACTTTCAAGAAGCCACAGAAGCATGTTACTTACCTAGTGCTAGCAATCTCATATATCTATCTAATGGCTACATATCTCAGTAATTCTTTTAATAGCATATTGCTTAGCCAATGCCTCAATATTACTAGCAAGAGAAAACTAACACTAATTTTAGGCCTGCTGAAAGATCTGCAGATAACTAACCTAGTGCCCTAACACTAATCTTATTAACAGCTCAACTTGACCACCCCAATGAGTTTTACAAAACATTAAAAGTAGGCGACTTTGTTCCTTTAGTCAAACAGCCTTCAGTCACTGTCACCTACCTTTACCTCAAACTTTTCAAGAAAGTGACACACTCTGTCTACGCACTCCACTTTTATGCTATATATTTTCACAATTGAGTTTGAAACCTCCACAACATCTCACTAAGTTACCCCCTTTCATATCTTTCCACATATTGTAGTCTATCCTCGCTTATGTGAAAACATGCAATGGAAATATTTTTAGCCTGCAATGCGTTGAAGAAGCAGCAATGCCAAAGTATAGCATCCAGGGTTCTCGAAAGGTAAGAAATTCACAACATTCAAACGAAACCTATTTCACGGGTCGACAAGCATGATTTAGGAACCTAATTGAAGCATGATCCACATAAAAGTAGTGGCAACTAAATCATATAGTGCGTAAAAAGAGGCGACAAGCATGACTCGGGAACCTAATTGCAGCATGATCCACATAACAGTAGTGGCACCTAAATCATATACTGCATAAAAAGAGGAGACAAAAGAGGCTGCACATATGCTTAAATCTCAAACTTGTAGCATATCATGCAAAAGCACAAAGAACCGAGGGACATAATCCTCATGAACCACAACAATCCAGCTTCAATTAGTTGTTCTTCCCCAAAATTAACACCCACATTCATCTCCTGCTGATCTCGAAAGTGCCACTCAAATGAAGACCATAATTTCCCTATACAAGCTTCAGCATCCCTCCACAGGATCATTCATTCTCCCAATGTAACAAAATTCAAACAAGTGCATCCATCAATCAAAATAGAACAACAGGTCATGGATTGTCAAAGGCAAAGATGTTCATGCAACACAAAAAGAGGAAAGAATACTCAGCAATGCAGAGTTAACCAAAATCGCAGCAAAGAACAACGGGAGTCCACAAAATGCTTCAGTTCAACTAAACAAACCCACAGCCACTCTAAACAAAGCATAACGATGAAACTCCAAATCCCACACATTTCTGTTACTTCCAGTCAATTCCGTTCCACCATTTCGTTTGATTAAAGAGTCTATCTTTTTCTGGAAACAGTTATTTGTTTACCTGACAAAGATTAACATCCGACGCCCAAGTAACCCTTCTCGATTTTTCTGATCCTCTCATATTTACAGAAACCAACCACGACACTCTTCCAACTTCAGTGACTCCTTCCCCTTCCGCCGCTGTCAGTTGGTTAATTTCCAATTTCTCTTCATCAAGATATGTCTTAAATCACAAAAAAAGTTCATCGCCGGCACTTTTTTCCAGGATTCGATAACCCTAATTATGGCGCAGAAACATCACTGAACCAGCAACCGGAAATCAAATCCGTCCTATCGCGACGATGATCGGCGAGAGAGAAGTGGGATGGAAAGGGGAGGAAGGAGATTTAGCGGAGAGAGATCCGGAAGGGAGGAACCCTAGATCCTCTGTGTTGGCGAAGCGGATCCGTTTTGTGGACCTTTTTCCTGTGTTATCGATGGAGTCGAGTGGGGTGGGGAGGGGAGGGTGGTGGAGAACTTAAAAGCTGATTTTTCAACAAAGGAAAATAAAAACCCAAACCAGTTGGTTACCTCCAGCGCCGCAGGTTTTCTGCGTTCAGCGCGTGGAGTATTACTGTATTAGGGATAAATTTGCTTGTGTAATTTTTTTCCATACATTACCACTATGTTTGGGAAGGGGTGCAAATGGAAGGGGTGCAAGTTTGGAGGGGTAAACACAAGTTCCAAGGTGTTTACCTCCGTTTGGTTATTTTGTAACAGTAGGGGGGTGCAAAACGTGAGCGTAAATTCACTGTTTCGGCTTACCCCCCAAATTGGGGTGCAAGGAAAGGAAGGAAGGGAGGGGGAAGGAGGAGGAGGGGAATTATGAATTTTTAATTAGATTATAATTACATAATAATTAATATTATTAATTTTTTCTTATATCTATATTAGTGTAGAAGTTGTTTGGGGTTGACCGTTTGACTAAGAGAGCAAGTTTGTCAATGTTCGCCTCGTCAAATCGATATCTCTTAGTTGACCCGAATTTGCATTGAAAATTAGAGATAAGAAGCATTTGTTGAAAAGATAGAGAGGAACAGTTTAGTTAACTCGATTTACTTTAATAAGTAGTTAAAACTTACAGATTCGAACGTGTTTGACTAAGTTTGACCATATTCAATTTAAAGTTAGGCACGAGAACCCCCTTAGGATGACCAGTTACGAGTTGGATTTCGAGTTTCGAGGTTGCTCGACCAATGATTATTATTGTTGTTATAAATAATTATATTTGAGCATTATTATATAATAATTATTTTTATTAAAATTATTTTTATTTATTATTTTTATTATTATATATTGAATTTTCATGTTATTATTTTGTGATAATATTTTATAAATTGATAAATCTATTTTATAATAATATAATTACTTACTTTTTACTCTATTTGCACCCCCCTACTTTTTCATCCAAACAACAATTTACCCCTCCACTTACACCCTCCACCAAGTTGCACCCCCCAACAATTTACCCCTCAACTTGTACCCCCCTCGAACTTGCACCCCCCTTGTTGCCAAACATAGTGTACATGTCAAGTAGGAACAGTTTGATACGAGAATAAATACATGATGTTTTCACGTCAAATCACAAAACGAAAATCAGAAAACAAGATCGATCAAATATTTATTGTGTCAATGATAAGATATCTTATTTTGCCACGATATTGGTATTCCTGTTAAACCACGATACTGGTCAAACGTTTATTGACGCCTCCAAAACGCGTGGCTTGTCCTTCGCGCCATCCGGATAACCGCCTGTACATCCATATGAAAAAGTACATTAGTAATCCCGTGGCGATCATTCTCTCCAACAATCAAGTCATCCACATAAGCTAAAGTCTGTGTATAAGAAGTATCAGTAGCTTTGTAGCACAAGGGGTGATCCACATTGTTGAATTGATACCCTTGAATATGAAGCTTATCTAGAAGTTTTGATGATCATTGTTCGGATGCTTGTTTGAGACTATATAAAGACTACTTGACATGGTAGGTTGGGATTACAATCTTTGGTGATATTGTGTAATCTAGTGAAAGTTTCATATAAACTTCCTAATCAAGATCACCATGCATAAATGAATGTCCGTTCACATATAGCTGAACATACAAGTTTTATGCTTAGGAGTGGCCAAAAGTATCATAATATTTGCCATATTGACAACTGAGGCAAAAGTATATTGGTAGTCAAAATTTTCTTGTTGATTGTATCTATTGCCACAAGTTTGACCTTTTACCTTTTCGCACTCTCATTTGGATAAAATTTAACCCTATAAAGACACTTGTTGTCTACTGCTTTCTTTCCTTTAGGTAGTTGGACAATCCAAGAGTGGTTTTGTTTCCCCGGCGAGAAAAACTAGATGAACAAAATTGGATTTTGCACCTTTGACTTCTAAACAAAAGATTGAACAAACACGGTCCACACCTCTTTAAACAAAGTTCAAACAAGGGTGTTCGATGTTCTTGATGATGAGGCAAACTAAATTAGATTAAAGCGTAGTTTGGCCCTGCTGTAGCTTTTGCAGAAGCAGCTTCTGACTTGAGCTTTTAGATAAGTACTTTTCAAAAAAAGCAGTTTAGTGTTTGGCTGTAAAACTATTAGAAGTGCTTTTTAATATGAGCGGTTGTGTAAAATGACTATAAAGGACTTATAATATAAAATATAAATAAAAATTCTAAACAATAAAAAGTAGTCAAAATGGATCTTGTTAGATTTCTTTTATATTAAATAATATGATTTTATAATTTATTTTATTTTTAAAATGATATAAATGTAGGAAAATTATATTTTCAGAAATAAAATTAAAATATGGTAAGGATAATCTTGTATTTTCAAAACAGCTTTTCGCAGAAGCTCCAAATCGGAGCTTCTGCTTTTATGTTATACAAAAGTGATTTTCGGCTTTTCAAAAGCCGAACTTTTAGAGGTGTTTGGCCCTGCTTCAGCTTTTGAAGCCGAAAAGCACTTCTAAAAGCCAGGCCAAACATAGGCTAACTCTATTCCTATGGAGGTTCAGTGAGAGCTGTGAAACTACAACTATGGCTATGACTACATTTGCAGAGGAAAAGGTAAAGATAAAAGGATAAAATTTGACATTGTGTTGTCTAGTGTGATTTTGGCGAACCCTTTCTCTGTCATCTTCACCTCCTATTTATAGCCACCAGAAGTGATTGCTTCGAGAAATTACTCCGCTGACGTGGAGTGACGGTTACTCTCTCAACTGCTCTGACGGTTACCTTGACGTTGGATGTAGACTCTCTTCAGTCTTGGCCCCTCCTCTGGAGACCTCACTCCATGCTCTTGGTATCTCCTCCGTAGCTTTGCTTGTCTATAGAGAAAAAATGGCTAAGACATGAAAGCAGACCACATGCCACATATGGGTGGGTACATGAATCACCTAAGTTAAAATGGCAAAAATACTTCACCAATACTAGAGTAGGGACACCACGTGCTCACATGACCTCCCTTAACCACCTCATGGGGGGGGGGGGGGGGGGGGTGTCTTGGTAGCCCCCCTAACAACCTCATGGGAGGGAATGTTGACCACGCCCCTTGGCCATAACATGGGGGATCACCACGCTGATCATATCATGGGGATTGCATGCTCATGGCGGTGTGGGTTGATGGCCACCCCCTGATCATCTCATAGGGTCTTCCATACTTAGCCAAATTTCCAACCCACCTCACCACACTAAAAGGTACCCCATGGGGGTGGTAATATGACCCCCTCACTACGTCCCTGTGGGTGGCGGTAACCCCCCTCGGGATGGTGGAATGATGCCCACCTCACCCCCTACCACGTCCTGGGGGTTGACGTATGGTGGCAACCCCCCTTACCATGTCCCGGGGGTGGTGAGATGATGACCACCCCCCTTACCACGTCCTGAGGGTGGACGTATGTGGTGGCCACCCCCCCACCCCCCCTACCACGTCCTAGGGGTGGCGATATGGTGCTCCCCCTTTACCACGTGCTGGGGGTGGACGTATGGTGGCCACTCCCCTTACCGTGTCCTAGGGGTGGCGGTATGGTGCCCACCTACCTTACCACGTCCTGGGGGTGGCGATATGGTGCACACCCCCCTTACCACGTCCTGAGGGTGGACGTATGATGGCCACCCCCCTTATCTTTTCCTAGGCGCACATCATAACATGAGATAATGGGGCCAAAAATCCAATTCACGTGGCCCACTTAATTGATTTAAACCTTTATAATTAAGTTGGCCTTATAAAGCCATTTAATCCTTTATTTTTAATCGATGTGGTGCAAGTTGATTTTTTTAGTGGTAAACAGGTTTGTTTTTAGAGTTGCCAATTCAACCCTAATTGCTTGATTTTATAAGGTAACATGCTTGCTTCTTTCTAAGTGTTTAATTCACCATGGGAGGAGATGTTAAGCATAGAGAGTACAAATTCTCGTATCCACAACATAAAAAATCGAATAGGTGATACCTAAAGTCTACTGTTGTGGAAGATGACTGGTGGAAGAAATTTGTTAAAGTTGGTTGCACTGGTATATTTGAAGGTGTTTAAGTGTGGTTTGGTATGCCAGAATTTCTAAGTGATGGTTGAGGTTATACTTGATGAGGTGGTGGTGAAGGTGAGTCTTGGTCTTCCAAATCTGGCTTCTGTTTTGAGCTCACTCAAAGTGGATGCCATTGATGAATGCTTGTAGTTCATTTGGTGGACTAGGTGGATAGGGTGGGTTGTACGAAGGGTGGAATCATATTATAATGTAGGATTGAAAGGATGGTTATAAGGTTTGGAAGTGATATTGTATGGATTGGTGTCTTTAAGTGAAAAATCATTTTCGTAGAACAATACATCTCTCTATGTGAAAATATCATAGCTAGTAACATCATAGATTTTATAGGCTTGATCCTTGCCACATATCCAATAATTTTCCATTTATGGCTTTGGGGTCAATTTACTTTAATTGCTTGCAGTATTAGCAAAGCACATACAACGAGAACCCTAAGGTCTGGTAGGTCTTGTTTTTTGTTCTGAAGTTTGTCAAAGGGTGTTTGTTCCCCAGAACAATAATGGGAACCATGTTGAATAAATACACTATATTTTAATACAGCCTAGGCGCGAAAGGTTGGCTTGGAATCTCAAGTCTCTGGCTACAACCAGGATATGTTGGTGTCCTCAGTCTTGGCCCCTCCTCTTGAGACCTCACTCCATGCTCTTGGTATCTCCTTCATAGCTTTGCTTGTCTATAGAGAAAAAATGGCTAAAGCATAAAAGCAGACCACGTGCCACATATGGGTGGGTACTTGAATCACCTGAGTCAAAATGGCAAAAATTCTTCACCAATACTAGAGTAGGGAGACTGATAGACCGTTAGTTGCACATGTTTTTACCCCTATTCTTTAGCCGTTTGAGATGTCGATTCCCGCATTTAGGCCGATTTCACGCTAGGTTGTTCGTGTTTGTGATATTTCAGGTCCTAGCACATGAATGAAGGCCTGGGAACGAGTTCGGGGTTGATTGGACGAAGATTGGACGTTTGGCGAGAAGCTGGGAAGCCACACGGGCACCAATGCACCTCACACGGCCGTGTAGGGGCCCCTTGTGGCCGTGTGAAGGCTCGGTAAAAGCCACACGGGCAGCCTGGGGAGCCACATGGCCGTGTGGCCTCTGCCCGTGCAGCTTGCCTGGTTGCCCACTAATCGAAACGCCGCGTTTGAACACTCACATGGGCATCTGGGAAAGTCACACGGCCGTGTGGCCTGGCCGTGTGAGTCGGGAATCTCTGGTTTTAAGCCAAATTTCGAGCCAAAGGAGAGGGGGAGCTGGGTTTTGGTTCCCAAACACCCAAGGGACGAACCCTAGAGAGAGAGCGAGTTGGGAACATTCTTAGAGCTATTTTGGAGGATTTCTTTGCCATTGGAGCTCAAGAATCAAGCTTGGAGATGGAGATTGAAGATCTAGATCAGATTTCTACAGTCTCTCTCTTCTCCATGGAGTAACTTCCCTTCACTTAGGTTGTGAGGAACCCTAGTTCCATGTGTTAGGATCTTTCTGGTATGAAGTTTTGGATGCTATATTGTTTGATTATAATCGATTGATGCATGATTTATAGAGTCAATTGAAGCCTGATCATCTTCTCTTGATTTCTGCTTTACCTATGATAGATAGAATCTGATTAGGTTAAGAGAGCTTCCTTGATTGATAGTGGTGAATTGGTTGTGCGAGAGTCAATCAATTCACTGCTTTGTACTGGAATTCATTCCAGTAGTGGAGATCTGTGCTTATTGCTTCAGCTTTCTATCCCGGTGAGGACTAGTCGTCTGCCGGGTAGTTAGACTGAGAGGGTTTGGACAGCTTAAGAGATTCCAAGCTACTGTCGGATCTTCCGCAGTCTAATCAATAGTAAATCAACCCAGGGTAATTACAACTGAGACCTAACTAAGGAGCTAGGGGGACTCGAGATCTGTGTGAATCGCCGTAGCAGTCTATCCCGGTGAAGGCTAGTCGCCTGCCGGGTATTCTGTCTAAGAGGGCTTGGTCAACTTAAGAGATTCCAAGCTAATTTAGGATCTTCCGCAGTTTAATCAACAGTAGATCAACCAAAGGTAATTGCAACTTGGACCTAATTGAGGAGCTAGGGGGAATCATACCTAAGTGAGTTCCCAACTTGTAATTAGTAGAGTAGTTTAGTAAATCAATCCTTAATCTAGTTTGCTAGATAATGAACTGAAGCTGAGTAATAGTAACTCTAGAGACCCGTGGATTCGATATTTATTGCTTGTGCCACTATACTGCAGTCCCTTTCATTGGTTACACTTGGCCATTGTTAGGTGTTGTGTCGTAGCATGTCAGAGACCACATGCTCACATGACCCCCTTGACCACCTCATGTGGGTGGTGTCTTAGTAGCCCCCCTAACAACCTCATGGGGGCGATGTTGACCATGCCCCTTGGCCATACCATGGGGGATCACCACCTTGATCATATCATGGGGATTGCATGCTCATGGCGGTGTGTGTTGATGACCACCCCTGATCATCTCATGGGGTCTTTCATACTTAGCCAAATTTCCAACCCACCTCACCACACTAAAAGGTACCCCATGGGGGTGGTAATATGACCCCCTCATTACGTCCCTGTGGGTGGCGGTAGCCCCCTCGGATGGTGGTATGATGCCCACCTCACCCCCTTACCACGTCCTGGGGGTGGCGATATGGTGCTCACCCCCTTACCACGTCCAGAGGGTGGATGTATGGTGGCCACCCCCCTGACCACGTCCTGGGGGTGGTGAGATGATGACCACCCCCTTACCACGTCCTGGGGGTGGTGATATGGTGCTCACCCCCTTTACCACGTGTTGGGGGTGTACGTATGGTGGCCACTCCCCTTACCGTGTCCTAGGGGTGGCGATATGGTGCCCACCCCCCTTACCATGTCCTGAGGGTGGTCGTATGGTGGCCACCCCCCCCCCCCCCCCCTACCATGCCCTAGGCGTGCATGATAACATGGGATAATGGGCCCAAAAACCCAATTCACGTGGCCCACTTAATTGATTTAAACCTTTATAATTAAGTTGGCCTCATAAAGCCATTTAATCCTTTATTTTTAACCGATGTGGTACAAGTTGATTTTTTTAGTGGTAAACATGTTTGTTTTTAGAGTTGCCAATTCAACCCCAATTGCTTTTATAAGGCAACATGCTTGCTTCTTTATAAGTTTTTAATTCACCATGGGAGGAGATGTTAAGCATAGAGAGAACAAATTTTCGTATCCACAACATAGAAAATCGAATAGGTGATACCTAAAGTCTACTGTTGTGGAAGATAACTGGTGAAAGAAATTTGTTGAAGTTGGTTGCACTGGTATATTTGAAGGTGTTTAAGTATGGTTTGGTATGCCAGAATTTCTAAGTGATGGTTGAGGTTCTACTTTATGAGGTGGTGGTGAACGTGAGTCTTGGTCTTCTAAATCTGGCTTTTGTTTTGAGCTCACTCAAAGTGGATGTCATTGATGAATGCTTGTAGTTCATTTGGTGGACTAGGTGGATAGGGTGGGTTGTACGAAGGGTGGAATCATATTATAATGTAGGATTGAAAGGATGGTTATAAGGTTTGGAAGTGATATTGTATGGATTGGTGTCTTAAAGTGAAAAATCATTTTCATAGAACAATACATCTCTCTAAGTGAAAATATCATAACTAGTAACATCATATATTTTATAGGCTTGATCCTTGCCACATATCCAATAATTTTCCATTTATGGCTTTGGGGTCAAATTTACTTTAATTGCTTGTAGTATTACCTAAGCACATACAACGAGAAACCCTAAGGTCTGGTAGGTCTTGTTTTTTGTTGTGAAGTTTTCAAAAGGTGTTTGTTCCCCATAACAATAATGGGAACCATGTTGAATAAATACACTATATTTTAATACAGTCTAGGCGCGAAAGGTTGGCTTGGAATCTCAAGGCTCTGGCTACAACCAGGATATGTTGGTGTCTTCTCACAGGGGTGTCTCAGGCTCTCAACACAAGAAAGCTCATGAAAAAAACTAATTTCCATAAAGAAATTTTTTTTCCTTGGTCACTCATTCTTTTCACAAAGGTTTGGAATTGTCTCTCAACATGTTGGCATAGCTCTTGTAACTTAGGTTTTGTTTTAAATTTGGTTTGCAACAGAAGAGCCATGCCATCTAGTCATCTACAGTGTTGAGAAGATATTTGAAACCATCATAATTGCAAACATGATTTATCCCTCGATTTCTACATGTATTAATCCAAAATCGTGTGTGGTAATAGTCGAGCTACAAGGAAAAGGAAGTCTCTTCTGGCTCGCAAAATGATAGAGATCACAAGGCAAGAACTTCTCTGTTTCTATAGATGTAAATAGTTGCCTCGAATGAGAGATTTTGGAATGTGAAATATGAACTAGTCAAAAATTTCAGAGATGAAAAGCTTGAACATAGCTCCTGTTATGTGTTTATGGTTGTTATATACTACAAGTGCCATGTTCTCTATATGGTAAAGGCCATCGGAGAGCTTAGCAGAGCCAACCATCCTTCTCACTTGCATATCCTAGATCAAACAGACATTAAAGAAGAAGGTAAGTCAAAGGAATTTGTTGTGGTCAATTTGCTAACTAAAATGAGGTTAAAGCTAAATTTGGGCACAAACAAAATCTCACTGAGACCTAAATCTATAATATAAGTGACTATCGTTGCATGATTTTCCTCTACTTGATCTGTTATTGAATCAGTAATATATACTGTACACTTTTCTGTAACTCACTAGATAACTTAAAGAGCATACTATGTGGTATGAAGCCCTTATATCCATATTTTAAGCTTATTGATATGGTGTCTTGTTGTGTACAATTAGGGAGTATTTACATGCGGGTTCTAGAGTGTTGTGGTTGAATGATGTAGCTAAAAACCAAGTCCAACATTGAGTGGAGGCCTTTGGATGTTCTTCTCATTCATAAGATTCATAAGTTTGTTCTAATTTGCTTGGATGAGTCTGATTTACTACCGAGAGTCATCTGGACTTGATGGTTGAGATGTGTTGGCATAATTTCCTGCAATTGGAGTTCTTCTTGGAGTCATTTATCTAGTCCAATCATGCTTGTGAAATCATTTGTCTTCTGTGTGCCTAAATTTTTTTTGACGGTAAGTGTATTCTAGACTTCTAGTATCTTTCCAGTTGTATTTGAAGGCCTTGGAGTCATCCTAGGTGGCCAACCATGTTTTCACTAGCTCACATCTTCTTTATGAAGTTGTAATTTCCATTAAGTGCAAATTGATTTCACTTTAATGTTTTGAATGTTGTTGCTACCTTGTGCAGCCAAGACCATACTCTCAACAATAAATGCTTTTGCTTTGTTGGGTTCCGTTTTGTTGTCTATCATGATGAAGCATTCTTTTGAAAATTTGATCAGCAAGTGACAATGTCTCTAGAAAACACATCGGATCTTACATTTGTAAAGTTATTGTTAAGACCTCTTAGTAACTAAATCATATTATTAACGCCCTTGTATGAAAAATCTTGCCTCATGGCTGTATAGGTAGCATGACTATCGCAAGTGAAATTACAGCTTTCAAGATGTTGCTAGTTGTGTAGCTCATCTCTTAGAGCAATCAGGTTTCCATAAGAGCCAATGAAAGAGCTAATCGAATCTTTTTTTCCTTATGCCTATTCGACTTTTTCCCCAATAATTTTGAAATTGTCAAGCTACAACAATAATATTAAAAAATATTTGGTTAAAGTGTAGACAACGAATGTTTCTTGTTGGAAATATATGATCTTATTTCCTAGGTAATGAAATGTTGTGAATTACACGCTCTTATGTGCGAGTGTACAGAGAGAGCAATGGCTGTTTTTGGGAACCTGACCATGGTTCTAGTTTGTTTCCATTTCTCTTTTTTCTTGTACATCTATCTTTATTTTATTATTTTCTGAAATTATATATTATATATCTCTCTCCGTATTTTCTCAATCGGTTTAGAGCTGGAATGAAAGGACGGTAGTCGGGTCAACAACTGCACCCAGCCAGGATCGTCAATCGTGTCCAGCCACCGGACTGTAACACGTGGGCCTCTTTTTTGTTCCTCTTTGTGAATTGGGCCTCTGTTTTAGTTTCGGTCAGCACTTTTGTAGTTTGGTTGAACCTTTTGCTCTTAGATTAGAAATCACGTATATAATACTAGCTTTTTACCCGGCCCGTTGGCCGGAGAAATTTATTTTCTAATTTATATTAATTAACTTATTTATATGTTTAAATAATTTTAGATCTTCTAATTATTTTGTGTTCTTGATTCATAACAGAGTTTGTAGTATGTCTACATTAGAAGTTTCCAATATTTAGCACAATTACTTGAGATGGTTTAGTTTTCTAATCATAAATTATGCAGCTGTCACGTCCCATTTAGAACTTATGTAAAAATTTGTCAACCAAAACACTAATATTAAGCGTACGCCAATCTGAACCACACATACACACACATATCTATATAGTTCAAGCTAGCGTGGGCTAAGAGTACGCTATACTCTTACGTTCACACTACCATACGACCATTGAGATTTACTATTTATACCCCGAATTAACTGGAGTTTTTTGGGGCATGATACTATACCCTAACCCAGTGAACTCTAGTCCCTAATTCACCCTCTAATTTATCCCCCACCCCCATGATAGAGATCCCGCTTTTACCCACATAACGTCAGACAATGATTAGAGGCTATGGTTGTGATCAGAGGTATTTAGCCCCCGAAAGGGATTGGGATTTTAGGTCCTTTGGAAATCCAATACACATTCATGATCCTCGAGTTTGGACGAACTCTCGGCCAATGTTGTAAAGATTAGGACTTTTTAGTGGGAAATTCTTAGTAAAGATACTTAAGTATTGGATCAATTTATTCATCCATATTGAAACTTGACACACACCGTAGCCCTCATGATGATTAAACTATCTATTCTCGACTCATTTCCATTTTGGATGTTAGTTTTTTTTTTATCAAGACACTTAAATTTAGTATATTATACAATTTGTATCAATTGTTAATTCTTGAAGTTTAGACTAAACCTCAACCCGTGGTCATTGTTTATATGTTGGCTTAGAATCCCAATCTAAGACACTCACACACACTATCGAGGATTATGGTCTTAACATGGTCGTTGAATGTGTAATTTTCAAAGATTTTATCACTTATATATTAATAATTGATAAAGAGTGTACACAATACACATATATTTCAAGTGCATTAAAATGTCTTATCATTTTAAGAATATCGGTGGATTTCATTTGATTATTTGCATTAACTTATTATCTTATACAACATATATCAGTTCGTGTTTCTCGATTTTGGACAAACTGACAACCAATATTGAGAGTTGAGATTATTGGATAAAGATACTTGATTGCTGGATAAATATGTTTATCCCAATTGACTATCTTACTAAAAATTGCCAGCTTTTATTTGGTAAATGCCTAGGTTAGTAGTTGATGAAACGTGATGTTTATCGTAGATTCTCAACAAAGATTTCTCTAACCTTCACATGTATTATTTTTCAAGGAATCTTGTGTCTCATCCTAGGGTATGAAGTCAAAGTTTGTCAATAATCATACTTAAGTCATTTTGAAAATTTTGATTTATAATCTTTGACGATAACTCCAATCTGAAAGAAATTTTTTTAGCATATGATTTAGAACCTCAATAGAGCTTGTTCAATCAACACGATATAGAGAAAATATTATTAATGTGAACTTAGGACACATTATAAAATTATTGCACATGTGATTCCTCTTCATTTGTGGAGTTTAAGGTACAACATGATATGAATGAATAAGAAGTCTTTTTTAAATAAATAAATGTAACTACTCGATCAAGATTATACTTTACGAATAAGAGTTGTTTCATCGCAACAAAATATAAAGTAATATAGTTTATTTTTCAAAGGTAATTGAAAGTTAAATGTTTATTTTCTCTCTTTTCATATATCTTTTGTTTGATCAATAAAAAATTATTTTTTATGTTTATGTTTGTTTAATTTTTTTCATCAAAATGTAACTTATCTTTCAATTTTAGTAAAAATGAGTATAAAATTTACTTCGTAAGGTTTAATCAGATATTTTTTATATAAACAAATGTGATATATGTCACTCTCTATTCTTATTTATATTTTGTTTATTGACAAAAAAAATTATTATTTATGTGTGTTTGGTTAAGTTTATCAACATGTAACTAATTATTAAAGAACAAAATAAATGGATAAATGAAAAAGAATAATTGGATAAAATAAATGGAAACACTAAAGAAGAGAGAGGTAGCTCCATAAATACATTAATAATTAATTTTTTTTTTGTAAAAATGTTATCCAACTTGGCAAATTGTGGATCATCCAAATGCTTATATGGCAATAGATTGCTTTTGAATTGTCATAATATATAGTATAGATATAGATAGATAGATTAGGAATGTTTTTCTGATAAGATATTGTTCATTTTAAATTTAAACTCTCATTTTGGAGAGCCGTCCAGTGTAAAAAATAAATTGAGATATGCAAACCGCATTACAAATCACCACCTGGTTGCAACTTGCATACCTCAAAATGTGGAGACAAATTTTTATTTCATACCTGTGATTCATTAACAAAAACAAAACACTCGTTTGGATGGATCAATTGTAAAACGAGACAATTTGACCAATTGTTTCATTTTATAAAACGAGTCATTTAAAACGAGTCAATTCAAATTACCTATCCCACCCCAGACAATTGTAATTGGCTCAAAATGAGTCAATTCAGAATTCTCCAACCCAAATTGCTTCATCCAAATTTTCTGCTGCCAAACGGATCAATCTAGCACAATTGACTCAAAACGAGACAATTGTATCAGATTGATTCATTAGAATTTTCTCATCCAAATGACCTCAGCCCAAATGGGATGTGCGTAATTATATTTGCCAAGTTAATATCAGCGTTTAGTTGAACGAGCTGTTGAGACTTGAGTTGAGACTACAAATAGTCAGATTGGCACCACCTTCACCATCATTTCGCGAAAATGTTCAACGTAACCAAACAGGCTTTTCAAAGTCATTAACCAGTTAATACGCAGTAATAAAATATAAAATCCGTTTTACAATAGATAGCAATAAACATAATCCAGCGCCACAAACGAAAGAAAATGGAACAAAAATACAGTGAAAAAGTAATTATCACGCAGACAAATTTGAACAAACAACAGCAACAAACAAACAAACAATCGATCAGAAAACTCTGTATGTAAGTAAAGTAACATTGTCGACTGTGGAGTTCTCCTCTGGTAATTATGTGCGCTAAAAAAATTCCATTCCCAGCAGCAAATATACAACACACAAACTCCATCTTGCTCTCCAGGTTACCTATCTACTCGTTCCTCCAAACCACTCGCTTCTCTCTACGTACGTATATCAATATATCATATATAATCTTCCCGTCATCAAGCATCCGGAAGAGGAAGAGAAGTTACCTGAACAAACCCTTCAATGGGCTGTGCCTTCATCCTACATTTCTTCACCTCTGCCACTTTTTCTCTGGAACATGACAAGCAGTAGATGACTGGAAGCGTTAGACCTCATGCGGCACTCATGTTGACAGGAGAGAAGAGTTTGAAGAGGAGAACATACCATTCTTTGAAGCTGGTTGAGTTTGAGAAGCAGTCCGCTGGATGCGTGGAGAATCATGTCTCCCATTTGCTCCGGGCAAAGAGTGACGCTTCTTGATGTACTCTCGGTCGTTCACATCCGGGCTCGATCTTGGAGAGCTATTAATAGCCTGAAGCTTGGCTCTTGCGGACTCGGTGACTTGCATGAACCGTGGGACGGAGCTGCTGTTGCTGCTGCTGTTACTGGGCCGAGGATCTTGGTCGTTGGTGGCGTTGTCATCTCGTTTAGGCGAGCCAAATGAGTTCCTCCGCTTCCCGCTGTTCCTCGCGTTGGAATCACTTTGGGGGGATGGTGCAGACTTTTTGTTACCAGCAGACAACGACTTCCTTTTCTGAGTTGAAGAAGCTCTTCTCTCGCGTTTCTCGCTTTTAGTTACAGACACTTGACTTGCAGGCGTTCCGTGGGACTCCCCAGGGATGGTGATTTGGCTTCTGGTGGGAGAGGCAGCTCCCAGAGATCTCTCAGCTTCGTCTTGTTCTCGCTGTACTTCTACCTCGGGCGAGTGGACTGAGTTAATGATAGCTTCACTCTTCACATCATTGAGTTCTTCAGGCTGAGTGACAAAATTAGAAGGATTCGGCAAGGGATCTTCCGATGCATCCTTGCATTCTTCACCTGCATTCTTTACCACACTAGAGCTGTGGGTTTCCTCTTCTGAAGTTTTCAATTCTTGCCTGTGCTCGAGTTCTGCTGCTCCAACTTCCGATATGTCAGGTGAGTCGAGAGTCGAGGTGACAGAGAGCTCGGTACCACATTCCGAAGCGCCATATTGCACGGTTGACATATTGGTGACCGAGTGTTCAGAGGTACCAGGTTCCTTAGCCACGGCCAGAGTCTCTTCAGAGGAAGCTTTCTGCAGTTCAAGTTCAAGTCCTGCATCTTGTTGTTGCACTCGGTTGTGTCTTTTGTTTGAATCGGTAGCTGGACCCAGCCCATGCTCGAATTTGGACTGTGCAGCAACAAATGCAGGGTTGCTAACCTTCCTCGATCCATAAACAAACTTCTTTCCTTCAGTCTCTAAATCATCCGAGGCAAGTCTTTTCATAGAAGATCGTTTTGGGGGTTCAGGTTGTTCGGATTCTTGGGCCGGTTGACCATGTACATCTGACTGCAACGTCTGACTTGGAAGATGACTTGAGTCAACTGATGTCTCCTTAACATCATCATAAGGAATATCCACTGAACTTTGAGGCTGCTCCGAGTTATCTCCTGCTGGATGGGTTGATGCTTGGCATTCCTTAAACTTGGGATCACTTGCATTATATGTAATGTGATCTTCTTTACTTTGGAGTGAAGAAACAGCTTCCTCAATGTGGGATCTCGAATCTTCAACTACGAGGGAACTCTCAGACACCACAGAATGCTCCTCTTGCTTCTCTTCTTCCACCTTTTCAGGGAATGGCTTTGGTTTTGGTGTTAGCTCCGGTTTTGGTGTGGGCTCAACTGATGAAGCAGACGTCCATCTCTCCAACCAGACCCAAGAGGAATTTGGCTGTAGAGGATCACACTTGATGTTGATGGGTCTTGACTTTGGTGTTGAACCTACAAGCTGCAAATGTGAAAGAAGAGGATTGGAGTATTCACAGTGAGTGGAGAGTTAGCATATCCATAACCAAAATAGCATCATGGAAATCAGAAAATATTCGTCAGGATACCTGACGAGCAAATCTGTTACTCAGCAACTTCTCGAGTGAAGTATAAGTTACCGTTGGTTTGGATACGGAGAGTTCCTTTTTCTGAGACAAAAAGGGGTAGTATGGTGAGATTATTGGAATATTGTCCACGAACTAAGCTGGCATCCAAAGAACAACAGTTTGTAATTGTATTATCGAACAATAAAGATATTTTGTTCTGTTCATGAAAATTGTTCCAGTTCATAATAGAAAGATGTAACTACGATCCAATGTTGTCAACAGTTTCAATTCCTTCATTGGTTAGTCAAAAACTCAAAATAAACTAGGATTTTGGATGTATACACTACAGATTACACATAGACTGCAACCCCTATCCATCTTAGTTGGTGCTTCGTTCGTTTGCTTAGGCTGTACGTTTGTAACTAGGATATATCAGTAAAAGATGGTAAGACAATAAATATGAGTTTATGGGCTTTACCAAGTCTTTTGAGGAAGCCATTTTCCCATTGTCAACGTTCGACTCTCGATTACGAGCATGACGGGCACGTACAAGTAGTTGCATTTTAGTAATGGCCTGAACACAGCGTAGGGTTCCCAGAGCACGTTGTCTGACCAGGTGGCCACGAACAACAGCCTGCAGCTTCACCACACTCTTAAGCCTGACAAGTTCTTTTTTAGCCTGTGGCACCAATTTCAGAAAGTTCAATTACGTCAAAATAAGGCAAGCAATAAGCATCAGAGGAGCATATCTTGAACAATGTAAATGACATTTACCATAAAAGTTCTGGCTGCAGACTGTAGGATGACAACAACTGATTCTTCCATATTGGCATCAGCTTCCTTTTCGTCCTTGTCGAGTGTAATGGTCTTGGATGCTTTCTCGTTCACAGGGATTGGCAATGTTGGCTTCTCATCAACGCATTCCACAACTGAAATTTTCTCAGGAACTGAAGGAGTATCCTGTCGTTGATAGTTAAGACTGGCAGGTTCTATGCTTTCCTTGATTATTGTAGAGGGGGATTCTGATGTGACATTATTGCTTAGTACTCTATGACGGGCTGATCTTTTCCGGAAACTCCACCCACGCTTGTCACTTGAGCCTTTGTTCTGTAACAAATTTCGACATCGTTAAATCGCTATACCTCCCTCATCAAAAAGTCACTAGCATTGGCAGCCATGGCACTGAATGCATATAACCAAGTAAGTTGTTAACAATATGGACAACCTAATTGCAACCTAGGCAAATGCTTATTAGAAATTAGTTTATTCATCCCAAAGCCAGACAATATGCACAACTTTCTTTTACCAACTCATGGACGACTGAAAGCAAATGACCAGGCAGTCTCCAGCTCTCTTGACTAGAGCTCAAGCACACCATACACTTCCTACATGAAAGGGTAAAAAAAAACCCCACGATTTTTTGAATTACCAAATCATGGAAGACAAAGACAAGTCCCCCTAGTGAGAAATTTATAGCGCTTGGACCTACTTTTCCCTCTACTGCAACTGGATGCCATACTATTCCTAGCAAGATATGTGCTTTTACTTGGCTGGTTTATCAAGACAAGATTCTCACACTCGATTGACTGCAACAAAGACGTTGGGAATTGCCAAACAGATGCTGCTTATGTCTACAAGCTGCTGAAAGTACAAACCACCAACTTCTACACTGCAACTTTGCAAGGAGTATATGTAATTACTCTTTCTGGAGACTCAACTCCATAGGAGCCATCCCTTCACGCTGTCCTAACCAATGGAGGCATTTTACTAAAGGTACAAAATTTCCGAAGTTCATTAAGCTGCTGCCTCATTCCATCATTTGGAGCATATGGCTAGAGTGAAATGAATGAACTTTTAGAGATACCAGCTGCTCATGAGACCAGGTAATGCACAAAGTGGTGAACGACTGTATAAACTGGAGTGTGGCTAAGGGTGTCCGGAAACAACAGGAGGTGCGACTATTGAGTAGGCTTTTGTTTGGGTATAGAAACACGCCTTCTCTAGATAGAACCTGAAGATTTTCTTTCATCTATTGCTGTAATGTTCTCAGAATATATTCGATTGTGAGCAACCAACACTTCATTAATACAAATACAAAATCATCCATAAAAAAAGTCCCCCTCCCCTCCAAAAAGTTCTCCAAGCTTTTCCATACATCTCCGACAATACCAGTTGAAGTAAGATTCCCAGATACATAAACTAGAACAAGAAAAAATACAGCGCTAATATCCAGCATAGTTTCTCAGATCGCCTTAGTTTCATCCAAATAGACGAAAAAGAGAAAACAACCCTTAACTCATTCTAGCCAAACGAATATTTGAAAATTTGATCCGTCGGAATTAAGATCCGTCCGTATCACCGTTGAAACGTAGCTGGAAGTTCTATCCAAAAATTCCAAACAATCCTAAAGTAGCAACGATCACCATTGATACATAAAAAAAACACTTCCCCTGATAAAACAACGCGAAGATCCTAGTAAAAAAAACCAGCAAACAAAAAGATTCACCAGCAGTTAATCAACAAAAGCAAATAATTCCAATTACACACACTCTTGGATCTCGATTACTAACCGGAACGAAAACCTGCTATCAGTTTAATTTTCAATTTCTTTCCATTACCAGCATTACTCTTTACTCGGAAGCTCCAAGTAAGAGCTCGGAGAGCTCGAAGTCGCAAAAGCCCAAACGGATCACACGAACTACACTACTGATAGTAGACTTCGAGTAGAGATTGCTAGCTCGATTGAACTTCGAGAGAGGAAAAGAAGAAAAAACAATGCGGCTCGAGAAATCAGGTACCTCGGGAGCTTGGATATCAATGTCATCCTTCTCAACTGCGGAATCGCTCCCGCACGTGATAATCTTGAAGCAGGGATTGGATCTCCCCATCGCTCCGCCGTCTCCTTCTCCGCCGCTGCTTGCTTTCTTATCCGGTGCCTATGGCGGCGGCGGCGGCTCTTCTGTCGTCGAGTAGGTAGGTAGTAATAGTAGTAGTGTCTAACTCAGATTCTCAGAGAATGGCAGCCAAGGGCTATATCGGGAGTGTTGTTGGAAATTGTAGCAAAAAGAGAGAGGGAGGGAGAGTTGGCCACGGACCTCACACCGCGGGTTTAAATGCGGTGAATCCCGGCGTTTGGATTCCGCCAACCCCGTTTTCACCGTGTTTCCGTTGGACGTTGGACCGTTGCCTTCTCTAATCAATCTTTCCTCTTTCACTAATCACTTTCTTTCTTCTTCCCCGTGAAGGTGAAAAGTAAAAAATCTTATAGCGATGGGGGAACAAACCTCCCGTTGGACGTGTATCAATGCGGCCGCATAAATTTAATTCGTGTGAAGACAAATGTGCCAATCCATCAATGCTGTAGTGTTCCGCTGCCGCTCTTTACTACTTAGTGCCATGTTGGTTGCTCAACCAACTAATACTTTCAATAAATAACACATGTTGCTTTGCTCCATCGAATCCAAGGAAGGACCGGTCAACATTCAACACATTTGCAGAGAAACGAATAACCAATACGTCAATAATGAATGATAATAATAGGGGTTTCACTAAGATTTTGTTTAGAGTGCGTCCATTTACAAATAAAATGGGGTCAACAATTCAAACACATGAACTTTTGGTCAACCATTCGCAACTAGAGGTGTGTTAAATTTTCTTATCAATTAACTATTATACTAGTTTACTCATGTTTTTTTCCTTAGGAGCCTCCCGTTACGCTCTCCATACCACTGATTGAAATAAAATTATTTTTTATAAATTAGCTATGATTTGGTGGAAATTTGTTCGAGTTGGACAAATACATCTTTTAATTTTGGGCGGATTTATGCGCCATTGTCATTTCTCGTTTGTACATAATTCGTTATAAAACCATTGAATATGTTAATACACAACTTATAAATCATACATAAAATATTTGAAAGGTCAACCATTCTCATTAAAATACTTGTTATTTTTCGTACCCGATTAACTATTATACCTAATTTATCATTCTTCCTCCCAAGCCAGGGTGGGTCCCTTCTCTCTCCACCCCTAATAATCATGCATACTTTTATATTTACTGCATATTAAGGTGATATACAGTGGTATATTTTGGAGAAAGAAATTGAGACATTTATTACCTGTACATACCATGGTGACAACGTTTGGTAGTATATAAGAATATTCCATGTGGTATAGAAGTGTGTCATGTTGGTATGAGTATACCATAATGTAGAATGGTTCTTTACATGATAGTAGGACTATACTAATCGATATTTACTAAATTTCATCATCGTTTACCACCAGTTACCACCGTATATGAGGGTGGTATATTTAGTCTTAAAAAATTTAAAGATCCAATAGATTATGATGAACTAGTTCATTCTGGGCAAAATTTTCTAAAATTTGAGTTAATTACTTTAGGTTAGGTCGGTCTCGTCATTCACGAAATTCCCCCGTCCATCGATCAATCACGCGAGTACACATCCAGTCATAGCGGGTCTGGAGAAAGAATAGGAAAGGTGATTTCACTATACTTCTGTCCATGAATAGGGCCTATCACAAGAATATTTTTTTATTGGGACGATAACTCTGAAAAGACAGATTCCCTATCTTTTCTTCATCTCTGGCGAAATATGATCGGGGGGGCTAATTCAAATCCTTCGGGTAAAAGGGCATTCCATCCAGCGTAAGCATCTGGATAATCTGGAATGCGACGTGGCATACCCGAAAGCCCTAAGAAATGCATGGGAAAGAAGGTCGGATTAACCCCGAAAAAAGTGATCCAAAAATGGATTTTACCTAAAGTTTCCAGGTATGTCCGACCAAAGATTTTTGTGGATCCTATTTCAATCGGAACTTGATGAGTCGAAACAAAGGTGATACAAAGTGGTGCCATAGTGGTAACGAGTGGTATGAGAAAATTTTCTCAAAATATATTGAAAATGGATATCAATTTGTAGATCACAATAAATTCATTCCACCTATGCAATTTTTTTAAATCCATGTTAAAAATAAAAACCAATTAAAAATTGGAAAACTAAAAAGCCATTTACTCTAATTCATTAGATCTTGCTTCACTTAAAATCAAATGCTCGTATTTGGACCCATTTTTAGATTCCAATTAAACCAAATTGGTTGACCACCAACAAAATCTTTTCACAACTCGTTTCAACCTTTGGCACAATCAAGAAAGTGAATTAAAGGGTTAGTGGTTAAATCAGTTTAGCCCGATTTAATCCGAGTATGTATAAAATATCATTGATGTGACGTCACATGTATAAAATGAATTGGATTAGTTAGATATTTAAATTGATGGATTACATTGGATATCTAGTTACAACCCGTGGAAGATGTTTTAGTAATGTTGTCTTTGACTTTCCAATTGAGCCGGGACCCGGGAGTATGAAATTATTTATATAGACTAATCATGGATTAATCAATAATCATTTGCATGATCAAGGTGGATACAGTACCGTCTTCTTGGCAACTATGTGAATGTTATCCACTTCAAGCTACCCATATGATGATTTCGGATGATGACAAACATCAGCCAGTAGGGTTAGTTAGATCACATGATTACGCATATGGAGATTAGTGTAATCCGTTTGTTAAACACTTTGGCCCTACATCTGAACTTTGGATGACCTGTCTATCGTTTTACTAAAAAATTCGCATTATATAATACTTGCACTAAAATTTCAAAACTACACAATTTTTGTGTGATTCATTGAAGTATCCACCAATTTTGGAGCTAGTTTACTGTAGGGGTGGCATTCGGTCGGTTCGTTTCGATCGAACCGAAATTATGAATACCGGGTTCCCGAATGCTCCCAAATCTCAAACCGAATTCGAACCAAATTATAATTCGGTTCGATCGGTTTAAACCGAATTATAATTCGGTTTGGTTCGGTTTTTAACACAAAACCGAATTTGTGAGGCTACTTGTATATTCTCACTTTTAAATTATTTTTCACTCCTAATATAAACAATAAATATGCAATTATATGCATAATCAATGATAAAATCAAACTTTTCAACACATAAGTCATAAAACATTTCAAATATTTAAGTATAAAAACAACTACAAATATAAATATCCACCATTTGGAGGTTGCAATTGTAGTATTTCGGTTTTTCGGTCGGAATTTCGGTTCAGTTGAAAGAACCCTGGTTTCCGAAATATCTATATTTTCCTTCCGAATTCTGAACCGAATAACATTATTTCGGTTTCGGTTCAGTTTAATTCGGTTTTGGTTCGGTTCGGTTCGGGTTTACCGAAGCGTTTGCCCACCCCTAGTTTGCTGGATGAAAGCCATTTCACCCAAACTGCTCGAAACAATGGCCATGTACACTGTCATAACTGGGGAGCTCAATTAGTACGATATTATCCGCTTTGGACCAAGCCCACACGATTTTACTCTTGGATATCCTTCCCAAAAGGCCTCGTACCAATGAGTTTGGTGGACACTAATATACAAGGGTCCTTTCCCTTATATTACTGATGTGGTACTTGGATTGTCCCATAACAGTCCTCCCCTCAAGACAAGGACCACGAACTTTGTGTCCTCACCTCACAGATTATCTTGATCCACCAGACACTTTTATATCGATGGGCTTCTCGATACAAGAATTTTTCCAGACACAGAACTCTCTTTGATCTGCCAAATCAAACGCGGATCTGCCTTGATCCATCAAACGCGGAACTCTCTTTGATCCGCCAAACAGCCCAAACGTGGATCTCTACTGGATCCACCAAACCAGACGCGGATCACAAACCTTGAGGCCACCAAACGAAGGGTCACCAAACTTGTTTTCCACCGTCCCGGAACCGAACCAGGCTCTGATACCATTTGTCAAACCGGGGTGCTCAATTAGTACGATATTATCCTCTTTGGGCTAAGCCCGCACGGTTTTACTCTTGGGTATCCTCCCCAAAAGACCTTGTACTAATTGGGCTAGGTGGACTCTAATATACAAGGGTTCCTTACCTTATATTTTCAATGTGGTACTTGGATTGTCTCATAACAATCCTCCCCTCAAGACAAGGACTACGAACATCGTGTCCTCACCTCAGCGATTATCTTGATCCGCCAGACACCTTGTATCGATGGGCTTCTCGTTACAAGGATTTTTCCAGACGTGGAAATCTCTTTGATCGGCCAAACAGACGTGGATCTCTCCTGGATCCGCCAAACAGTCCAGATGCAGAACTCTCTTTGATCTGCCAAACGAACGCGGATCGCAAATCCCGAGGCCACCAAACTGACATCCACCGCCCTGGATCCGCCGAACCAGGCTCTGATACCACTTGTCATAACTGGGGAGCTCACTTAGTACGATATTGTTCGCTTTGGGCCAAGCCCGCAAGGTTTTACTCTTGGTTATCCTCCCCAAAAGGCCTCGTACTAATTGGGCTAGGTGGACTCTAATATACAAGGGTTCCTTCCCTTGTATTTTCGATGTGGTAATTGGATTGTCTCATAACAATCCTCCCCTAAAGACAAGGACCACGAACATCGTGTTCTCACCTCAGCGATTATCTTGATCTGGCAGACACCTTGTATCGATGAACTTCTCGTTACAATGATTTTTTCAGACACGGAACTCTCTTTGATCCGCCAAACAGACATGGATCTCTCTAGGATCCACCAAACAGCCTAGACGCAAAACTCTCTTTGATCTGCCAAACGAACGCGGATCGCAAATCCCGAGGCCACCAAACGAGGTTCCCACCAAACTGACGTCCACCGCCCTGGATCCGTCGAACCAGGCTCTGATACCACTTGTCATAACTGGGGAGCTCACTTAGTACGATATTGTTCGCTTTGGTCCAAGCCCGCAAGGTTTTACTCTTGGTTCTCCTCCCCAAAAGGCATCGTACTAATTGGGCTAGGTGGACTCTAATATACAAGGGTTCCTTCCCTTGTATTTTCGATGTGGTAATTGGATTGTCTCATAACAATCCTCCCCTAAAGACAAGGACCACGAACATCGTGTTCTCACCTCAGCGATTATCTTGATCTGCCAGACACCTTGTATCGATGGACTTCTCGTTACAAGGATTTTTCCGGACACGGAACTCTCTTTGATCTGCCAAACAGACGTGGATCTCTTCTGGATCCACCAAACAGCCCAGACGCAAAACTCTCTTTGATCTTCCAAACGAACGCGGATCGCAAATCCCAAGGCCACCAAACGAGGGTCCCACCAAACTCACGTCCACCGCTCTGGATCCGAACAAGGCTCTAATACCACTTGTCATAATTGGGGAGCTCAATTAGTACGATATTGTCCGCTTTGGGCTAAGCTCGCACGGTTTTACTCTTGGGTATCCTCCCCAAAAGGCATCGTACTAATTGGGCTAGGTGGACTCTAATATACAAGGATTCCTTCCCTTGTATTTTCGATGTGGTACTTGGATTCTCTCATAACAATCCTCCCCTCAAGACAAGGACCACGAACGTCGTGTCCTCACCTTAGCGATTATCTTGATCCGCCAGATACCTTGTATCAATGGGCTTCTCATTACAAGGGTTCCACGTTTGGTGGATCAAGGGATATCCACGTTTGATTTGGCAGATCAAAGAGAGTTCTGCGTCTGGGATGTTTGGTGGATCTAGGAGAGATCAACGTCTGTTTGGCGGATCAAAGAGAGTTCCGCGTCTGGAAAAATCCTTCTAACGAGAAGCCCATCGATACAAGGTGTCTGGATGATCAAGATAATCGCTAAGGTGAGGACACGATGTTCGTGGTCCTTGTCTTGAGGGGAGGATTGTTATGAGACAATCCAAGTACCACATCTAATATACAAGGGTTCCTTCCCTTGTTTTTTCGGCTCAGTTAAGAAGGAGCCCCCACTCTCGAAGGAGTCTCGATATGCCTTCATGAAGAAGAAATCGTTGATCCAACTCCTCCCTAGCTTGGGGCAACTAACCACGAAGTGGTAGGGAAGCTTCGTGCGCTTATGCAGGGATAAGCAATTGTTGAGGGACACCATATTAAAGAAGTATCTTAACAAATTAAACGTGGGCTTCACATTGTGCACTCGTCACTTCAACTTGAATAGAATCACTACCCGAATAACGAATGGGGATAGACGCCCCAAGCTGCAACCACAGACAGCCAAAATCCCCTCCAAAATGGGGTCGATTGGGAAGCGTAGCCCAAAGCGAAAATATTCCTTGTAGACCCCGATCCACTTCGGATCGCACACTCCGACTATGGCAATTAGGGGTGGGCATTCGGTCGGGTCGGTTTTGACCGAACCGCAAATTATGAATACCTGGTCCCCAAATTCTCCCAAACCTCAAACCGAATTCGAACCGAATTATAATTCGGTTCGGTTGGTTTAGACCGAATTAAAATTCGATTCGGTTTTCACACAAAATCGAATTTGTGAAGCTATTTGTATCTTCTCACTTTTAAATTATTTTTTACTCCTAATATAAACAATAAATATATAATTATATGCATTATCAATGATAAAATCAAACTTTTTCAACACATAAGTCATAAAATATTTCAAATATTTAAGTATAAAAACAACTACAAACATAAAAAAATCCACCATTTGGAGCTTGAATTATAGTATTTTGGTTTTTCGGTCAGAAATTCAAAAATTTAGTTCGGTTGAGAGAACTCTGATTTCCGAACTATCCATATTTTCCTTATGAATTCCGAACCGAATAACATTAATTCGGTTTTGGTTCGGTTTGGTTCGGATTTACCGAACCGGTTGCTCACCCCTAATGGCAAGCGGGGTAGCGGGCGCATACCACCAATCGCGCGGCAGTTGCAAACCTGTAACCACCTCCCTCCCTCGCGCAGACGACATGATAGATTGGTGGTTTGGCCCTGCCACATTGAAAGGCACCTCGGAGGTGTCGAGTGGCACGTAATCCGGGGGAAAGTTTTTTTCCCCAAGTAGTGACTTTGCAGGAGCCGTTCAACGGGGCGCCTTGATCAGGAGCAGCACTTGAGCCACCAGGTTGGTTTTGCGAGGCAGACATGGTAAGGAAGGTGCGAGCGGGAGCGAGTTGCAGGCGGCAGGCACGACGGCGGCTAGAGAGAAGTTAGAGAGAGAGAGGGCGTGTTGCGAAGTGGTGAAGACAAAATGAGGGAAGAAGAAATATTTATGGGGGGAGGGAGACACGCCTCGGGATCCGCGCATGTTAGCCACGTGTCATGATCTCGGGCGGTTATTTGAGTTTCAAAATTCAAAATTTGAATTAAAAAAACCCCCGCCCGAGTGGGGGCCAAGGGGCCCGTGCTAACCAGGCGCCTATGTCAGGAGAAGAAATTCAGAGTCGTCGAAAATTAGCATGCCACCCCAAACCGATACGCCTACGAGAAGGAAAGGGCGGCATTTCGCGCAAGGGTCAAAATCAATTGGTATCAGAAGGGAACACACAAGCCAGGCGGCTAAGTTAACAAGGGGAAAAGCAATGGCTAGATGAAGCGCGCTAACCAGGCGCCCGTGACGAGGAAAAAAAAGGTAGCAATGGAAAAATTGAGCACGATGTCCAGGCGCCCGAGTACGGAAAATCGCTGAGGAGGAAATGCCCCACCTGGACAAACCCAGACGCCTGTCACGAAAAATAGTGGGTGCCTCATTTCAGTGGTAAGACGAGGCAATATAGTCAGACCCTCAAGTTTTGGAGACTTGAGAAGCTAACTGGGGGATATTGCAAAGAGTGGAGCCCAAGCAAGGGCATGACGAAGCCCAATAAAGACAGGTTTGGTTACCCAGAGGGAGAAGCCCACGAAGGGGCCTGTCGGGCTTAGTCCAAATAGGATGAGGGGCGCATAGAGACAAGATACGGAAGACCCCAAAGAAGTCTAGGCTGTCAACGGTCCCCCCACCCTCAGACGCCTGTCAGTTGTTGGGGCGCCTGATAAGAATAAAAGTACAAAGCATTAAATGCGATGCTGTAGTGGAGGAACTCAACCTCGGGTTGGGTGAGTATAAATAGGAGAGGTAGGTAGCATTTACACAAGTTGGACTCTCTCACTAAATTCTGGAGCTTACCACTTCTCTCTCTAAACTCAAGCTGACTTGATCGTCGAAGGACTAACGGGCCCGGGCACCCTCCTCCGTGTGCGTATGTGCAAGTCAGGCGCCTCGAACTCATAGAGCGGGGATAAGGTTGGTGTGAAGTGGGGCTCCAAAGTATACAGGCTCAAACACAAGCCAAATTTTTATAAAGATGAAGATGTAGCAAACTACCTTCAACAATTTGCGACTTTGAAGATTTTGAAAAGTTATGCATAAGAAAAAAATGAATTCGATATGATCGAATAATAAGTGCAATATTATGAGTGTTTGAAGTTTCGACATAGGTATGACGTACATTGCTGAAATTGGCCATGCTTTTGCAGCTAGTCAGCTAGATCGCTTCAGTTGGCCACGATTAACCTAAATTGATTTAGTTGGCCACGATCTGGATAAGATCGCTTCGGTATCTAGAGAACTGGTACCAAAATTACTGAATACTGCAACGAACCTCAAACTTCGTTTTGTGAACTTTTAGTGTAAGTGTGGTATTATGGGGATTTTATAAACTTCGATTAAATGGGGCAAAATCTGATTTTGGGACATAGCAGCATCCATATTCGGCGACGGCAATGCATCATGTAGTAATGTTTGTACTCCCGTCAAAGGAGAAAATGGAACAAACCGTCATTTTCGCAATGAAAAATCAGTGGCAGTATGTCACCTACTAGAGCTGAAAGTTTGGTATTGATATTTGGTATTTATCAAATACCGTACAAAATTTGACGATATTTGGTATTATCGAATACACGAATTTTTTCATGGGATTAGAATTCTGTTTAAATTTCAAGTGTAATTTCGTATTAGAAATTATGAGATTGAGATCGGTATATACCGAAATATGGAACAATACCAAAATATAATATAAAAGAGTGGTGCATTTTATCCTCCAAATTAATCTCTGCTCAGTCCTCACACATTTTTTACCGGCCCTTAATTGCTAACTGAAATATGTATAACCCATTAGCCCACACAATAATACAAAGTTCAATGATACTCTTTAGGAATTTGAAAATTCATACGACTGATATGAGGCAGCTAGCGGCCAACCCACACGCAACATCTACTCTCATCCCACCAAAAGAATCTAGGTCAGTATCTTCTCCCAGTGCGCCTCTCTCAATTCACAATTGCTAATCGATTCGGCGAAGAGCAAGCAGGCGGCAACCAAATCCCGATCGACAAGTGGTATGGAAAGCAGCTGATATTAAACAATCAAATGTCCTAGCTCTAGGAAAACTAAACTCCTTTTTTAGTCTCCATGTATAAATTAAACAATCAAATTTAATTTATATATTTAATTATTAATTGTAAATTTAACTAATTTTGTAATCGCCGATTGGGATACCGGAATACCAATTGAGATATCGAAATATTTAGGGATTGGGATTGGGATACCGAGATTATGTAAGGATTAGGATTGAAATCAATTTTAAAGTGTAATTTAGTATTGGGATATGGATACCGTACCGATTTCCACCCCTCCCTCCACCTACACGTAGCCAATGTATATTCAATATTTTAGTAGTGAAACAACGCTGTCGCTGAAAAAGCTCAGATAGGTAAAGTAAGGTTTTCTCGAAGAGGAAAGGAAAGGAGGGATTCGAACCCCATTTTAAGCAAAGCTAAAGGCCAACAAACCACCATACCCTTTCCAAATTCCCCCATTGATATATGATTTGCATAGTGATCATTGGCTGGAAGAATGATTTCCCACTAATCCACTATTGTTAGATCTTAATGAATTTCAGGTACAACGGCTGACAGATGACCGGCCAACACACATTTTTCCGCCCTTGTTGTTGGCGAGGGTCCCATGACATGGCTCGATAATGAGAGTCGGCAGGGTCTTCTTGCATCTAGAGTTCCCTTCATTGATTCAATTATTTTATTTTTATGATCAAATTGATTCGTTTGGTTGTATAAAATTTGCACAAAATAATTTGGCCTAATGAAGTTTAAATCTACTCATATTGAATTATTTTATTTGTAAAATGAAATAATTAGTTAAAAATAGTCTCAGGCCGAATCTGTGATCCGTACCCTTCAAAATCCAAGTAAAATGGGCTTTCGAAAAAACCGCACAAAAAATAAGAAAATGCCCTTAAAAAAAATTCGCCCAAATCCGCGATGAATATACTTCATTATCGGTGGAGAATAGCCACAGGTCTCCTTAGGGCGAATCCATGATCTGTAGGCTTCAAATCCAAGTAAAATGGGCTTTCGAAAAAATCGCACAAAAAATTACAAAAATGCCCCTCGAAAAAATTCCCCCAAATCCGCGATGAATATACTTCATCATCGGTGGAGAATAGCCACAGGTCGCCTCAGGGCGAATCTATGATCTGTAGGCTTCAAAATACAACGAAAATGCCCTTTCGAAAAAATCGCTTGAAATCTGTGTGGTACCCTTTTGGAATCTGCAAAAAATGGACCAGGAAAAAATCCGTCCAAATCGATGCTCAATAGACTTAATCATCCGTGAATAATAGTCTCAGACCGAATCCGTGATCCGTAGCCTTCAAAATCCAAGTAAAATGGCCTTTCGAAAAAATCGCATAAAAATTACGAAAATGCCCCTCGAAAAAAATTCGCCCAAATCGGCGATGAATAGACTTCATCATCGGTAGAGAATAGCCACACACCACCTCAGTGCGAATCCATGATCTGTAGGCTTCAAAATCCAAAGAAAATGCCCTTTTGAAAAAATCGCCTGAAATCTATGATGGTATCCCTTTGGAATCTGCCAAAAATGTACCCAGAAAAAATCCGCCCAAATCGATGCTTAATATACTTAATCATCGGTGAAGAATAGTCTCAGGACGAATCTATGATCCGTACCCTTCAAAATCCAAGTAAAATGGGCTTTAGAAAAAAATTGCGCAAAAAATGACGATAATACCCCTCGAAAAAAATTCACCCAAATTCGCGATGAATTTACTTCATCATCGGTGGAGAATAGCCACAGGTCTCCTCAGGGCGATTCCATGATCTGTAGGCTTCAAAATCCAAGTAAAATGGGCTTTCGAAAAAATTGCATGAAAAATTATGAAAATGCCCCTCGAAAAAAATTCGCCCAAATCCGCGATGAATATACTTCATCATCGGTGGAGAATAGCCACAGGTCGCCTCAGGGCGAATCCATGATCTGTAGGCTTTACAATGCAACGGAAATGCCCTTTCGAAAAAATCGCCCGAAATCTGTGATAGTACCCCTTTGGAATCTGCCAAAAATGGACCCGGAAAAAATCCGGCCAAATAGATGCTTAATAGACTTAATCATCGGTGAAGAATATTCTTAGGCCGAATCCGTGATCCGTTCCATTCAAAATTCAAGTAAAAGGGGCTTTTGAAAAAACCTTACAAAAAATTACAAAAATGCCCCTTGAAAAAAATTTCCCAAATCCGCGATGAATATACTTCATCATCTGTGGAAAATAGACACAGATCGCCTCAAGGTGAATCCATGATCTATAGGCTTCAAAATCCAACGAAAATGCACTTTCGAAAAAATCGCCCGAAATCTGTGATGATACCCCTTTTGAATATGCCAAAAAGGGACCCACAAAAATCCGGCCAAATCGATGCTTAATGGACTTAATCATTGGTGAAGAATAATCTCAGGCCGAATCCGTGATCGGTTCCCTCAAAATCGAAGTAAAATGGGCTTTTGAAAAAACCGCACAAAAAATTACGAAAATGCCCCTTGAAATTTTTTTGCCCAAATCCTCTATGAATATAATTTATCATCGGTGGAGAATAGCCATAGGTAGCCTCAGGGGGAATCCATGATCTGTAGTCTTCAAAATCCAAGTAAAATGGGCTTTATAAAAAATCACACGAAAAATTACTAAAATGCCCCTCGAAAAAATTTGCCCAAATCCGCGATGATTATACTTCATCATCGGTAGAGAATAGCCACAGGCAGCATCAGGGCGAATCCATGATTTGTAGGCTTCAAAACTCAACGAAAATGCCCTTTCGAAAAAATCACCTGAAATCTGTGATAGTACCTATTTGGAATTTGCCAAAAATAGAGCGGAAAAAATCTTCCCCGATGCTTAATAGACTTTCTCATCGGTGAAGAATAGTCTCAGGCCGAATCTGTGATCCGTACCCTTCAAAATCCAAGTAAAATGGGGTGTTGAAAAAACCGCACGAAAATTACAAAAATGCCCTCGGAAAAAATTCGCCCAAATCCGCGATGAATATACTTCATCATTGGTGGAGAATAGCAACAAGTCGCCTCAACGCAAATCCATGATCTTTAGGCTTCAAAACCCAACGAAAATGCCCTTTCGAAAAAATCGCCCGAAATCTATGATGATACCCTTTTGGAATCTGCCAAAAATGGACCCGAAAAAAATCTGCCCAATTCGATGCTTAATAGAATTAATCATCGGTGAAGAATAGTCTCAGGCCGAATCCGTGATCCGTACCCATGAAAATATAAGTAAAATGGGATTTCGAAAAAACCGCACGAAAAATTACGAAAATAGCCCTTGAAAAAAATTCGCCCAAATCCACGATGAATATACTTCACCATCGGTGGAGAACAGCCTCAGGTTGCCTGAGGGCGAATCCATGATCTGCAGGCTTCAAAATCCAACAAAAATGCTCTTTCGAAAAAATCACCCGAAATCAGTGATGGTACCCCTTTGGAATCTGCCAAAAATGGACCCGGAAAAAATCCGCCCAAGTCGATGCTCAATAGACTTAATCATCCGTGATTAATAGTCTCAGGCCGAATCCGTGATCCGTAGCCTTCAAAATCTAAGTAAAATGGCCTTTCGAAAAAATTGCATGAAAAATTACGAAAATGTCCCTCGAAAAAAATTCGCCCAAATCGGCCATGAATAGACTTCATCATCGCTGGAGAATAGCCACACACTGCCTCAATGAGAATCCATGATCTGTAGGCTCCAAAATCCAACGAAAATTCCATTTCGAAAAAATCGCATTAAATCTGTGATGGTACCCCTTTGGAATCTGCCAAAAATGGACCCAGAAAAAATAGGCATTCGAAAAAATCGTTCCAAAATCCAAGTAAAATGTGCATTCGAAAAAATCGCACGAGAAATTACAAAAAATGCACCTAAAAAAAATCGCCCAAATAGTCAACGAATATACTTCATCATCGGTGGACAATAGCCAAACGTCGCCTTAGGGAGAATCCATGATCTGTATGCTTCAAAATCTAACGAAAATGCCGTTTCGAAAAAATGCCAAAATCTGTGATGCTACCCCTTTGGAATCTGCCAAAAATGGACCCAAAAAAATTCGCCCAAATCGATGCTCAATAGACTTAATCCTCCGTGAATAATAGTCTTAGACGCAATTCGTGATCCATAGCCTTCAAAATCAAAGTAAAATGGTCTTTCGAAAAAATCGCACGAAAAATTATGAAAATGCCCCTCGAAAAAAAATTCGCCCAAATCGTCGATGAATAGACTTCATCATCGGTGGAGAATAGCCACACACCGTCTCAGTGCGAATCCATGATCTGTAGGCTTCAAATCCAACGAAAATGCCCTTTCGAAAAAATTGCCTGAAACTGTGATGGTACCCCTTTCGAATCTGCCCAAAATGGTCCCGATAAAAATCCGCCCAAATTGATGCTTAATAGATTTAATCATCGGCGAAGAATAGTCTCAGGGCGAATCCGTGATCCGCACCCTTCAAAATCCAAGTAAAATGGGCTTTTGAAAAAACCGCACGAAAAATTACGAAAATACCTCTTGAAAAAAATTCGCCCAAATCCGCGATGAATATACTTCATCATCGTTGGAGAATAGCCATAGGTCCCCTCAGGGTGAATCCATGATCTGTAGGGTTCAAAATCCAACGAAAATGCATTTTCGAAAAAATCGCCCGAAATCTGTGATGGTACCCTTTCGGTACCCAAAACTTCTAACAAAATCCAAAACGATATTAATTCAATTAGAAAACTTCTGTCTTATTTATATACAATCTTGTTCAGCCCATCAGACCAAGACTTGGATTAATATCACCCTGTAGGTGCTCCATCACGTACAAGTTGGTCACTAGTTAATGCTAGGTAACAGAGTGAAATCAAATTTCAACGGTCATTTGGCTATCCATCGTCGTTTTGTCCTCGTCACAGAATTAATGCCGGTGCGCTGTTGTTTTACCATTACTGAAGAAGATCTACTTGCTCCGCTACGTTTTATCCTTGTTCACTGAAGACGCAGTCGATGCGCTGCCGTTTCCTTCTTTCTTCTTTAAGCTGTACTTTCTTTTACTCCAAGTCAGACTTGGTTTCCCTTCCAAGCTACCAAACAATGTCCATGGAAGCTTGTCTGTTTGTATGGTTTGCTAAGCTTATAAGAGCCGGATTTGATGAATTAGAAAGCAAGAACTAGGTTTTCAGTCTCTCCATCTTGTTCCTTTGTTATGGTATCAGAGCCTGGGATAAAACCCTAGCCGCCACCCCTCTTTTCCAATGGTTGATAATCAGGCTGAACCACAGCCACAGCCAGATCCTTAACCACAAGATCCACCAAATGTTCTTGATCCTGCCTCTGACCCCTTCTTTCTCCATGGTTCTGAGCAACCTGGATCCCTTCTTGTTGCAGACAAACTCACAACAACCAACTATAATGATTGGAGCAGAGCTATGCTCAATGCCCTTGCAGCCAAAAACAAGCTGGGCTTCATCAATGCTTCCATACCTGAACCACCAGTCACAGATCTAAGACATGGAGCTTGGACATGCAACAACGTTATGATACTTAGCTGGATCTAGCAAGCCACTTCTTCAGAGATCCGCAAGACCATCCTCTCCAGCAAGACAACAGCAGAAGCTTGGAAAAGTCTTCAAACCCGTTATGGATCTGGTGATCTTATTCGCATTGCAGAGCTTGAAGAAGCACTCTCTTCCCTACAGCAAGGTAACCAGACTGTAACTGAGTACTATGGTAGAATGATTACTCTCAAAGATGAGTTAGAGAACTATCAACCTCTACTGCCATGATCTTGTACTCCAACCAGTCACAATACCTGTCTTGCCATGCTAAGGGTTCATCAGTACCAAGAAACAAGCTATGTTATTAAATTTCTTAGAGGCCTCAATGAAAATTTCTCTGGAGTTAGAGCCCAAGTGCTATTTGGAGATGAACTACCAAACATCAACATGGTCTTCCAAAGGATGCTTCAACACGAAAGACAACTCTATGGCACTCAATCTGGAAAGTTAATAGCATCGATGCAAACTGATTCTTCAGCAATGGCATTTCAAGGAGGCAACAGGAGGCCAAACCAAAATTCCAAACCACCTTACTGCACATTCTACAGAAGGGAAGGTCATACTGAAGACATATGTTTCCAGAAACATGGATGGCCTCCTGGTATGACCAGACCTTCCTCTTCCACACCTGGCACAATCACCACTTGTTCTTACTGCAAAAGAAGGGGACACACTGAAGACAATTGTTTTAAGAAAAATGGCTACCCTGCCAATTTTGTGCCTAGGAACCCCAATTCAGTTGTTGGTAGAGGAAGACCTACTGTGAATTCTGCTGTCACCAATGCTCCACCAGACGAGGTCAAACTCTCAAGAGCTGATTATGAGAAGCTTATGAGCCTAATGAAAGCTCAACAACCTTCAACTTCTTTCTCTACTGCTGCTTTTGTCACCAACAAAGGTATTCTTCCAACCCCTATCTTTAATGTCTTCTCATCTACACAGACAATGTGGATAGTCGACACTGGAGCATCAGACCACATTGTCTGCTCCCTCTCTTATTTACAAGACCCTCAACCATTGACAAACATCTACATAACTCTACCCACTAGAACTAAAGTCCAAGCCATACATTCTGGCACAACTGTTTGCAATGATGCCATCATCCTTCAAATTGCACTGTTTGTTCCCAATTTTTCCTTCAACCTTCTTTCTGTGAGCAGGCTCACCTCCACATCAAACCTCAGCTTATCTTTTCAATCTACCATGTGTCTTATACAGGATCTGGAGCAGAAGAGAGTGATTGGTTCTGCTAGTCTTCACAATGGCCTTTATTACCTCCAAGCTTCATACACCCCTAAGTTGATCTCTGCAGCTTTCAGAACTCCCTTTGACATATGGCATTTTAGATTAGGACATGTTTCCCACTCTAAAATCCCTATTCTCAACCAATTTTGTACCTCCATTACCACACAGAGAGATCAACCTTGTGATGTATGTCATTTTGCAAAACAAAAAAGTCTTTCATTTCCTATAAGCCAGTCTGTAACTCAGTACCCTCTTGAACTACTTCATGTAGACATTTGGGGTCCTAACTCTATCCCTTCTTATGATGGCTACAAGTATTTTTTAACAATTGTGGATGACTTCTCCAGAATGACATGGGTCATTCTTCTCCATCTCAAATCAGAAACCAGACCAAAACTGATAGCCTTCTGCACTCAGATGCAAAGAAAATTCCAAAAACAAATCAAAACTATTAGGTCTGACCAAGGCGAAGAATTCCAAATGTCTGATTTCTTCACCTCAACAGGCATTACTCATGAAATGTCCTGTGTAGAAACCCCACAACAGAATAGCAAAGTTGAAAGAAAACATCAACATATTCTTGCTGTGGCTCGATCTCTCCAATTTCAAGCTCATCTGCCACCAGCTTTCTGGGCAGATTGTATAAAACATGTTGTCCATCTTATCAATAGAGTTCCCACAGCAGTCCTTCTAAACCAGACACCCTATCATCTTTTCTACAATCACCCACCTGACCTCACAGAGTTAAGAGTTTTTGGATGTCTTTGCTATGCCTCCACTCTAGCCAATCACAGAACTAAGTTCCAGCCTAGAGCTAGGAAAACAATATTCATAGGCTATACCCCTGGCATCAAAGGATACAGGCTCTATGATCTCACCACTCATGAAGTATTTACTTCACGAGATGTTATATTATATGAGTCAAATTTTCCCTTTCAAGAAATGGACCCTGATGAATCCTCAAGCTCTCCATCAGATCTTTTATTTCCTCTCCCATCCCCAGACTCAAATCTTGTTCATGAAACCACTTCAATCCCTACCAACACTACTCCCTCCTCACCTATAATACATTCTCCTTCTGACCAAGACACCAATCCTTCCCCACCTACCTCTCCTCACCATCATACACCTGCATCACCAACCAATTCCTCTCCACCACCCTCCCCTCCAAACCCACCTCCTCAACCACATCTCAGACGATCAGACAGAACAATCAAACCTCCCTTTCATCTCATCAAAAATTACCACTGTTACCTTGCATAAGGCCCTAGCAGCTCCAATCACCTCAACCTGCAACAGATCCAAGACCACATGTGCTCTCTATCTTCCATGATTTCTTACAACAATTTATCTGATCCATTCAAAAGGTTTCTATTAAACATTTCCAGTCATCAAGAACCACAATCATACAAAGAGGCTTCTAAGCTTGATGTCTGGAATCAAGCTATGCAGCATGAAATTCAAGCTTTAATAAAAAATCATACTTGGGATGTTGTTTCTCTTCCACCAAACAAGAAACCAGTTGGAAACAAATGGATCTACCAAGATAAGTTCTTATCTGATGGTTCTCTGGAAAGACATAAAGCCCGGTTGGTTGCAAAAGGAAATACACAGCAGGAAGGCATTGATTTCCAAGATACATTTGCTCCTGTAATCAAGATGACTACTGTCAGAACCTTCTTAGCCATTGCTGCTCTCAAAAATTGGCACATTCACCAGTTGGATGTAGACAATGCATTCTTAAATGGTGACTTAGAAGAAGAAGTCTACATGACATTACCTAAAGGATTCTCACCTCCTCCTGACATTCCCAATCCAGTTTGCAGGCTTAGGAAATCTCTCTATGGCCTAAAACAGGCATCAAGACAATGGTTCTCCAAGCTCACTGACAAACTCCTACAGGTTGGCTATGTGCAAAGCAGATCACTCACTCTTCTTCAAAGTCACAGACACTACCTACACATGCATTCTCATCTATGTTGATGACCTGGTTTTGGGAGGCAATGATTTGAATGAAATTCAAGCATTAAAGCAAGTTCTACATTCAGAATTCAGCATTAAAGATCTTGGCAACCTAAGATTCTTTCTGGGCATTGAAGTTGCAAGAAGTAAGACAGGCATACACCTTTCCCAAAGAAAGTACACGTTGGATATTCTGGAAGAAGCCAATATCATTAATTCAAAATCAGTCACCACTTCTATGGATTACAAACTACATCTCAGCAATGAAGTTGACATTCCTTTTGAGGATCCAAAACACTACAGAACAATAGTTGGGAAGCTCATCTACCTCACTACCACTCCCCCTGACATTAGTTTTGCTACACAGCAACTAAGCCAGTACATGTCCAACCCATCCCTCACCCATTACAAGGATGCTCTTCGAGTATTGAGGTACCTGAAAACAACACCAGCTACAAGTCTTTTCTTCCCATCCCAAGGTTCTTTTCATCTTAAAGCATTCACAGATTCTGACTGGGTAGCCTGTGTGGATACAAGACGATCCACAACTGGGTTCTGCATCTATTTGGGTGATTCACTCATCTCATGGAAAAGCAAAAAACAACATATCGTCTCAAGATCCTCTTGCGAGGCTGAGTATCGAGCTCTGGCCTTTACTTTTTGTGAAATCCAATGGTTGCAGTACCTTCTCCAAGACTTCCAGGTTCCTTCCTCAACACCAGCATCCTTGTATTGTGACAATCAGAGCGCCATTCACATTGCCAAGAATCCCACCTTCCATGAGAGAACCAAGCATATCGAGCTCGACTGCCACTTTGTCAAGGAAAAGCTCCAATTGGGAACACTCAAGCTCTTGCACATCTCCTCAGCACATCAATTGGCAGATCTCTTCACCAAACCACTCTCCCCTGCACCATTTCTTTCCCTGCTCTCCAAGCTTGGTGTGCGAAACCTCTGCCCACCAGCTTGCCCGGGGGGGGGGGGGGGTGTAACAGAGTGAAATCAAATTTCAACTGTCATTTGGCTATCCATCGTCGTTTTGTCCTCATCACAGAAGTAATGCCGCTGCGCTGTCGTTTTACCATCACTGAAGAAGATCTACTTGCTCCGATGCGTTTTATCCTTGTTCACTGAAGACGCAGTCGATGCGCTGCCGTTTCCTTCTTTCTTCTTTAAGCTGTACTTTCTTTTACTCCAAGTCAGACTTGGTTTCGCTTCCAAGCTACCAAACAATGTCCATGGAAGCTTGTCTGTTTGTATGGTTTGCTAAGCCTATAAGAGGCGGATTTGATGAATGAGAAAGCAAGAACTAGGTTTTCAGTCTCTCCATCTTATTCCTTTGTTACTAGGTTAGTTAAGCCAGCTTAACTAACTTCTAAGGCACCTCTTAGCTAGAATTATCATTAGAAGCTGTGTTCCATCCAGAATGAACATTTGTTCAAACTCCTAATAACAGCTAATTCAATACCAAATTAACTACTTCTGTTGCATGGTACTTGATGGTGGCAAGTATATGATCAGGAAATTTGTTTATCTCATAGAAGGATTTGGGTAGTGATCATATTGGTGGATGTGTTTGATTCCAGGAGATATAATCATATGGATTGCTCTCAATGTACGACGTGGCTGTAAATATACATGGGTTTAGTATATGTTTTCCGGCGAGGAAAAACTGGTGTTTGAACTCAATAAATGCACCTTGACTTCTTGAACAACGATTAATAACACGGTTCACTCCTCTCCGAACAATGTTCGAACGAGGGTGTTTGATATTTTTTTATGGTTTTTTGGGAACAAGCTACGTTACTCTACTCCTATGGAGGTTCAGTGAGAGCTCCGAAAAAACTAAAAGGGAAGTTGCAGAGAAAAGATAAATTTTGACATGTGTTGTCAAATGTTTGGTTGTGGAACCCTTGCTTCGTCTTCGTTTCTCCTATTTATAGCCATCCCTTGTAACCGTCGTGCAACCGCCTCTTGGTAACCGCTGCTCCACTGCTTGGTGTTTGATGTAGCTTGCTTGACGCATTGACTGTCTTGCGTGCTTGCCACTTGATAGCTAACCCCTTGTGCCATGGAGGTATCTTGTTTGATGAGTGAAGGCTTCACGCTTGGTGGTACTCGTGCTAACCACCTTGACATGACGTCATGCTCGACACCAGGGTGCTTGGGGGTTCGATGGATCCGCACTGACCCCCTTGAGGTGGCGTCATGCTTGACACCCTAGTGTGTGGTATCCGGTGCTTGACCCCCTTGGACGGTGTCATGCATGACCCCCCTTGGATGGTGAGATGCTTGACCCCCCTGGTGATTGGATCTCCATACTTAGCCGAATTTTGGCTTTCTTCACCACAATGGTCTAGGGACTCGCGTTGCGCTTCTTCCCTTGCCAACATGATTGATACCCAGTAGGCGGCTAGACCCCCCTTGCGTCTCGTCATACTTGACTCACCTTGGATGGTATCATGCATGACCCCCTTGGACGATGTCATGCATGACCCCCCTGGTGCAAGGTAGGTAGATGGCATAGTGCTTGAACCCCCTGGGATGATGTCATGTCTGACCCCCTTGTGCTATGGGTCTCAACACTTAGCCAAATTTTGGCTCTCTTTGCCACCACAGCTAGCTCGCGCCTCGTCGTACTCGCCTCACCTTGGATGGTATCATGCATGACCCCCTTGGACGATGTCATGCATGACCCCCCTGGGATGATGTCATGCATGACCCCCCTTGTGATATGGGTCTCAACACTTAGCCAAATTTTGGCTCTCTTTCCCATCATGGTCTAGCGCGATGACCCCTTTGCATGACATCATGCTTGACCCCCCTGGGATGATGTCATGCTTGACCCCCCTTGTGCTGTGGGTCTCAACACTTGCCAAATTTTGGCTTTCTTCGCCACATCATGTCTAGGGGTAATTACCCGCGATGTAAGTAGACGACTGGTGGAGCGAAATTTTGGCTAAGTATGATGGGGTGTCCACTTGGGTGGTTGATGTTGAAGGGTGTCAAGCTTGACACTTGACCCCTCTTGTGTGACGGGTGGGTATTTGGTGGGTCAAGTGGTGTGTGTGAGGTACCTGGTATGAAGCCCAAAATACCATTATTTAGGCCCAACCTAAACCAATTTAATTAATATGGTTAAGTTGGCCTTATAAATCACTACCACTCCTTGAAAATAATCAATGTGGTATTGAGTGATTTTTTAGTGGTAAACAAATGCCCCCCAACTACTTAGTGCATAAGGATTATGGACTAAGTAGTTAACGTCAACTACACCACTAAAAAAATGCTCGTTGGTTTGAATAATAAAAAAAACAAAACGCACTAAACCACCCCTGCAGCATATCCAGCCGTAATTATCATTGGCCTTGATAATTAAAAGATCAAAATCAATCACTGCCTCCACTATTCTAGCCCAACACGCCCTTCGTGTCATGGCTAGCTATGCAAGCTCTGTCCACAAAGAGGGTGTCATGTCATGCCTACCATCAGGATGGTTGGTTAACTTTGAACCTGTTGATACCCCTTGCCCCAAAGAAAAAAGGACATAAGGCTTGAGATACTTTCATTGATCAACCGATCATGTAGCACCCGATCCTCTTTCAACAAGTATGCATCCTTAGACAGGTGGCATGGAAGGTACACGATCCTTGACGGATAGCTAGTCAGCTACTCTTGCCATGAAGTGGCATGATGTACTCAAACGAGCGTAAGGGGCTCCATAGACCCAGCCACCTGACTCGTTGTTTACCAGTCATGGCAAAGTCTTCACATCGCAAGTCTAATAAAAACTTGCTACTTCGACATCTTCTTTTTTAGCCATGAGTGGCCTATTTTCACTTTTTCTCTTTTTTTTCTAACTATTATTTATATAATTAATATAGTAAGGACTGATAGACGTCACTGATTTCCACACCCTTTGGCAACTACCAATGTGCCAAAGGTGTACACCCACTGCCAAGTCCATGAATTAAACCAGACCAACCATCCATAAATTGCATGTTTCTCCTCCTTAAGGAGATACGACTCCTTTGGTGTTGATTTTGAATTTTCCAACTTAACAACAGATGGTACTCGCTCAACATGTCCTGCCTTTGTGGGCTTGCAAGGGGTCCCCTGCTCCTCTGGCTTAGCCACCTTACTAGACATGTTGGGTTGTTGATGATGAACCTGATGTGTTTGTCTCGTTTCTGGTGGTACTCTAGGTACTCTCAACTCATTGGGCTCATGAAAGAGACCACGAGTTTTTATCTTCCTTGGTTTCGCCCAACCATGCTTAATCATCCCATATAGTTGGGACGAGGAGTGTTTGGACTCAACAAGTCGATGACCACCCTGGTGGCCAACCTGATCCTGTTCAACCCTTACGGCTTGCTGACTTCTACACGTACCACATAACCTCTGGTTCTTTGTAGGACCATTTCTGGTTTTTGTATGCCGAGATGTCTTGTTCATGCCCCTACCATTCATATTTGGCATGCCATGAGGGTTGTTAAGCATGCACTTGCTTCTTTGTCCATTTATTAACACACTCTCATACTTAGAAATTTTTTGAGTGGCTTGGGTGTGCTGCATACTCATATAATTTTCTCCCACTTGTTTCTTCATGGTCGGTGACACGCCCCCCTGTCTAGTGGTTGGAGACATGTCCCCCATACCATTATTCATGATTGTTAACGTGCCCCCCTTTCCAAACTTAGCCATATTAGTATGCTTACTAAAAGCATGTGTGGCTTCATGTTGTGGCTTATTGGGCACACCTATCAACCTACTAGTGGTGATTGATGACATGCCCCCATGTCATCCTTAGCTACACTATCATGATTACTATAAGCATGTGTGGCTTGAGTTTGTTGTGGTTTCTTGGGCACGTCTATCTGTCTATTGTTTGTGGTTGGTGACATGCCCCCTTGTCGACCATTCATGGGTGGCATGCTACAAGTGGCTTTGCCTCCTTGTCCACTCTTTGACACGCTCTCAAAGTTATGAAAATCATGGGTGGCATAGGTGTCTAACACCCGCTTAGACTTGCCACTCACTTCATTCATCATGTTTGATGACATGCTCCCCTGTCCACTACATGGAGATGGAGACATGTCCCCCTTTCCAAACTTAGCCACGCTAACATTCTTACTAGCAGCACATGTGGTTTGGGATTGTAGTGGCTTCTTGGACACAACTGTTGATGACTCGGTATTTGCACATGTTTTCCCCTTTGTTTCTTGATTGTTTGAGCTTGAATTATCGTGTCTTTGGCCTATTTTACGCTAGGTTGTGTTCCTTTTTCACATTTCAGGTCCTAGCACATAAAGTGAAGCATAGGCGCAAGTTTCAAGTCAATCAGAGATCAATTGACGATTCGGGAGAAGAAACTCGGGTATGACCTGAAGAAGAATGGATTTCTACCTCACTTTATGGACAAATCATCATGCAAGCTTGTCATGAAAAGAAAGAGGACGAGACTACGAGCGTCTGGGATCAAACGGCGACTGATTCGGAGTCCGGACGAGGGAGAAACGAAGCATTAAACAGAGGCTGAGCAAGCCACACGGGCACAACCCACACGGCCGTGTGACCTGGCAATGTGGCCGTGTGGAAATCACCGAGCCTTCACACGGGCAGCTGGGAAAGCCACACGGCCGTGTGGCCTGGCCGTGTGAGTCGGGAATTGCTGTTTAAAACCCGATTTTCAGCAAAAGGAAAGGGAGAGAGTTGGGTTTTGGATCCCAAACACCCAAGGGACGAACCCTAGAGAGAGAGAGCGACTTGGGAACATTCTTGGAGCTATTTTGGAGGATTTCTTCGCCATTGGAGCTCGGGAATCAAGCTTGGAGATGGAGATTGAAGATCTAGATCAGATTTCTGCAGTCTCTCTCTTCTCTATGGAGTAACTTCCCTTCACTTAGGTTTTGAGGAACCTTAGTTCCATGAGTTAGGATCTTTCTTGTATGAAGTTTTGGATGCTATATTGTTTGATTATAATCGAATGATGCATGTTTATTGAGTCAATTGAAGTCTGATCAACTTTTCCTGATTCCTGCTGCAATCTGAGATAGATAGAATATGATTAGGTTGCTAGAGTCTCATCATTCGGTAGTAGGAGATTGGCTATACGAGAGTTAGCCAGTTTACTGCTTTGTACTGGAATCCAATTCCAGTAGTGGAGTTATGTGCTTATTGCTTCAGCTTTCTATCCTGGTGAAGACTAGTCGTCTGCCGGATAGTTAGACTGAGAGGGCTTGGTCAGCTTAAGAGATTCCAAGCTACTGTCGGATCTTCCGCAGTTTAATCAACAGTAAATCAACCAAAAGGAATTACAACTTGGACCTAATTGAGGAGCTAGGGGGAATCATACCTAAGTGAGTTCCCAAACTGTAATTAGTAGTTTTACTTAGTTTAGTTAGTAGAGTAGTTTAGTTAATCAATCCTTAATCTAGTTTGCTAGATAATGAACTGAAGCTGAGTAATAGTAACTCTAGAGACCCGTGGATTCGATATTTATTACTTGTGCCACTATACTGTAGTACCTTTCATTGGTTACACTTGGCCATTGTTAGGTGTTGTGTTTTAGAGCATCAAGTTTTTGGCGCCGTTGCCGGGGACTTTCTAGAGTATTAGGAAAGGCAGAAGTTTGTTACTTTAGCGTTTTTCTTTTCTTTTCTTTTCCACCCTTGCTTTTCACTTGGGTGTTTTTGTTTTTGTTGGTGCAGATCTGAATCATGGATCCTAATGGCTTCTCCAATCATTGGGGGTATCCACCACCATCCGGGTGGTATTACCCCGCGACTCCCTACAGCAATCAAGGAGGAGAAGACTATGGATTCGGGTTCCAGTACCAACCCCCTTACTACGGAGAACAATCAGACCCCTGGGCATATCAAGAACAACCTCATTACCAAGAAGACTTTCTCCCACAACCAGAAGGGCCATCGGAGCTGGAGTTACCCATGGAGGCCTTCACGGGCCACTCTGCAGAGCCATGCTACACTTCACTGGAGGATCCGAACGAACAATTAAGGCTTCTCGTGGAGCAGTTTGCTTGAGACACTGAGAAATCATGCTCCAAGATGGATATTCAAATCAAAGCCCTTGCCACTTCTGATCCCTCATTTCTCCATGATATGGAGGAGACTGTTCAGCGCTCAGCGAAGCAAACAGAGTGGGTGAAGCAAGTTTGCTCACATCTTGCTCAAGATCACCTTTCTGCTGCCACGCTAGAAGAGGTGGAGGATGACAAAGGCTATGGGAGCGTTGAGGAGCATACAGAAGTTATCACAGAGAACTCCCATGATAACCATGATCAGGAAAGTCCTTTGGTTGCAGACCACACCTTTCCTCATTTACGCTCTAACATGCTGGGCCCGTGCGAGGAGATGCAAGATGATCCCATTGAAGAAATTGCTTGGCGACTTGCTCTCCAATCTGTTCTAGAAGAAGAAGAGCGAGCAAGGATGAGGAAGGAAGTTGTGGATGATGAGGAAGAAAGAAAAGAAGAGGTGGTTCTTGATCTTTTCCCAGGGGAGAGACCACATTTTGAAGAAGGAAGGGGGGGGGGGGTTGAGGAAGCAATTGGTGTCCAGGCTGAGGATGAAGTTGAGGTGGAAGAGGCATGCACCGGCCATGAGTTGCAAGTAATATCTCCACCAAACTTTGAGGAGCTGTTTGGCAAGGACCCATTTGCGGTGTCTTTTTGCCAGACCAAGGCCACATCAACATCGGTCCCTCTTGGTGGACGCGATGGTGGCCAATCGATGCTGTCATATCTGGTTTGGGGCAATGAGACGAGAGAAGAGAAGAAGAGGTCTCGAGGGTGGAGACCTCATCTGCATCAAGTACATGAGCCTTCATCACCTGCCACACCACATGCTCGTGACTTGAGACTCCACCTCATCGAGGAGAACCTCAACTTCAAGGAGGTTCTAGCATGGACCGAAACTTAGGAGCCATCGTCCGGCTCACGACGTGAAAGAAGCGCTTGTTGGGAGGCAACCCAACCAGTCGGTTTGCATTTCTTTCTCTATTTCTCCTCGGTTGAGTCAGTTTTGTTATTTGATTTTAGAGTCAATAACTCAACCTTTGTGAGATTTTGTGTGGTGTTTGTGTTCTGATTACTCTCTCTTCCTGGAATGCACTGCCTGACCCGTACATCATCATTCACCCTTGATCTGGTAACTTCGTTCTACCCTCCTTATCTTTCCTCCATTGAGGACAATGTCGTGCTTAAGTGTGGGGGGGTGTTCGATTATGTATGCGGGTGAATGTTTGGCTGTTTGTGTGCTTGGAGCCTAGTCCACTGTCCAAATTTTGAGATTTGAGGGCTCCAAGTACTGCTCTTTGATCATATTGGCACTGTGTTTTGATTGATGAATTGAATGGTTTTCGGATTGATGCATGACAGCTTGATTGTGACTAGGACGACCTATGATGAGGACTAAGACGTGCAGTAGAGTTGTGTAGGGGTTCAGTTTTTCAACTGTTTGCTTACCAACTGTGACTTGGATTGATTACTTGTTCTTGACAGTCGTTTATGCATCTAGTTCAGGGTATCAGAATGTGAGATAGAGCATATAGGTAGCCATGTGAGATTTGAGCCTGCTCGTTTCTTTCTTGTGCGATAGATCCCTCTTCCATGATGTGTAGCATTCACGTTGTCACTAGCTAAGATGATGGGGGCATAGGATTAGCCCACGACCAAATTTGACTGTCCTGATGTGTCATATCCCCTAGTCAGCCCTTTTGAGCCATGTGTTATCCTTTCTTTTGGTCTGAAATGAAAAAAAAATCACCCTGTTTGCATCTTTTAGAAGGTTCCACAGAGTGGGTTTTACATGTTCTCTGCTGTTTCTGCTAAATTTAATGTGAGTGTTGGAGGTAGTGCTTAAAAGTTGGGCTGGGCAGGTGTTTGAAATATATGCAGAAGTGGTGGCTCTCTTAAGAAATGAAAAGAAAATGAAAGAAAAACAAAGAAAAATTGGAAGCAAAAGAGAGCCACTACAAAAAATCCGAATAATGCCCAGTAAGTAGTGTTTCTTAGCGGTCTGGCTTGGAAATGCTGACATTTATACCTCCTTCGCTCTTGTGCTCTTGAGATATTGAGTAATGCAGAATAGCAGAAAGGAAATACCGGTTTGTTTGACTGTGATTGTTTGGGTTTGGAAATGTGGAACCTTGTGCTATGAATACTTCCACCACCTAAAAGGCCTTTTCCCCATTTCCAAGACCCTAGCCAGTCATTTGAACCTGTGTCTAAGACCTCCTGATTAGTTAGTGGTGACACCCCATATGTGAACTCTAGCGTTTAGAGGCTGCCATCATGGTGAAGAGATGTTAGGGATTGAGAGAAATAACTTGCGCATTTTTCGCATCAAATTGTCCTGACCCCACTAGTTGAGAGTGAGTGATTCATTTTCATATTCTATATACTCTTGTACCCCGGTGAGGACCTAGATTGCTTGGTCTCTATTCTGATGTCTTGAGTTGGATGCATGAGTTGACTGTTTTGAGTAAGTGGTTGAGTCAAGTCTAGGTTGGTTGGTGAACAGAAGGGAGACTCTTCCTTTACTCGATTTTGCTGCACTCGAATGTCTTTTGTGGTGGTTGTCCAGGTTGCTATTGAAGTTGGTCAGGTATTGATGTTTGAAAACCAGTACGATTCACGTGTTCTGTGCCTTTATGAGTTGTCCCCAATGTTGGTTGATTGAAATATGTAAGCTTACCTTGTGTCTGACTTGGTTTGCTTGGGGACAAGCAAACGGTTAAGTGTGGGGGATTTGATGACTCGGTATTTGCACATGTTTTCCCCTTTGTTTCTTGATTGTTTGAGCTTGAATTATCGTGTCTTTGGCCTATTTTACACTAGGTTGTGTTCCTTTGTCACATTTCAGGTCCTAGCACATAAAGTGAAGCATAGGCGCAAGTTTCAAGTCAATCAGAGATCAATTGACGATTCGGGAGAAGAAACTCGGGTATGACCTGAAGAAGAATGGATTTCTACCTCACTTTATGGACAAATCATCATGCAAGTTTTTCATGAAAAGAAATAGGACGAGACTACGAGCGTCTGGGATCAAACGGCGACTGATTCGGAGTCCGGACGAGGGAGAAACGAAGCATTAAACAGAGGCTGAGCAAGCCACACGGGCACAACCCACACGGCCGTGTGACCTGGCCATGTGGCCGTGTGGAAATCACCGAGCCTTCACATGGGCAGCTGGGAAAGCCACACGGCTGTGTGGCCTGGCCGTGTGAGTCGGGAATTGCTGTTTAAAACCCGATTTTCAGCAAAAGGAAAGGGAGAGAGAGCTGGGTTTTGGATCCCAAACACCCAAGGGACGAACCCTAGAGAGAGAGAGCGACTTGGGAACATTCTTGGAGCTATTTTGGAGGATTTCTTCGCCATTGGAGCTCGGGAATCAAGCTTGGAGATGGAGATTGAAGATCTAGATCAGATTTCTGCAGTCTCTCTCTTCTCTATGGAGTAACTTCCCTTCACTTAGGTTTTGAGGAACCTTAGTTCCATGAGTTAGGATCTTTCTTGTATGAAGTTTTGGATGCTATATTGTTTGATTATAATCGAATGATGCATGTTTATTGAGTCAATTGAAGTCTGATCAACTTTTCCTGATTCCTGCTGCAATCTGAGATAGATAGAATCTGATTAGGTTGCTAGAGTCTCATCATTCGGTAGTAGGAGATTGGCTATACGAGAGTTAGCCAGTTTACTGCTTTGTACTGGAATCCAATTCCAGTAGTGGAGTTATGTGCTTATTGCTTCAGCTTTCTATCCTGGTGAAGACTAGTCGTCTGCCGGATAGTTAGACTGAGAGGGCTTGGTCAGCTTAAGAGATTCCAAGCTACTGTCGGATCTTCCGCAGTTTAATCAACAGTAAATCAACCAAAAGGAATTACAACTTGGACCTAATTGAGGAGCTAGGGGGAATCATACCTAAGTGAGTTCCCAAACTGTAATTAGTAGTTTTACTTAGTTTAGTTAGTAGAGTAGTTTAGTTAATCAATCCTTAATCTAGTTTGCTAGATAATGAACTGAAGCTGAGTAATAGTAACTCTAGAGACCCGTGGATTCGATATTTATTACTTGTGCCACTATACTGCAGTACCTTTCATTGGTTACACTTGGCCATTGTTAGGTGTTGTGTTTTAGAGCATCAACTGTCAACCCACTGCTTGTGGTTGATGACATGTCCCTCATGTAGTCCTTAGAAGATAAACATGGTATTCTGTTGGACACACCCTTGTGTTCGATTTTCTTGACATCAACGTGTCCCCCAGCCTGACACTTCACCTTGTTAGGTAGACTTCTATGGCCCTCTGCATCTCCCCCTAGCGATTTGCATCCACCAGGCCGCTCGAGCATAGATGTCATCGAGGTTGGGCAAGCTTGTGGTAGCACATCAGCTATTAACCCTCCACCAACTCTCACGTTCAAGCATGGTCTAGCCTCTGAGACAGTTTTATGAGTAACTGTCGGCACAGGCGGTTGCTTTACATGAGTGGTGAACATGGGAGCGAGATTCTCGCCACAACCACCATGTTGAAGAGGTAGTTGCCTTTCCATCGGAGACGATGAGTTCTCTGACCGTGGCTGAGTAGTCCGGCCACCGGAGAACAAGATACTTGTATACTCAGTAGTAATACTTGGTGGCGGATCTATACCATTTTTTGGTAAAGAAATTTCTCGCACCACTGGTTCTATAAAATATTTTTTAAGCTTATCTAAGCAATTTTTATTTTCTGTAGTTGCTTCAAGCAATTCATCCAAACGTCTATCTAACATAGAACTAAAGAAGCAAGTTTTAGACTTGTCTGTTGTGAACTTCTAACAAGTCCATTCAAACTCTCTTCCATCAATCGACGGATCTCCACCATCACTTGACGGTTCTCCATCACCATCTTGCAGTTATCATCCACTATTGAGCGGAGTGACATGGCAGTGGTGGTTACATCGGCACAAGGTGCCTCCGGTGGCAATATCTCAATCATGCCATTGTTTCCGACAACACTTACTGATGCTTGGCCAAATTTGAACTTGGCCGTCAACTCCTTCACAACTCCTGGTGAAATATCACCTTCATGTTCTCTCAGTCGTGGAGCCATCAAATCAAACACAATTGTCCCACCGGGTGTGCCAATTTGTTTTCCGGCGAGGAAAAACTGGTGTTTGAACTCAATAAATGCACATTGACTTCTTGAACAACGATTAATAACACGGTTCACTCCTCTCCGAACAATGTTCGAACGAGGGTGTTTGATGTTTTTTTATGGTTTTTTGGGAACAAGCTACGTTACTCTACTCCTATGGAGGTTCAGTGAGAGCTCCGAAAAAACTAAAAGGGAAGTTGCAGAGAAAAGATAAATTTTGACATGTGTTGTCAAATGTTTGGTTGTGGAACCCTTGCTTCGTCTTCGTTTCTCATATTTATAGCCATCCCTTGTAACCGTTGCGCTTCTTCCCTCGCCAACATGATTGATACCCAGTAGGCGGCTAGACCCCCTTGCGTCTCGTCATACTTGACTCACCTTGGATGGTATCATGCATGACCCCCTTGGACGATGTCATGCATGACCCCCCTGGTGCAAGGTAGGTAGATGGCATACTGCTTGAACCCCCTGGGATGATGTCATGTCTGACCCCCCTTGTGCTGTGGGTCTCAACACTTAGCCAAATTTTGGCTCTCTTTGCCACCACAGCTAGCTCACGCCTCGTCGTACTCGCCTCACCTTGGATGGTATCATGCATGACCCCCTTGGACGATGTCATGCATGACCCCCTGGTGCAAGGTAGGTAGATGGCATAGTGCTTGAACCCCCTGGGATGATGTCATGCATGACCCCCCTTGTGATATGGGTCTCAACACTTAGCCAAATTTTGGCTCTCTTTCCCATCATGGTCTAGCGCGATGACCCCTTTGCATGACATCATGCTTGAACCCCCTTATGCTGTGGGTCTCATCACTTAGCCAAATTTTGGCTTTCTTCGCCACATCATGTCTAGGGGTAATTATGCGCGATGTAAGTAGACGACTGGTGGAGCGAAATTTTGGCTAAGTATGATGGGGTGTCCACTTGGGTGGTTGATGTTGAAGGGTGTCAAGCTTGACACTTGACCCCTCTTGTGTGACGGGTGGGTATTTGGTGGGTCAAGTGGTGTGTGTTGAGGTACCTGGTATGAAGCCCAAAATACCATTATTTAGGCCCAACCTAAACCAATTTAATTAATATGGTTAAGTTGGCCTTATAAATCACTACCACTCCTTGAAAATAATCAATGTGGTATTGAGTGATTTTTTAGTGGTAAACAGTATATAAGCACATATTTGTACGTGTATGTATGTATGAAAGGATGGGATTTGTGTTTGTCTTCACAAAAGTTCATTGATTACCTCTTACTGAGTGTAAAAAACAAAGCTAGTTAAGCATAACATGAACTTCCTTGCTTCTGTAAATGACAAGATGATCTTGTCTGTGACTCTGAAAGCTGGATCTTGTTTACCAGCTTCTTGTGAGTGTTCAACACTGGGTAGATGGTCACCAAGCATTCAATTAATCGCATAAAGGACTAGAACGTAGCATGTGGAAGTGGGGCAAAGGCTTTTTATTTTGATAGTCGCAACCTTTGGTTAAACTGGGACAAACCTTACCCAGTTGTGATTCTAGAACTATTTGGTATAGGGTCAAGCTACAAATTTGATCCGGTCATATTTTACTTTGATCCTGTCTGATTCATTTGGGTCGGGTTTGGTCGGGCCAGGCCAAGTTTGCGTCTAAACCCAAATAAACAAAAAGACTCCAAATTTATTTTCTTATAATTTAGTACCTAAAACGATTTTTTACAAATACAACCAGAAATTTTGGTGGCAAAATTATGTTTTAATACCTTTATATTTTTAGATTTTTTTTTTGTAAAAAACCATTAATCTACAATTCTTGACTTGTTAAAGTTTAGGTACCATTGTGTAATTGTACATGCCTTAGTCATTAGAGTTTGTACGTAACCTCTATATAATGACCTGTGTATACCTGCTTCTGTAACTGATAAGATTGACTTTGGAGGGTTTAGGCTCTCCCGTGGACTAGTCCTGACAATCAGGAAAACCACGTTAAACTTTGTGTTCTTGTTCTTTTGATTAGTTTGACATGGTATCAGAGCCCATATGATCCAAAGGTTTGGTGTTCTCTCTCGATCGATGATCTTGGCGCAATCTGTTCGAGGTTCAGCAACGGTTCAGCGGCAGTTGTTCTCTAGGTTTTGGTTCGAGGTTCGGCGGCGGTTCGGCTACGGCTACTCTCTAGGTTTACGTGCGCATTGGTGATTACAGATCAGGCTTGTTTTGGTATCTCTTGTGACAATGGACTCCACTAAGATGGATACAATCATAACGAGATTTGATTGGAGCAACTTCCCATTATGGGAGTTCCAATTTCAGAACTTTATTGCTGGTAAGATGTTGACTTCTGTGTTGATGGGGGAAGAGAAGCAACCTGGTGCGGATGCTACGCCGCAACAGAAGGTGCACTGGGAGGCTCGCAACGTGCAGGTCGTGATGGCAATTCTGGCTTCTGTAGACGTACAGACGGCGCTGAGCTTATGTCGTTTTGCGACCGCTCATTAGATGTGGCAACATCTCTGTGGTACGTATTCTCAGGCTAATACATCTCACTTGTATGAATTGAAATTGGAGATGGCAGCTCTTGCTCAGGGGGATAAGAACGTGTGCAACTACTATAAGCATTGTATGCACGTTTGGACTGAATACGATATTGTTACGACCTCTTTGTTAACTGGGGAAGCCTCTACAGAGATGTAGAAGGAACAAACTCGGACACGGGTTATGCAATTTCTGATGAAATTGCGATATGATTTTGAACCAATTTGGGCATCCTTGATTCATCAGGGTATTACTGATCTTGATGCGGTGGTGGCTGAGTTAGTTCGAAAGGAAACTAGCCTCAAGAGTCAGGCGCATATTGATCATGGGTCTTCAGAGTCTGCGTTTGCTGTTGGTCGATCCGACAACTCTACTCGCCCTCAATTCGGTCAACAAAACTCGGGTGATGTCTTCTGTCATTTTTGTCAAGAACCGGGTCATTTTCAGATTCATTGTACGAAGCGTAATTATTGCAACTACTGCAAGAAGGCAGGTCACATCGTTCTCGAGTGTCCTCCGCTGACCAAGAAAGGGAAAGTTCGCTATCCCAACTATGGTTCTTCCTCGGGTGGTTCTTCGACTGCTCGCTCTGCTCCTCACCATGGCTCGGCCTATGTTGTTGCTTTAGCTCCTGGTGCTTCGGGCGACTCTTCCTCGTGCAGTCATGGGAGTTCGGCTCTTAACCCGGTCATGGTCCATAAGATGGTGCAAGAGGCCTTGCAAGAGGCTTTGACATCAGCGTCTGCTACGGGAGCTGCGTCAGGTAAGTCTCCTAAATGTCTGCTTGACTCGACAACCTTTAATCATATGTCCCATGTGCGTTCTATCTTTGATAAACTGAAATCTACTCCTCATATGAACTTACGGGTAGCTAATGGTGATCAAGTTTCTGTTAAGGGTCAGGGCACTGCATCGTCTCATGATATTACTCTTCTAGATACCTTATATGTTCTTGCATTACTTCATAATCTGGTTTTGGTTGGGCAATTGACTGAGGATGGTTGCAATGTTACGTTTAATTCAAACGGTTGTGTGGTTTAGGACAAGACGACGGGGAAGGTGATAGGGAAAGGAAGTAAGCAGGGTTGAATGTTTGTGCTAGATGAACTGAAGCCGAAGGGTGCTGTTGAGAAGTTGGGAAGACTTGACGATCATGAAGGTGTGCATGGGCTGCATTGACATCTCGCATTTGCGTCGAGTGATACTGTCTATGAAGAACCTTTCGATTTAGTTCATAATGATCTATGGGGTCCTTCTCCAGTGACATCTCGCATGGGGTATCAATATTTTGCTTTGTTCATCGGTCATAAGACGCGGTATGCTCGGGTTTTCTTTCTCCGTCGGAAATCCGAATTGTGTTCATTGGCTAAGGAATTTGTGCAGCTTATTAAAACTCAATTTGGTAAGACGGTTAAGGTTATTCATTCGGACACAAGAGGGGAGTTTGTTAAGCACGAGCTGCTCGATTTCTATAAGTCGGAACAAATTCTATATCGGCTCTCTTATCCAGGGGTATCTCAGCAGAATGGACTGGTAGAATCGAAAGCACAGACACGTTCTTGAACTCACGCGAGCTTTGTTGTTCCTAGTGGTTATTGGGTTGAGGCAGTTCATACGGTGGTTTATCTCATCAATCAGAAAAATACTTCAGTTTTGGGGCAAACTTTACCATATCAGAACTTGTTTTCTCGACCCCCTGATTACTCTCTCTTAAGAGTGTTCGGATGCACTTGTTTCTTTCTACTTCTCGGGGTGAACGTCATAAACTCGCACCGAAGACAATTAAATGTGTTTTCGTTGGATACAGTGATAAACACAAGGGATATTGCTTCTATGATCCTATTGGGAGGAGAATGAGAATTGCTTATCATGTCTTGTTCCTGGAGCATGTTATGTACTATTCCATTTCGTCACAAGATAAGCAATCACATGCTGATTCTCTAGAGTTCCTGTCTTTTGTCCCAAGCTTTGATGAGCCTAATACTGCAGGGGATAATGGAACTCAGGGAGGGAATGAGAACTCGGTTGTACTACAGGATACCTCGGCCAGCTCACACTCCTCTTCGTCCTCACATGAATCCTCGACCAACTCGCATGAATCCTCAGCCAGCTCGCATTCCCCTGGGCCTTCTTTGTCGTCCAGCTCCGACGCACACTCAAGCTCGGCTTCTAGCTCTTCGACATCTGGGTCATCTAGTGGGGGTTCACAGGGTGGCTCGCTCAATATGGTTGGGGGAGGGGAGGAGAATGAAGTGAATAATGATGAAGAGAGTGCTGGTCTTCGTCGATCCAACCTCAGTACGAAGGGTCAACCACAGTTGCGACTTCATGACTACGTAGGATTTGCAACGATACCGGTGTTTATTCCGAAGTCATATGCTCAGGCAGTGAGTCATCCAGAATGGGAATTGGCAATGCAGGAGGAGTCTAATGCACTAGACGCAAATCATACATGGGAGTTGGTTCCGAGAACTCTAGATATGTCTGTCATAGATAGCCGGTGGGTTTATATCATCAAAGTACATCCGGATGGATCAATTGAGCGATTCAAGGCTAGAGTTGTTGCTCGAGGGTTTCTATAGGAATATGGGATTGACTACAATGAAACATTTGCTCCGGTAGTCGAGATGCAAACCGTCCGGTGCGTGTTCGCAGTAGCGGCTATGAAAGACTGACCATTGTTTCAGTTAGATGTGAAGAACGCCTTCCTACATGGCGATATGAAAGAAGTGATCTATATGAAGCGCCCACCAGGATACATGAAGGGTTCGGCAGATATATGGTCTCAAACAAGCATCGCGTGCTTGGTTTGAGAAATTTCACAGTGTCATTGTGCAGCTTGGCTTCACGCAGAGTCAGAATGATCCATCTATGTTTATTCGAAATACTAGTGGTTTTGCTGATTTATGTAGATCACATGATAATTACCGGGAGTGATGCATAAGGTATTCAGGAGTTGAAGAAGTCTCTTCACAAAGCCTTTAATCCTAAGGATTTAGGCAATGTGTCATAATTCTTGGGCCTGGAAGTACAACGGTCATCGTAGGGTCTTCTTGTATCGTAGTAGAAATACATTGCGGATCTTTTGGAGACGGCGCAGTATACAGACTGTAACCCATGTGCGACACCGATGCAGCAGAATCTCAAATTGACAAGGGACAGTGGTGATTTGATAGAAGATCAGTCCCTATACCACAGCTTGGTAGGGAGTTTAATTTACTTAACTCATACCCGACCAGATATTGCTGGTCAGTCAGTTTTTGGGAGTTGCTCATGCACAACACTTGGCTGCTGTGCATAGGATTCTGCGATATCTGAAGCAAACACAGGATGTTGGACTTTTCCTCCCTGCATCTGGAGAAGCTGTGGTTGAGGCGTTTGCTGATGCAGACTATGCAGGTTGTCCCCACACAAGGAGATCGACTTCGAGATGGTGTATCAGGGTTGGACAATCGTTTATTTCATGGCGATGCAAGAAACAAGACCGGGCGTCTAAGTCATCGATAGATGCATAGTATCGTTCCATGTCAGATGTTAGTTCTAAATTGGTCTGGTTACAACGATTATTGGAGGAGTTGGGTGTTGAGTGTCGAGCCCCTATGCAGATTTACGGAGATAACACTAGTGTCATACAAATTGCACTCAATCTAGTTCTTCATGATCGAACAAAGCATATAGAGGTTCACGTTCACTATATCAGGCAGCTGGTGATAGAAGGAAAAATACAGTTGAGTTATCTGTCAACAAAAGATCAGACTGCTGATATTTTGACTAAGACATTGGCTTCTAGTAGGCATTGGCACTTATCTTCCAAACTGGTGTTACGTACCCAACATCAATTGAGGGAGGGTGTTAAATTTTAGGTACCATTGTGTAATTGTACATGCCTTAGTCATTAGGGTTTGTACGTAACCTCTATATAATGACCTGTGTATACATGCTTCTGTAACTAATAAGATTGACTTTGGAGGGTTTAGACTCTCCCGTGGACTAGTCCTGACAATCGGGGAAACCACGTTTAACCTTGTGTTTGTTCTTTTGATACATTTGAGATTAAAAGATACATATAAGGTACTTGGATACATTCTCAACTTCGATAGAGTAATCTCACTACGGGAAAAGTGGCCTTACGCAACACTCATCACACTCATCCTCTTACGCAACATTCTCACCTACTTCGATAGAGTAATCTCCCCTTTGTTTTCTCATATTGGTTTTGCAAAGTAAATATGGGAGGAATGGAAATATGAAGTATATGATGTGTATGTTTTTTTAGTGTAGTTCTTGGTCAATGGTCTGAGCGGTATATATGACAATATTGTGGTCACAAATAATAGTAACTATTTGTGATAACTCAAGTCCTCTTTATTGTAATAAATATACTATATTCAAAAGCATAATATTTGTGTAAAAAAAGAGTTCATCATTAATGTTGTTGCAATAGTAACAATATCTTTGTCACAGAAGCATGATATTGTGACTACAATACCATCACAAAACCCTATTTTGTGACAAAATACAGGATGAAAATGGCACATTTGTGACAATTAAAGTGGCAGCCGTTGAAATACATCGATGTCCACATGAAGTCATCACAAATGTATAATATTTGTTACAAAAGTATATTGTCACGATTGGGTACATCTTATATGATGATCAAACTCGTCACTAATAAAGTATATACATGTCGGTTATACTCGTAAAAATGTGTTGCGTAATTTATTTAAGTGTTGTCTAAAATAGTGTTGTATAAGCGGTATATATATACAACACTTATTTTTTTGTTACCAAAAGTAAGAAAAATGTTACCTATTACTTTATACAACACCACCTATAGAGGACACTAGTAAAAGTGTTGCATATTACATATGCAACACTTTGAGCACTTTTTACAACACATTTGAAGTGTTGCCAAAAGCCACTTTTCTCGTAGATCTAATTCACCCGTTAGACTTTTCCCAAATTCATTAGCATAGTGGGAAAAATGGCTTATTGTTAAAATTTATGTTTACAAACTTATTATTAAGATGCTATAAGTTGTTCTACTTTAGGCATGAATCGCATGTATTTATTGACTTATCTAAATTTTGTGCATTCATATTTTGCATAGCATATGTCCTACTTAATACATTTTTAGTGATTTTTCAGTATGCGTCAAAAACTTACGCTTTTACGCTTTGATTCTACGCTTTACGATTTTACCCCTTTTCCGCTTCTAGGTAGAATCGCGCTTTTAACTGCAAAAAATATTCTTACTATATCCAGCTAGCTTGGAATAAACTCAGCCAAATATCAAACCAAACTCCTAATAATTAAGCTCTCTAGAGAATTCCATGTAAGGTGATGGCAGCCAAGAGTGGCAGTATAAATATAAATAGATGCCATTGTCACTAATGTTAGAAGGTAGAGAGAGCTAGAGAAAATTCGACATTTCCGTTTAGAATTTTGGAGAAGGCATCTATACTAAAACTTAGAACCACTGTGTAATCTGTACTATATACTCAATGTAGTGGAACTGGTATTAGTTAACACACATATTGTGTCAGAATGTTATTAGTAAATTCCATCGGAGTGTTGTGATTTTTAGGACTTCAGGTTTGTGCATCCGAATTGATGCATATGAGCCCGAATTTTAATACTATTGTAGAACTTTGCAAGATTCGAGCTACACAAATAGTGAGACTCTCATTCAAGTAAATTAGGGCTGGCTATTTGGTCCGGGTTTTTTGGTTTTACCCGAAACCATACTGTATAACCCGGACCGAGACTGGATAGTAAACAATCCAATCCAATATTTGGGCTTAGATTTGAGGTAAAAAACCATTCGAAACCGGATCAAAAACTGGATAAAGACCGGATAAGAGAGCTCAACACCCAAAACTTAAGGGTAATTTGCATAAATGGTCACAAACATTTGCACTTAGTACAAAACTTAACCAACTCCTGACCCTTTAAGGCCTTAGGCCACTCAAATCCCCACAAGCTCAATATAAAATCAAGACCGAATTGGGGCCGAACCCGATCAATACCGGATCGGATCAAGACCGGACTGTATTCAATCCAATCTTTGGTCCTTATATTTTCAAAAAGACTGGACTGAACCGGATCAATTTAGGCCAATTTAACCGGACCGGACCGTATAACCACCCTAAAGTAAATGCATAAACCTTATAACATCCATTCTTTTCAGCTTTAACCTCTAGCATGACTGAAATCGCAAACAACAAAACCCAAGAGGAAGATGATAGCTAGCTAGGTAGGGTTATCGATCGAGAAAGGCACATGAGTACGATCCACATGGTGAGACACTTCTACAACAACAATTAGTGATGATGTTTGTACGAGGATAAAGTGATGATCAATTCAAACCACACAGAGCAAGGCACTGGTTGTTACATAGTACTGGGGGAAAAAAAATCTGGAAATATGCACACAAGAGACCAATGCCAAAACTCGATCGCAAGTCTTTGGTGCTTCTGTTTGGCATTTTAGTCGTGGATGAAGACATATAGGGGAATCAAACATATATGGCCCGCTATAAGGTACAATAACTCAACAATATGGTCGATCCATCATTTTCCTAAAAAGCAATGTGTACCATTACCATCTTAATTTACATCTGTCATCATGCATCTATGTACACTTACCCAGGTAAAGTCTTTGTCCTAGACCACTATTCTTTTGACAGATATGTAAAACGCATATTGAAGCGCTTTATGGGAGTGGAGTAATACTGGGGAATATATGTATCATTCATAAGAGGTACTGATCAGACCAAAGTGTGCTCCTTGAACGATCATCCATCATATGTATCGATCGAAGGTAGTGACGTCGTGACTGTCAAGAACCAGTTGGTCCCAATAACTCGAGTTGTTGGGAGAAGGTTTTGCTGGATCTTATACCACACACTAACACGCCCCCTCAAACGAAAGCCAACTCATGGGCTTGAAGTTTGCACAGGCCCACCATACCATGTGCTTGAAAGACAACGGTTAATATTGGGGGTCGTGGAGATTCGAACACATGACCTTTTGGTTCGAGGCTCTGATACCATGTCAAGAACCAGTTGATCCCAATAACTCGAGTTGTTGGGAGAAGGTTTTGCTGGATCTTATACCACACACTAACAGTGACAAAGTCAGGAATTTGAATGAGTGGGCTGAGGTGGTAATTAGACGCTAACATTTTATCGACTACTTTATTTCCGAAATTTGTTAGGGATTCTACATGAAAATTTAGCTATATTTCAAAAGTTGAAAGGTATTATAATCCCTTCTGACTTCAGCCTAGCTCAAGGTTGTAGTGACGAAGCTTTAACTTAATTAACTTCGGTGAAAACCAGCTGTTATCATTCAGTGTCAATATAGGAGTATTTTTATATGGGAAAATGGAGTACTGAAACACATAGTTTCTCTTTCTGGTCAGCTAGCTAGTTCCCTGCTGCTGCTGCGAGCCAAACAAGTGTGTGTTGCTTTCATGTGCAGACAAAATGGTAAGAATATATGGTCAGATATCAGATACCTAACGCGAAAAAAATGCATGCTTTCAACGCGAAAAAACAGAAGCCAATTAGGGAAACTTATTTGTGTTTAGCGTGTTAAACGTCGACTCTTTGCATGCATGAGCTTTTCTGAAACCACGTACGTACTGTATATAGTATGTGCATGAGGCTGAAAACGGAAGAGATTGATATTTTCTAGCTGGCTCGTGTAGATAATTAGATTATGTGTAGTAATCGAAAGGGCTAGATTTCAGATACTTTCAGTGAGTATGAACTGTCCCAAAGGCCAAGGCCATAGATTTGTTTTGATGATTACGTAAGTTCGTTGTCAAGTTTGTTAAATTATTGGACGTAATCATAAAAGAAAATTTTAGGGATTGTGAAAAAAAAAAAAAAATTTCACTTTAGTTTTGCAGTAACAACAAAATTCAGCCCCATTGCATGCATTATAAAATCACGCCGGACTCATTCTGGCTTATCGAGCCCTACTTGCTCGAGACTGAGAGGTTTCCATCCATCACATCTATAGGGAGGCGAATTTTCTTGCTGATTGTATTGCCCACAAGGGCATCTCTTGACACTTGGCACCCATGACATTTCTATCTCTGATTTGGACGTTAGCCATTGGGCATTGTATGATCTGGTGGGGGGTTCCTCCTTTCGATTGATTTATGATTAAGAGGTAGCGGTGCTCTGCATCCATTTTTCACCACAAAAAAGAAAAGAAAAATCACAACGAAGATCATGCCAAGCAGGCTGCAAACAGTCCTTCCTAAGTTTATCAGAAAGAATCAATCTGCATTCATAGAAGGGAGGAGCACCATAGACAACATTTTGATGACTCAGGAGGTGGTCCATAAACAACATGAAAAATATCACCCTTAGATGTGCTGTCAAGGTTGACCTAATGAAGGCTTTTGCCCCTGTGCATTGGGGTTTTCTTCTTGCCGTGATGGACAAAATGAAATTTCCTATGAAGTTCATTAATTGGATAAGAACATGTATGGAATCAGCTCACTTTAGCATCACAGTCCAAGGAAGTCTATTTGGTTACTTCAAGGCAAAGAAAGGGGCGAGGCAGGATGACCTGTTGTCCCCTTACCTCTTTACTTTAGCAATGGAGGTTCTCTCTTCCATGCTGGACATGGCATCACTAAATAGATCAATACCATTTCATCCTTAGTGTAAAGTAGCAGACTTGACTTACATATGCTTTGCCGACGATCTACTCATCTTTTCTAAGGGATCAGTTGCAGCTCTAGCAAGTATAAGGGATTTATTAGATGAATTCTACAAGCTCTCAGGACTATGCATCAACCCAACAAAGTGTAAAGTCTTCTTTGGGGTGTAAGGGCTGAGGAAAGACCAAGTCTGCTAGGAAATTCAAGATTCAGGGAAGGCAGTCTGCCAGTTAGGTACTTAGGGCTGCCTTTACAAGTAGGGTCGCTATCTAGTGCTGACTCCAACATGCTAGTGGACCAGATCACCAAGAGAGTCAGATCCAGGAGAGCCAACAAACTCATGTATACATGGAGACTCATTTTGGGTTGCATGTATTGAGGAATATCGACTTAAAGGCAAATCTATTTGGGCAATGGCAGAACGCATAATGGATCATGGTTGTGGAGGAAGCTTCTGAAGCTTCAGTCATGGTATCATAACAGGCTAATGGTGGATGATGATAGTATGGTTAGCTGGAAAGGAAAAATAATGCCAAAGTTCTCCATAAAGCTGATTTGGAAGTCCATTCGACCCAAGGCTGAGCGAGTATGCTGGTTCAAGGTTTTATGGGGGAAGTTTGTAGTGCCAAAGAACATGTTTATTGTGTACGTGGTTAGTGATTAGGAATCGAATAAAAATGAGAGCCCAAGTGAAGGAATGGGGGTGATTGAACTAGACGAATGTCCTCTTTGTACAGAGAGGCCAAAAACTCGGGATCACTTGTTCTATGACTTTTCTTACACGAAGACAGAGATGGAATCTCTACTTCCAAGAGTAATGTGGCCAGGCGAATGGAGATACACTATTATGGACTTGACAATGAAGAATTCTTGAACTTGTTTTCTGCTTCTAGTTTCTACAAATGAGCAGATTAGTGTATTCATGAGTTGTTAGTCTGGTGTATTAAGGTAGAATTGTATGCAGGGGTCTGTTAGGGACCAACCTGTGTAGCTAGTCCTAATTGACAGGTGTATTTCGAGGAAACTTGATTGCGTTTAACTAAGTTCAGCAATATCCTACCAAAAAAAAAAAAAAGTTCAGCAATAAATGGACACAACAATTATCGGAAAAAGACTATTTAGGAACTATGAAAAGTTGTCAAATTGGAATCATAATATAGATCAAATAATATATTTCCCAGCAACATAATTAAATTATAGGCGAAAGGTGTCAAATTCTAATCATAATATGGATAAAATAATACATATATATAGTAACAATTTTCTGCATTGAGCATGGAGTTATGGCTGTGTGAAGTTTCAATTTATTTTAGGTGGAAAATATTAGAATCTATATTGTTATAGTGAACTCGCTGGAGATGGCAGCAATTTCCACTAAGCAGCTGATTACAACAAATGTAGGGAAAACACGACGGAGATATATATATATATATATATATTTTTTTTTTGGTGTATACTGAGAAAAAGATCATTTATATGAAAGGTATATGCACTCTTCCACTGAAACAAAAGGGTATATGCACTCTTAACCACCCAATAGTTGTCCGGTTGAAAAGCGTGCATACACAACTTCTCTATTACTAGGCCAAAACTTCTCATCACTTGTGGCTCTATATATAGAAAGCCCACATGTCCCCCCTTTCTCCTCAAATCACCACTTCAAGTTTGCTCATAATAGGAAAAAACACCACTTCATTGTTTCTTGACTTAAGCTTGCTAAACAACATGTCTCCTCTTCTCTACCTTCTCCTAGCTCTTCCCATCATCATAAGCCTCCTATTTCGTCCCCGAAACCACAAGAAAACCAACGCTACTAGTTCTCATTACTGTCTCCCACCTGGTCCTCCATGTCTTCCCTTCATAGGCAACTTGCTCCAAATCGATGGCTCAAATCCTCATATCTCTCTGAGGCAGCTCTCTCGCGTATACGGACCTCTCATGTCGTTGAGACTAGGTCGTGTTCGAGTCCTCGTGGCCTCCTCGGCCAAAATGGCCGAGGAGGTTCTCAAAACACACGATCTCGCCCTCTGTACCAGGCCTCCAAGGGCAGGCCAGCAAAAACTGTCCTACAACGGCATCGACTTGGCATTTTCGCCGTTTGGTGTTTATTGGAGGGAGATGAGGAAAACATGCATCGTCCATCTCTTCAACTCCAACCGAGTCCAAAGTCTGGCTCCCATTCGTGCTCAAGAGGTTCGCAAAGTGATGGAGAAGGTATCGAAATCCTCGTTCGAGTCGAAACCTTTCAACTTGTCGGATGCCATGGTTTCCCTAGCCGGTATGATTGTTTGTCGTATGGCTTTCGACAAGGGGTCGTACGAGGAGGTAGGTGAAGAGGGAAGTAGGGTCCAAGGTTTGATAAATGAAACTCAAGCCATGTTCACAAGCTTCTTCTTCTCCAACCATTTCCCTCTCCTGGGGTTTGTTGATAGCCTCACAGGGTTGAACCGTCGTCTTGATAAGACTTTCGAAGAACTTGACCACTTCTGTCAGGAAACGGTTGACGAGCATCTGAACCCAAATAGAGTAAAGCACGAGCACGAAGACGTTTTGGACGTTTTGGTTCGAACCATGAATGATGGGTCCTCTAGGTTTCAGCTCACGGTGGACCACGTCAAAGCAATTGTCATGGTATATATATTCTCTTACTACTACTTTTCATACTTCAGTATTCCTCGAGACAAATCATGAACGTACGTATCCATGCAAGTATCTCTGTTGTTTTTTTAGAGGGATAATTATCGGGCCTGTAGTTTTTGTCCCTATTTATATCGGAGCTTCAGCCTTTTGTCTCTTGGACCCATATTTCTTGGGCATTATTGGCCTGTTTAAGCTCGTGAAAGATCGTTTCTTTCTCCTGTCGTGTCGGTCGGTCGGCTCTTTCAAATTAGGTCTGTCTGAACACCTCAGAACCAATACCTATACAAAAGAGGCACAAATCCAGACATTGTACAAGTGTTCTTATGATTTGAGCGAGTTTACTTTTATTTTGAAAGATAAATGTTAAATTTTCATCTTATGGAATTTTTTTGTAACGTGCTCGCAGAACTTATTTATCGCCGGGACAGATACAGCAGCGGCTGCGTTGGTATGGACAATGACATACCTAATGAAGAATCCAAAAGCAATGAAGAAAGCTCAAGAAGAAGTACGACAAGTTGTTGGAAGAGACAAAGGCTTCGTAGATGAACAAGATATCAATCAACTACCTTACCTTAAAGCTGTGGTCAAAGAGACAATGAGATTGCAACCTCCGGCTCCATTGCTAATCCGAGAATCAAATGAAGATTGCATCTTAGGCGGGTACACAATTCCACCTAAGACCGTGGTTCATGTCAATGTATATGCCATTGGAAGGGATCAAGAAATTTGGGGAGACGATTCTGAAGAGTTTAGGCCAGAGAGATTCATGGAAAAGCCGGGTGATGATAGTAAGAAGGGCTTGGATTTCGATATGGTGCCGTTCGGAGGTGGAAGAAGGATGTGTCCTGGAATGCACATGGGGCTTGCAATTGTGCATCTTACTCTGGCTAATTTGCTTTATGGGTTTGATTGGGAAATGCCAAGTGGAATGGAGAGGCAAGATCTGGATATGGAAGTGATTTTGGGACTTACTATGCACAAGAAAAATGCTCTTTGCCTTATGGCTAGAAAATATTTATGAAGGCAAAATAGTCTGGTGTGACAGGGGCACCTTTTTGTTTATGTTTTGTGTCTTTATGGGGTTTCATACGAGTAACCGACGCGACTTTGATGTACATGTACCCCTGTTCATCTGGATGCTCGGTTTGACATGGTATAATTATCACAGGCTTATATTTTTTTACAAATCTAATATATATTTTGTGTTTAAAATCAACGGTTAATATATTGAAGGACGTGAGAATTCAAATATGAGATCTTTAGGTTAAAGGTATTTGTTGATGCCAATTTTAGAGAAGTCTACTTCAATACTTTATAGGTCGGGAGAGCATTGATTTTCTTATCATCGTTTGCCACCAGTATTCAAGATGAACACTTCTAAAAGGACCCATTGGTTGTAGACTTGTATTCAGTTGGAACCTTCTCCAAAGCTCATCGCAAAACTTGAGAGGAGAGTACCGAGAGCGGCGTTTTAAGCCAACTTGATAGAGAGAATTTTGGGACTGGGAGTAGTCAATTTTTTAATTATAGTCATAAACATCAAAACTATTATCCTATTGCTCGATTATAGTTTGTTTGATTATGATCTTCAACGTTGAAGATCATACGGACTTTTAGCGAAAACAAAATTATACCATTTCATAAAACAAAATAAATAAAACAGTACCAAAACAAAACTATACCAAAGCAATTGAAAGAGTATCATTCCATTTGGGCTTTCTTCTTCTGATTATGACGTCGGCAGAGTAACCTTTCCAGCCATCGCTAGAGGCCAACGGAGAGAGAGAGAGAGAGGACTACTTGGCCTCCAATTTGGCCGATCTTAGCGGTGGGTACAACGACCAGACGCGACGGGAACAACGACGTAGCCCGGCAGGGAGAGAGAGGGAGGCGGGAGTTGAGAGAGAGGGGTTGGCCGATCTTAGCGGTGGAGGCAATGGCAGAGCCGATGGGGATGGCGGCGTAATCTGGCAGGGAGAGGGAGGGAGGTGGCACGCGAGAGAGATGGAGAATAGGAATGCAGTAAGATTTTGATAATATATATAGAAATTAATTTTGTTAAGGATAGTAATCAGATATGATATAATTTGTGTTTCCAAAACTATCCTTAATCTAATTTTGATCGTCAATTTAAAAATAAGATAAAATAAAGCTAATGAAAAATGTAGATTTTGATAGCCACGGTGGCTACTAAAAAAGTAATAATCACTCTAACTCATCACCCTTCCCTCCTTCCAAACCCTCAATAATTCTTCTCAATTTCTCTACTTCCTTCAAAAGCTTCAATGTGGTCGCTGCGCAACAGCGATGTTCGCTTCACTTCATCCACCGCAATTACAGTTTCAACCCTACCACTGTATCGCCACAGAGCTCTCCTGACTCTGCCAATTATAGCCGCGGGGCGGATGATTTGGTGACCTTCAAGCACTGGCTCTCAGGATGATGAGGAACTGACCACTTTCATCTTCGTTTTCTAATGCTTAAACCAAAAGCCTATATAATTAATTAGACTCAATCTTATACACCTTGTTTTCCCCATTTGGTCACTATCGAGCTGATCTCATTAATTAAGCTCCACACACTTAAGGCCAGTGTTGTTTTTTTTAATGGAAAAAAACTTTAGGTTTGTACATATCTATGCTAGGTGATTAAGGAACTCATCCAAAACTTTAGGTTTTATTAATTGGGCAAATAGAAATAATTAGTATGTAGCAGATCAGTAGACTACTTTCTTTTTTGATACTCAAGGATCCCTTCCACAATCAAGTAATCTATTTCCTGATTTTCAGAATATATATTATAGCTCACGTATTTTTATTTAATATAAATCGGTGTAAAAATGAGTTGGCAATCGTAAAAGCTTCAATTTTATTTTTTTATTAATTATTAATTGCCACGTCACTTTGTTAACGGTCAACTATCAGAGTTGAATCCCATATGGGTAAAAGTTATCGAAGACTAACAGAGAGTGATTAAACTTGAACTGTTGAACTAATTTAAGTGACTATGGATGGAATAAAGTAATTCTAGTGGCTAACGTGAAACCAAACTTACAATTTAACCATTATCTTGTGATATTAAAATGATTGGACCCAACTGTCAATGATTTATTATCAATGAAGTCCTCCAAACTTTAATATCCAAGGTAGGTCCAATTATTTAGAGAAATGTATGATAAAATTATTTTCACTTTAAATTTTTATTTCTCATATTAGAAGGAAATTTTTAAAATATAAATATCTTTCAAATTGTTCAGAACATCACTTTCAATTCATCCTACAAAGATAATCATTTACGAAACCAATACTCATTCAATCTCAAAAAATGTTCACCTGATAGTTTATTGCAGGGAGAAACATTATTATTAGACAACTTATTAGAAGGTATAACATAGCAAGTTTCAAACAGAAGAACAAAATTAAAAATTATAATCAATTGTATACAGCTGAATTCATAATTATATCTCACAAATATACAACTACCTTACATTGGTCGGAGCTCATCTAAACACATCTAACGGTCATATCACATGTAGTATACTATACTTCTGAAGTATACCGGCAATACCATAATTATTATTATAAAACAAAGAAAACATGGAAAAATTGTAAGATAACTTTTAGTGCAAGAGAGTTATCTCATCCTTAATATGATCTATTATGAAACCCATGAGTTATAAAAGGAATATTAGTGTTACATTGGGTTCAATTGGTTTTAAGAATAAGGAGTTATCAAAGATTAATAACTTCAAAGAGTTATGTTCCTATTGTAACTCTTACATGATGGATGGTTGAAAATAAAGTGTAAAGATAAAACTTAATAGGAATTTTGGTCCTCTCTGCACCTATAAATTATATGCTTTGGACCATCACAATAGCATATCATAAGAAACACAAATTTTAAGTGACTCATAGGCTAGGAGAGAGAACCCCAAAATTCAACATTGCTACTTCTTCATAAGCTCTCTCAGACCACCATGATCCCGTGCTCCATGATGTGAAAAGTGCCGATGGCGGCCGGATCTTGTAGAAAGTCCGACAGGAGTTCATAGGCGAGACTAAGAGAAAGGAAAATGATGTCCATGCCATCTGCTACGGCGGCGTCGAAGGCCGTCAGGGTTAAGGAACCCAAACAAAAATTGTATGAGCAAACTTTGTACACCGCTATCCCAGCAGAAGGCTCTGATCCGCCTTTCGTCGTCCCCGCCGCGATGTCGTAATAGGAGGCTCCCTCCACCTTTAACCCTACCGCGGTGGACACCACTTGTGAAACTATGAATAACAATAAGAGAAACTCTGTTATAGTCATTTCTGTACACTCAATGTACTCTACGGATAGAGGAATACATAGAGTTGAACATGGTAAAATAAGATATTGAAAGATTTCATTGAAATTGATCATTTGGAAATTGGAAATTTTGTAATGAATGGAAAACCTGTTGAACTTGATGGTGTGACTCACAAACCAACTCGATTAGTTGCTCGCTACATAGCTCCTAGACTAGTATATTATTAGTCATATAACTGGTATGTTGGTTAGATTACATATTTTTGAATTTATATTTAGTGATATAACTCATAGGTTGGTTATATAACATATCCTACAACTAATTGTGGGTTGATACTTCGTGTGCGTAGCTAAATATTTATTGCATATTTATTTATTATATATAAAAGTGAAGTTAGTTTACTGTTTCATAAAAAATTCATTTTCATACCTCAAATTTAATTAAACCACAACTTAATCATTATAATATACATTTTACATTTTGATACTCCAAATTTAATTAAAACACAACTTGGTCATGTAAATTTTACATTTTCATATCCCTAAATTAATTAAACCACAACTTAGTCACTATAATGTAAATTTTTTATTTTGATACCCCAACTTTAATTAAATTAGAACTTAATCACTATAATGTACATTTTATATTTTGATACTCCAAATTTAATTAAATCACAACTTAGTCACTATAATGTACATTTTGCATTTTCATACCCAAAATTAATTAAACCACAACTTAGTCACTATAAGGTAAATCATTGAACAATTATGTTCTGGTATCTAAATTTTATGAGATTTTCGTACCTACAATTTTTTAAATTTACATATTGATCCAATGTTTTGATTTCACTTGAATACTTGAATCCAATCAACCATTCTTTTTGAACCAATACATGAATTCAATCACCATAAAAATAAAATTATAAAATTAGTTTCATACTCCAAATTTAATTAAATCACAACTTAGTCACTATAATTTATATTTTATATTTTATATTTTCATACCCCAAAATTAATTAAAACACAACTTAGTCACTATGATGTATATTTTACATCACCATAAAAGGAATTAAGCATCAACTATGTATATTATAGTTCTGTATCTAAATTTAATACATTTTTAGATTTATAACATAAATTTTCTTTTTGGCATATAAGTCCTCAAAATATTGATGGAACATTATATTTTAGTACCTAAAATTTTGTGTATTGCATTTTGGTTTTGAAGTTCCACAAATTGGTCTAATTTTTGTATGTGTAATTAAAACACATTCGAATAAATGAGTATGCATACCCAACTAATACACATTTAGATTATGGAAGTAAATATCCATACCCTGCCCAAACTTATCTACAAACTTCCAAACCCATACATACACCACCCATAATTGATAATACTAACAAAACACCATAACATGCCACATAATAAATGCCCATAGGCCATCTCTGCTCCGCGACAAAGACGCGGCATCTCCACCTAATATGAATTGTGTGTAATATCTTAAATTTATGCATGCTAAACCCGCATATCATATAAATATCTCTAATCGAATATGAGTTACTTACCAAGTAACATATAGACTTTAAGTTTTGGTATATGCATTGGTTTGTTGAACTATGTTTCAAATTTGTTAATGATTTTTCATTCGAATTAAGACTATACTCGCAACCCTATCAATGTTTGGTTAAAACTCAGAGTTTAACTTAAATTCAACATTCTTCTGCTGTCACAACTCACAATTACTAATAATCCTAACAATAATTACCACCCATTATAGTATATATAATCATCGCGACTTCCAAATCCGAGCATCACAGTGCCCATCCATCCACCTTTCACATTCTCATTCATTTTTACATGCATGTGTTTGCAGCCTGCATGACTCCAAATTCAGCAGCACAAGCGAAGAAGAACACAATTCCGCAGTAGTCAATCTCGAGTTCTCTATCCTCCATTTTTCAGTTCTGGCCAATTACTCTGTTCTGCCTCTGCCGACACCAATTCTCATATTATCAGTTTCGGCCAATCACTCTGTTCCGGCCAATTATTTCATTCATATCCCTGGTAGCACATCCAGTTTCATAGTGTAATTGCAAACACAATGGCCATGAATGCAGTCGCCAAGCTCCCTAACGGGAATGCTTCAGTGGCCAATGAGAATAGAAACAGTACTATCCTTGCTGCTGCAACTGTGAAGCGGGCTACTCACCATCAAACACACCAACTCATTCTCTGTTGTCAATTTTAAAGGGAGGAAATGTGACTTATTATTAGTAAGGTTGTGATCACAACAGAGAATGGTAAGTAAACCATTATCCCCAATCTGTGGTATTAGTAAGGTTCGGCTATACTATGATCATTTGTTTCTCCCTGCTACATCTCCAAATTTTATAACAACATCACTATGATCATGGTTTATTTACCACATCGGAGAGAATGAAAAATTGTGGCTTTTCCATGCCTATAAAATAAAGTGACTGGCCAAACATAATGGCATATCAAGGTCTGGTGCTTAGCCTTGTAAGGCTGGGCTGAAAAGAAACCCAAATCTTTTACTCAAGGGCTTGTGCCTGAATACCGGGTCGTTATAGGCTTGAGACCGGTGTCCCAGAAGTCACGCCGGCCTGGGCTGAAATGAACCGGGCTTCTTCGTCCGACATCTGGGCCGCAAAACCCTGATGGATTGGTATTTATTTTTTGTTTTATTTTTACAGCCATATTTATACGATTGAACGGAGACAAGGAAAATATTAAGAAAAAAAAGGCATACGATTGAACGGAGACAAGGAAAATATTAAGAAAAAAAAAGGCAGAGAGATCTTGTTGGAGATTGCGGGAGTGAGAAAAAGAAAAAGTTAAATTTTAATTAATATGTTTTTGTAAATTTCAAAAATGTAATTTATTAAAAATGATAATTAATAAATATTATTTTTCATACCCAATTTGTCCTTAATAAAGATTATCTTCATTTTACTTTCCTTTCACTTAACAAACACATACTAACAAAGGAAATAAAAAGTCCAAATATCCTAACTAATTTGAACCATTCCACCTTCCCATACGAGGGTTAGTTATTCCCCACAATACTTTAGCCTTTTACTTCTGAAACAGTTTTCCATTCCATCAACAATTTGCAGATAAGGTGCAGTCTTATCTCTTAGGTTTCAAACTTTTGTTCCATATACATCCAAGCCACTGCTACACTCACTTCCAAAGGATTAAAAATTTGGTAAATAACAAATTTCTTAGTTGAGATAGTATGTGGATACCAAATTGTCATTCATAGTCGATTGATTAACGTTTCATCCACTCCCATCAAACTCCAGCCTGGGAGTCGACAAATCGTCAATCTCCTCTTTCCCTCTTTCTGTTTTCCTATCGCATCTGGAGACCTGTACTCGCCGAAATCTGCCTCCACCGTCGCCGCATCTGCCGCCAACGCAGCTGCAGACCACCAACCTCCTCCACTCTCCTCAAAGACCTGATACTCCGGTCGGGGAAGCGAGGAGTCGTCAATCCCGCTGACTGACACGTTGGTTCCTCCGTTGTGATCAGGAATCGCTTCCAATGGTGTCTTCCTCGTGTGAAGAAAGAGTGCTGACCAGAAGAAGTTGCAGGAAGAAGAAGAAGGAGTCCTGATGAAGAAAGGATTGGCTGCTACGAGATGAATACGTTTCCTGTGTCAGAAACGTTTCCTTTTATTGTTTAAGTTTCAGAGAGTAAAACTATGTCGTTTTATGTTACAGCAGTTAGCCGTTGCTAAACAGTATTTATTTCTTGTAATGGCCTATAAGGCAGAGACACGTGGACTAGCGGGCTAATTTGAATTAGCTCACTGATATATAAACGAAAGCAGAACTGAGAAACCCTTTGAGGGTTCTGCTATTCACCAAATCCCTTTCTAAAAATCTCATATGGTATCAGAGCGGTTCCGCTACTAGGGTTGCGATGAATACTCCGCCGACGGGAAACCATGGCCGTCCTCAGTCATCAGGAAGTGGGTCAGCTGGAATAACTGGATCTGGTGTTCAAGGAGTTCAATTTGGGACTTACACAGACCAGCAAGGAAACCAGCAGCAATTTGCATCTGGACCCAGATCTGAAGTAATCACATTCGGCAATCCCTACTATCTCAACCCCAATGAAGCTCCCAATCAGTCTATTGGTACAGAGGTGTTTGATGGAACCAACTATACTATGTGGAGTCGATCTGTAGTAATGGGTCTTAAGATGAAGCATAAGCTTGGGTTCATAGATGGGAGTATCCCAATTCCTCTAGTGACCGATGAGAGGTATTTGCTGTGGGATGCTTGTAACACAGCTGTCTTATCCTGGATTTTGAACTCTCTTCACAAAGATCTAAAGAGATCTGTGATGAATCATATCAATGCTAAGGTCTTATGGGATGAGTTGAAAAGAAGATATGGTAAACCTAATGCTATCAGACTTATCAACCTGGAGGATGACATCCATAAGCAGAAGCAAGGAAACCTCACAATCAACCAGTATCACACTTTGATTAAGGGGTTGTGGGAAGAATATGTCCAATTCAGTCCAATAGTTCCTTGTAACTGTGCCCCAGGAAATCCCAATCCTTGCGATGCTGTAGTTGCTTACACAGAGAGGCAGGAAACAGACTATTTGATAAGGTTCTTAAGGGGTCTTCATCCAGATTATGAGATCATTAAAAGTCAGCTGTTGTCACGAAAACCCCTTCCTACTGTTTCAGAAGCAGTAGATGATCTTCTTTTGTATGAGCAGAAACTAAAAGCAGAGTCTACAACAAGTGGAAGAAAGAGTCAGACTGTTGCATTAGCAGTTGAAGCTGGACAAGAAGGGAAGCCAAAAACACAAGGCAAGAAACAATGTGTTTACTGTAAGAGGTATGGGCATAATGTGGATGAGTGCTAGAAGATCAAGAAGAAAAGAGAGATGAAAGATGGAGGAACTCCCAGAAGTGGACAGGGTAATGTCACTGGTTTTGTTGGTTCAGTTTCACAAAACAACTCCAGTGACACATCAACAGAGTCAAGCTTTGGCAGTTCTAATGACACTACTGGAAATAGCCCTGTAAGTTCTTCTAAAACTGTAATGGGTTTTACACCTGAGGAAATGAACAGGCTAAGGCACATGATGCAAGATGGTGGTAATGCTGTCACCTCACCACCACTTTCTCCCTCCATAGCACACAATGCTTATTCTGTCTCCCAATTCTTGCCTCCATATCCCAATTATGC